TCATCTCTTCTTTATTCTCTTTCTTTTTCTTTTTTTTTTTTAAATTTCTATGCTATAAATGCAAGGAAATGAGAAATTTGAAAAAAAAAAAAAAAAAAAAAACACAAACAAAATTGTTAACGAATAAAAGAAAAATTTACATATATCAAATGAAATATTTCAAAAAAAAAAAAAAAAAAAAACAATTTTTATCATTCAATGCAAAAAAAGAAAGAAAAATTCAAACCAATTTTAATTAATTAACTCAAAAAATTCAAATTAAAACTCTTTTCAACTTAATATTACTTTTAATGTGAATTTTTTTTTTTTTTTTTCATAATTTGAAATTATATCTTTTCAACTTAATCAAATGTTTTAGTTAATTTTAATGTGAAATATTTCTCATAATTTGAAAGAGTAGAAAAAGAAGTTGGATTATTTATATGTTAATCATTTCAGGCAAATAATTTCAAATTAATTAATTTGAAAAAGTTTATTTTAAAATTATTTTTTTTTCTTTTTTGTTAACAACAGCGTATGATTAGCAGCGATGCGTCATTTTCAAATTTCAATTTTTTTTTCCTACTTTTGTTTTTTTTCCCTTCTTTTCTCTTCTGATATCTCATAATTAGATTAATTTGAAATGATTGCAATTTTGTTTTTAATTATTGTTTATCAATTTTTTTCAATTTCAAACTTTGCTATTAAAAAATTTAAGTTTAGAGGATAGGAAAAGAAATTATAATTATCTTTTTGTTTTTTTAAAATTTTTCAAAATCAATTTATAGGAAGTATTTATTACAATTGAACTATTTATTAATTTGACCTCAATAAATAGAAAAATTTATAAAGTCACGAAGATCAGATCAATTCCTTCACTGATATAATTATATTTATGTGTGATAACGATTTACTGATAATTTCTTAAATAATAAAACATATTATATTGCTATTATCAATTTGAAATAATTTATCACTGAAAAATGCTTCAGAATTTGTGAATATAATAAGATGATGCATCGGATTAAATTAGATTCTTATTAAAATCTACAAAATTTTTTTTAAAAAATGGAACAAAATTCAAAAAAACTACGGTTTGTATTTATATATTAGATGAATTTATCGCTTATATTAACAATGATTATTTGATAAAGGATAATTTAGCTCATTGATATGTGATAAGTTAATTATTTGATTATTCTCTAAAATTTGCTCGTAATTGATTAGAATTTTTTTTAATATTTTAATTTTCTCATTATTTCAATTCCAATATTTGATTCTTATATATCGTTGCTAAAAAATATTGTCCGTAGGAAGAAGAAAAAATGAAATTGAATTTATTTTTAATTGATCCTAGCAAATATTTTCTTTAAATGCTGGAATTAAACTAATATTTTAGAATTAAATGTGTTTAATTAAATGTCGGAATTAAAATAATATTTTTTTTGAATTAAATAATAATTTAATATTTGATTTGAGGAATAATTTGTTATTTTTAGTACTTATATGAAATATATTTTTGAAATGAAATAAACAATAAATAAAGGATGAAAAAAAGAAAACTAAAAAATGAAAAAAAAAAAAAGAAAAAATAGTATAATTAATAATTGAAAATCTTATTTGTTTTAAATGTTTTATTATAAAAATATAATTAAAAAAATGAAAATAATAATTAAAAAAATTAAAAATTCGTTTATTTCTGCTTTTAATTAATTTTTTTTTTTTTTGATCCAAAATGACATTTCTTTTCTATTTTGTCACAAAAAAAAGAATAAAATTGATAACACCAATAATATTTAATTATTTATTGTAGCAAAATACATCATTTATTACTATATTTTTCCTACTAATAAAATTCTCAATCATTTTTAATTATTATTATTTTTTATTTTGTTTTGTTTATTTATTTTTATTTACAATATGATTAGCTTCTTATTTATCTATTGTTATCATTTAATGTAAACAAATATTATCACATATATATGTGTGTGTGATTAATGATAAACTAACTTCTTTCTAAGACTTTTTTAACCTTTTTTTTTCTTTATTTTGCTTTCTAACTTTTTTTCCTTTTTTTTTCTTTCCGATTTTTATTATTCGGCGCAAAATGATTGTGAAGAATGAGAGACTAAGCCGAGACATATAGGCTAGAGCTTACCAAATAGTAATAAATGAATAGTAATACTTCTCGTAGCTAAAGCGCAACCGGTCGATGGTCGATTATTCGGATAGCTTTAATTTATTCTCTTTATTTATACCTTTTTTTTTTTGTAATGAAAAGTTAAGCTATATTACTTGTGTTAAGTAATGATTAATTCATTTATTGAATAAGTTAAAACGTGTGATAAGTAAGAAGTATTATATTTTTTAAGTTAGCTTTAAATGAAAGAATCAGTAATGCTTACTTTAAGTAAAATTTATTACTTAACGTGTAATAAGTAATCAATACTCTAATAAATTATTCCAGCTTACTTGTTACTTAATTTGATATAGCATATAGTGAATAAGGGATAACTTATAAACTAGTTTAACGTGTATTAAGTAATAGATATTTTGTAAGCTAAACTGATTTAACGTGTCATTTCACGCAATTTTAATTAAACTGCTTCGCTGTAGCTATCAAATTTTAATAAATGACCAACTGTTTGATAGTAGTAATCGATACTTTATGCTTATTAAAATTCTAAAATACTCAAACATAAATTATATCTTTATTTACCTAATAATAGATTATTTATTTATCAGCATATCAGTTTATCAGTATAACTGTTAGAAATTTTATCAATCAATTAGCTAATATTTTAATAAATTCAATTGATTTCATTCATTTTTTGTATTTTTTCTATTTACCGTATATTTTTTTCTTTTTTCAAAATTTCTTTTCCTTCTTTTTTCTCTTCCACTCATAAACTTTCAAGTTTATGGTTAAATTTTAGGTGAGGAAAGGCAAACAGCAAAAAAAAAAAAAAAAAAAGGATTATGTACTAAACTAAAATTTGAAAATAAACCGGAAATTGAAAATTATAAATCTCGGCCAAAGCATATATTTTCCGGGCAAATTCTTTTCAATTTTTTTCATCATCTTTCTTCAAAATGGCTCTTTAAAATGTCAATTTCAATCATGTTCTATTGGAAAAATTGGTGTAATATTTGAATGAAAAATAATTTCCAGCAAATTCTCTTTTGTCTTTTCTTATTGACCTATCATTGAAGTAAGTATATTTGGCTAGCAAAAGTTTTTAGTCTTTAAAAGAGAGAGTGAAAGAGGGAGAAAGAAAGAGAGAGAGAGAGATAATGATGCTTATCATTTATTGACTTACCTTTTTTAAGTATAAATAAATTAATAGAAACTTTCCAGTAAAGATTAGATCATTATCATCTACCAAAGGTATTTCAATCATTCATTATCACATTTGTATTTTCATATATATGTTTATACTTTAGATATATATATTTTTTTTAATAAATAATAAATGAAAAATTTTTTTTCCGTTCTCTTTTTTTTATAGTAATTCCTTTAAAACGATAAAAAAAATTTTTTTTAATTGAAATACTTTGATAGATTGATTTTGCCATTTTAGACTAGTATTTTCCAAGGTTAGATCTCATGCTGCGTAATCGAGAAAATTATTTTTATTTAGCAGTTTAACAAATTTAACAAAATTTACGTTCATCATTTTGCGCATAAACAGACAAAAATAACAGGAAAAAAAAAGTTTAAGGAGAAAAATGATAAAAAAAAAAAATGAGATTGCATATCATTTTTCTAATCCTAAAATTAGTTTGTTTACACTTTGTTTTTTTTCTTTTTTTTTTTTTTTTTTTGTAAATAATATGAATGAATTATTGCATAAATAAATAAATAAGAATGTATTTTTGTTCTTTTTTTTTAGCAAATAGCAATCAAATATTGAGTTGAACAAAAATTAATATTTAGTAATATTTGAATATTTACTAATTATTATTTTATTACTTTTAGTTATGCTTGTATCGCATTAATTGATCGTTGCTAATTAGAACTGATACACTTTTAAATTATTTTATTGTTTGTTAAGTTTAAAAAAAAAAATTAATTCTAGTAAAATTATTTTTATTCTTATAGAATTTTATTTCTAATGTATTTTGTGTGTATTTTCGTATTTTGACGTAATAATGCACTTTTTATCATATAACATTACACGTCACGTGTCGCGTGTTTTTGTTATAAACTTATGTTTATATAACTATTAAATAATATTTTTTAAAATAAAATTTTTTTTTTGAAAAAATTTTGTATATAAAAATTAATTCAAATTTATTCGATCATAAAAATGTTAATTTTTTGCGTGAAACTACAAATTTTATTATTAATTCCATTTATATTAGTGGAAGAAAAAAACAAAAAAACAAAAGAAAAACGACAACGAAGCAATTTAAACCTTTTTTTTTTTCAAATTATTTAATTAAATTAACTTTTCTGAATAAATTTTTTTTTTTGTTTTTTTTGTTTTTTTTTGCAAAAATTTGTTGATTTTATTTTTATTGACTTACTTTTTTATTTTTGCTTTTTTTCTTACGATTACGAGAAAAAATAAAATTAATGTTAAAAAGTTGCGATAAAAATATGTATCAAAATGAAATGACACTTCTCATTATCAATTAAATCCCACTTTTTTTTTTCTCCTTTTAACAAAACGATTGTTTCTTTCTCTTTTTTTTTTAAAAAAAAAAAATTGTTTTCTTTAAAGATAAAAATAAAGTTTATTTTCAGGTCACAAAAATTTTTGTGCAATTTAAATTGTTTGAAGAAAAAGGAAGAAAAAAAAAAAAAAGCAGGAAAATAGAACGATAAAATAGCACGATTAAAAATATTTGATCTGCTACAAAATTTATTTTCAACAATTACAGCAACAATAATAATAATAACGATAACAACAACTAATTACTACGACAATAAGGATCAACTATTGTTTCTACTACGATTTTTTTTTTTTTACAAATTACTGATACATTAATAATAATATTATCTGTTAATATTAATCATGGATGATATATGGATGCAAAATGGCACAAATCCGAATAAAATATTAGTGTTACCAGCATCACAATCACAATCATCAATTCATCCGGAATCACATTGGAATATGTATTCCGTATTAAATGCTGGACAAATTTCCGGAAATTTTGGTGGTTTTTTTTCAGGCAATACTACCACTAATAATAATAATCATAGTGGCATTATAGCTGGTTCATCATATTTACAGCAAATAATTCCTACCACATCTATATCATCATCATCAACATCATTATCACCATTATCATCATCAGCATCAACATCAACATCATTATTATCATCATCTCATCATCATCGTCATCATCATCAACAACAGCAGCAACAGCAGCAACAGCAACAACAACAACATGTTCACTCATCATTGATCAGTAAACGTTCCGAATCGACATCATCCGTTAATGATACTATCAGTACAACAACTTCTACCGGTGCTACAACAATTGCTGCTGCTATCAAAAATATGGTAAAACTGGAAAACAAATCGATTGATACAACAATTTTTTCAAATTCCGTATGTTTGATTTATTATTTTTGCCTTTTTTTTTCTAACTTCCTTTTCTCACACTTTCCATTTCTTCTTACAAAAATTTTTTCTTTTTTCATTTTTCAGGATAAACTTATGCATGTTTTTCAAAAATTAATTTACTTCTCTTTTAATTATTATCAATTTTTTTTAACCAAAATTTTCATATCAAAAGAAAAAATTGTTATTTGCATATTTATTTTACTTCTAGCAGTAATTATTAGTGATAATGGAACAGTAAAATGAAAAATAGTTTGAATTTTTTTTTTTTTTTCATGATTTTTGTTCTAAAACCTAAAACAAATCTATCTTGTTTACATAAATAATAATTTCACATTTCATTTGATTTTCATAAATTAAAAATAAAATCTGATGTGCTTAATGTTGAAACATTAATAAATTGGAATATTATTATCATTTCTAATCAGATATTTTGGATTAAAATTTTACACAAATTTTCATCAATCAGGCTTTATATGAGGTATTTTAGTAATATTTACTTTAAAATCCACTGAAATTGAAAACTTTAATCTTATTCGCTTAATGTTGGTATTCCAAGTTTTTGAAATTAATTAATCGATCTTATAAATTAATTAGTATGCACATAGTATAAGCTTTATATTTCAAATCTTTTTCTTCTTTTCTATTGATCTATATAGTAAAGTGTAAAGAAAAAAAACTAGTTGATCTTGAGAAAAAGTAAGTAAGAAAAAGTAAAAAGTATAATATAATTATACTATATTTAAATTTTAACAATTTCTTCTTTTCTCTCTCTTTTTAAATGATAGATTTAGTTGTTTGGATTTATAAAATACTCATTTTTATACTATCTATTTTTTAAATTTATTTTGATCTTAATTTCTAATCACTTGATAACTATGAAATTATCTTCTTTTCAATTTCATTTATAATATTTATTCACAAGATTGTGTGTGTGTGTGTGTTCATTTACTATTCAGAAATTCATCATTACATTGGAATTAATTTTAATGATTAATTATGTTGAATGATAACTTTTCTCTATTACTACTCAATGTTATATCAAAATTAATCGTAATAAAAGAGAAAAATTAATCAATTATAATTTAATTGTAATCATTGATAATACAATTAGTTTGTTATGATTTATAATTTCTTATATAACAGAATAATAATATAAATTATTTATGATAAAGGAATGATTAATTTATAATTAATGCTAATTAATCATTTACTCTTTTATTTTGCAATCAATGATCAATCATAATAATGAAACGATGAAAGAAAACGAAATGATGATGAAAGTAAAAATTATTTTACGTGAAAAATGTTTTTCTTTTTTTCATGTCAAATAAAATCTAAGTGTAGAATTTGACAAGTGTAAATGTCGCATACCTAAAAGAAATGCAATATGTATGAAATGTTTACTTGGCAGTAATGATGATCATCCATTTATCTTTCAGTGATTTTCTTCATTTTCTTTATTTTTTTTTTTTTTTTAGTCATCGAGTTTTTACTGAATGAGATGAGATGACAAAATGATTGGATAGGTTTTAATTGATGAGATTATTGAGTGAAAATGGCATTTATTGTTACTTCAATGAGTAATAATTGATGACATTGTCGCGATTAAATTTTTCAATTGTCTGTTATTTATGTAACAATTAATTCTTTTTTTTTTTTTTTTTTTATTTTTTCCCGCATGATTAGATTAGACAAAAGTGTCTTAATTAATTGCATTGAATATGATTTTGTATATTTAATGCTTTAATATTTTTGAAATCATTTATAAACTGTTAATCATTTCAAAAATTTTTTATAAATATTAATAATTTGAATGATTTACTTTTATAAGTTGTTAATGAGCAGAATGATTTTAAAGTATTGCTAATTTAAATAGCATTTAATTATATCAATTAATATAAATATAGATAGCTCTTTTAGTTCGCTTTTTTTTTTTTGCATATTCCCTCTTATCTTAATAATGAGCATTTTTCAATCTCAATATTTAACATTTAGTAAAGAGATAAGACTTTTTGAGTATTTCTAGTGGAAAACATGCTTAATCATATTATTTCAAAATGTAGTTTGTTCATCAATTGAAGATATGTCACTCTGATAAAGACTAATGCTCTTTCGAGAATTATCTCTGTTATAATTGCTAGTAAACTTATCGATAACATTTGTGCAAACTAAAGGTGGCATATTATTATTATTACTATTATTACAACTATCAATGCACTGCTACTACTATCTATTATTATTTCAATGATTAGCTATTACTATTAAAATTTAACAACAAATAACACAATAAAACAATTATTTAAAAAAAAAAAACGAATAAATAAATATTTTCAATTTTTTACATCCCTTTTTGCTAGATAAACCATAACAAAATCTTTTCTCATCTCTCCAAAATAGCTCTATCATACTGATTTATAATCCAATTTACATTTCCAATTTGTCCATTTCTTTTCTTTCTTCTCTTTTTTTCCTCCTTCCTTCTTCTCCCACCCAATTTCTTGCCCTACCCGCCCCGCTTTCCTTAAATATCTGAAGCTTTTTTTTCCTTCTCTTTCCTGTTTTTTCTTTTTTTTTTTGCATCATTTTTTTTCAATCAAAAAACAAATTTAACCCCTGCTATTTGTTTATTTAGAAGAAAAAAAAAGGCAGGAACAAAAGAAAAAACACAAACAACAAAAAAAAAAAGAACGGGAAAACATGAATTCTTTATTTATTTATACGAAAATAATGTGATGTTTTTTTCTGTTTTTTTTTTTTTTTTTTTTTTTTTTTTGTAATTCATATGAAAATTAATGTTTTGATTACAGTTGAATGCTTTTAATAAACAGAGCTTTCTTTTTTTTTTCTTTTTATTTATTATATTTGTGAACAAAATTATTCAATGAATATCTTTGCTACTAATATTCATCAAAATTTCAGTTTTTTTCCTTTGCTTGTAAACAATTTGTTAATATTTCATTTCAGATAATAAATGAAATTTAAGTTTTAAATTTTATTATTGAAATTTAAATGTTAAAAAAAAAAGTTTTTTATTCATTATCATCATTTAAAAAAAATGCATAAATCATCGTTGTTATTATATACATTCCATTCGAAATAGTAATTAATAAAAGCAGAAGGATGCTGGACAATTTTTGACAAATATTTTTCAATTTCAAATTTAATTTATTAATTGTTGTAATTTGTTAGATAATATATTTCCATTCTTTTCTTTTCCTTGTATCCATTAATTATTCTGCTGTTTATTGCCATTTCTTAATTTTTCAAATATTTTACTCGTCATCTAAATATTCTGTACCTACGTTTAGCATTCTTTTAAATATTTTTATTATCATTAAAAATATCTTTCGGCTATTTAATTTCGTTTAAATGTTCCATTCTTTCTTCAAATATTCTATTCCTATGTTTACCGTTCCTTTAAATATTCCATTCTTTCTTCAAATATTCTATTCCTATGTTTACCGTTCCTTTAAATATTCCATTCTTTCTTCAAATATTCTATTCCTATGTTTACCGTTCCTTTAAATATTCCATTCTTTCTTCAAATATTCTATTCCTATGTTTACCGTTCCTTTAAATATTCCATTCTTTCTTCAAATATTCTATTCCTATGTTTACCGTTCCTTTAAATATTCCATTCTTTCTTCAAATATTCTATTCCTATGTTTACCGTTCCTTTAAATATTCCATTCTTTCTTCAAATATTCTATTCCTATGTTTACCGTTCCTTTAAATATTCTATTCCTATGTTTACCCTTCCTCTAAATATTCTATACTTACGTTTAATATTCTCTTAAATATTCTTCATTAAAATATTCCACTCTTACATTTAGTTTCATTTAAATGTTCCATTCCTCAAATATTCTATTCTTACATCTATTATTCCTTTTAATATTCTATTCTTACTTTAAATATTCTATTCTTGCATTTAGTATTTTTTCCTATTTCAATATTTTTCATCATTACTGCTTCTTTTCTCCTTTTCTTTTTTTCACCTGGTTTCTCTTTTTTCTCGTTCTATTACAATTTAATTTTTAGATCAAAAAAAAAAAAACGAACAGAAAGATTGGATGAGTAGAGAATGAAAGAAAAAAATAGAAAATGTAAAAGGACGATAAACGATAGAGGGAGAGAGAGAGAGAGAGAGAGGGTTAAAAAAAATAATAAGAAATGATTTAAGATCAACAGTATAAGTCATTAATCATTTCTTATTTTCTCCTTATTATTATTGCCATCAATGAATTTTTACCTATTTTCAACCTTTTCTAGGAGCAGAAATGAAAGAACAACAAAATAAAAATAAAAATTAAAAATAAAAAAAAAAAAAAAAAAAAAAACAAGTCTATAAAACATCAAAAATTTAGCAATTTGAACTGATGAAAAATTCACTTTTAGCAAAATATTTCGTTCATCATACATTGCTTTTTTTTAATCACTTTTTTTGTTTTTTTAAATTTTTATAATAATAATAATAATATAAATATTCCAGCAATAATATAAAAAAAAAAAACGAAAGAAATAATTTTTGTTTTTATTTAATTTTTTAGCATTTATTCCATTTTATTTTCATCTTCTCTATTATTAATATAAAATTTTTTGCGTAAAAAAAATTTGCCAATTTCTTTTGCTTTTTCTTCATTCAAATTTTCTTTTCTTTTCAATCCTTTTCAATTATAATTATAAGCTTTTTTTTTTTCTTTTTAGAGATAAAGTTTATTTATAATGAAATTTTTTTTTTTATTTATTTAAATTTCAATGCAAATATTTTAATCTTTTGATTTAAAATTATTTGAAATATATTTTATTCGCTTTTCTTTTTTTTTTTTTATTTAAACAAAAATTTGTAACAATAACAATTGCTGTTTAAAAATTTGAGTTTTAGAAGAAATTAAAAAATTGGAAATATGTGTGCCATACAATTTTTTTTTTTTCTTTTTACTAATATGCCATTTCTCTCTTCTTTTCTTTTCTTTTTCTTTTTTCTTCTTTCTCTCCTTCTCAGTTTATCCCTCCCTCTCTCTCTCCCTCTCTCTCTCTTAATTTCATTATCTCAGTTGTGATAATTAAACAAATTAATAGTGACAGCATCACAATAATCTAATTCTGAACTTCTTCAATGCCTTCCTGAAAGCATAAATTGAAGATTAAACCCGAAAAGTATTGATTTGAATTCATTCCGTTCCATTTCACTCTTTTGCTTAAAGATGAAATGTTTACTAATTTTTAAAATATCGTTTAAATTCTATAATAAATTCTGGTTATTTGTTTAAGCTAATGGCAATATGTTTATCACCATTATCACATAATTATCACTCATTCAATCAAATTAGTAATATATTAAGAAGGTGATAGTTAATATTTTTTGAAAATTTCATCTACAATTTATTTTTTAAATGAATGTCAAAAAGTAAAATTTATCGTTCAAATATAATTTCTAATTGAAATGAAGAAGTGAAGGAAAAGAAAAACAAACGTAAAATAGTTGCAATCATATTTTAGTAAGTACTAATTTTAAAATAACTCATCAAATTAATAAATAAATTATTATTACTATATTTTTAATCTATTTGTTAAAATAGATAACAAAAAGAAAAATTTTTGCTTAGGTAAGTTTAAATATTTTTTTATAAGTTTTTTTAAAATATAGTTAATAAAATAATGAAAAAAAAAAAAAAAAAAAAAAGAAAAGGAGATGAAACCATTACATTAATTGAGTAAAAAGCTGTAAATTGTAAAAAAAAAAAAAAATACTAACAAAATTCAAAAAATAATTCAAAATTTTATCACGATAATAATGAAAGAATTAATTATTTTGTTTATCTCATCAATTTATGTATATATGTTGTGAAATGATAATAAACTTTAATAAAATTCATATTATATTTATTCCACTATATTCATTTCATTTCTTTCCCTAATATTTTCTTATTTATTATAATAGCTGTTATTGTTATCATCATAATATAATAATTACTATTATTATTATTAATATTTATTATATATATGTATGAATATGTTCAAATGACTGGAATGCAAAAGAATAAGAATGAGGTAGTAAAGGAGAGGAAATAATTTTTTTTTACATTTTCCTTTTCTTTTAAATCACTATCGTCATGGTTGCTATCATCCTATCATCAATATTATCATCACCCTTACAATCATCGCCACTATTACTAACTACTATTGTTATTTATTATTATTGACATCACTAATTTTATCATCATCAATACCATTATGACTACTACTAGTAATAATAATTAGTACTACTGCTACTGATATTAATAATTCATCATTAATATCACTATTGTTACTACTACTGCTACCACCATCACTACCATCATTATTATCATCATCATCATCAGCAACTACCGTAATCTGAGAAGAAGCGGTAGCAACGGCAATCGGTCACGATGTCAGCGGGTTTCATTGGAATGAGGTGTGGTGGTGGAAGGATAGGGAGGGGAAGGAAGGAAGGAAGGAAGTAGTAGTAGTAATATCACAGAGAGATAGATGCTCGATAGGGTGGGTATCATACTATGATGTAGTTATTGCTGCTGGAGAAATACTGCTGCTGTATCATAGGGTATATATGTATGTTTGTATGTCTGTGTATGTGTGTATGTGTGTGTGTATGTGTATGTGTATTGGATGTGAATCTTTTGGGGTGGTGTCCCTAAACGACAGCAGGAATAGATGGACGGGCATGAAGCTATCAATCATTGGGTGCCAATCGACTACCTTCCTCATCTCCTCCTCCCATTCCCCCTTCTCTTATGTCTTTTCTCTTTTCTCGAATGGAACCGAATCGAATCGAATCAAATCAAATTGAATCGAATCGAATGGAATCAAATGGAATGGAATCGAATTCAAAATTCGAATCGAATCAAAGAAAAAAAAGAGAGAAAAAAGAAATTCCCATCTCCAATTTTTTTCTTTTTCTTCCCTTTTCTTAAGAATTTATTCTATTTTTATTCTATTCCATTCCTGTTCTTTCGTTCTTTTTTTTTTTTTTTTAAAATTTTGTTGTTTAAATTTTTGCAGCTAATAGGCATATTTATATTTAAAATAAATAAGTAAATAACAATACATATATATTAAATGTGTAAGAAGATGTGAATGGTATAGAATTAGGTAATTTCTTCTTATTTTTACCTTTTACCCTTTTATCTTTCTCCAAATTTATATCTTCTTGTCTCAAAAAAAAAAAAAAAAAAAAATGAAAAAGCACAAAAAAAAAAATTTGAGGATAAATGAGGCGGGGAAATGGGAGGGGAAGTAAAGAGGAAAAGGAAAGTTGATAACGGATACGTAAAATGATTGTAAAATTAATCATTATAGGGATAATACGATGAATGTATTATATATGACTTGAAAGGAGAAATGGGCAACAAATGGAAGGGTAAGGAAGGCGGGAACGGGTAGAGTAAGGGTAGGGGAATGAAGAAGGGGAAAGAATGAAATACGCGGTATAAAATATAGGTGAAAATGATGGTACACAAATGCATATCTCTTGTCATTTTCAACTTGATAAAATTTATTACATGATAATAATGTTAATGATAGTGTTAATGTTGTTGTTAATTAGTGTTTATATTATTATAACAGTAATGAAAATGATGATGATGATGATAATATTTCAATACAAGAATTATCATTATTATTAACATTATCATCGTAATCATGATTATTGTTGTTATATCATTAATAGTAACTGACTACAATTATTAGATTGATAATGAAAAACAACAAATCCCCTTTCCTCATTCTTTTTTTTTTGAAAAAAAAATTTCAAAAAAAAAGCAAAAGATGAAGAGAAAAAAAAAATCAAGAAAATATCAATGATATATATCGTTACCGTTTATTTTAATATGTTAACACTTATCTATGTCACATCATTTTTTTTTCTCCTCCATTTCTTTCACTTCATCTTCCTCCTTCTCCTTATCATCATCATTATCATCATTATCATCATCATCATCATCATCCTCTTTCTTATCCTTTTTTCTGATTTCTATCATCTTTTTTTTTGATTTGTTTGATAGAGTAAATATTATTAATTTAACTATGATCGTAGCAATAATAATAATAAAAATTTTAGCTATGATAAGCTTTATCCATCTTTTGTTTAATTTATTCTCTTAAAGTTTTGCAATTGAAATTCATTCCTAATTAATATAATAAGTAATTACTTAACTACAAAATTGTTATTGTTGATTGTGTTTCAGTCCTTCGTTTTTTCTCCATTAATCTCACTTATCACATTAATTTAATTGCAAATGATATGACAAAATATCAGACAAAAAAAAAACATACAGTCGAACAAGTAGTAAATAAACTGATAGAAATTTTCATTTTTTTTTTCGTTTAAACGGAATCGAAGAAAAAAAAGAATGAAAAACCGGCTGAATGAGTAAGAATAAAAACTGATACATTATCGATATTACTATTATCATTGCTATCATTGTTACAATACAATATCAGTTCTCTATTTATGATCATCATTATACTAAAAAAGGATAATTAATGAGAGTGATAAAGTAATGATATAGAATTGTGAGATAACGATGATAACTGATATTGTTGATGATGATGATAATGATTGTGGTGATAATGATAATGAGGGAGAGGGGAAATAAAGATGAAGGAAAAAAGATTTGAATTTACCTTTTATTTACAAACAAAACAAAAAAATATTAGAAATTTTTTTTAAAAATAGGTAAACGAAAAAAAAAAAAGAATTTGCAAGGCCTTTTAAACTCTCTCTCTTATTGCTTTCTCTCTCTCTCCCTCATTCTCTCCTTTTTGCTTATTTTCATCCTTTCTTTCGTTATATTTTTTGCATTCGTCTATTTCCCTTTCTTTTTTTTTCTTCAATTTAGAAAAAAAAATTTCTTTTCTCTTCGTTTTTTGAATATTTTTGTATTCAACAAATTAAAAAAAGTTGAACCTTTTCTTTTTTTCTTCTTTCTCTTTCTCTCATCTTTATCCCTTCTCATTCTCCTAACCTTTTCTTTCTGCTTCTCTTTCTTTTTTCAATTTTTTTTTTATTTTTAAATGAGACACAGATTGGCTTTCTGAAGTGCAATATATATGTATATGGTGTGTATGGGTGTGTGTGGTTGTGCACGGGTGTGTATGGGTGTGTATGGTTGTGCACGGGTGTGTATGGTTGTGCACGGGTGTGTATGGTTGTGCACGGGTGTGTATGGGTATATATGGTTGTGCACGGGTGTGTATGGTTGTGCACGGGTGTGTATGGGTGTGTATGGTTGTGCACGGGTGTGTATGGTTGTGCACGGGTGTGTATGGGTGTGTATGGTTGTGCACGGGTGTGTATGGGTGTGTATGGTTGTGCACGGGTGTGTATGGTTGTGCACGGGTGTGTATGGGTGTGTATGGTTGTGCACGGGTGTGTATGGGTGTGTATGGTTGTGCACGGGTGTGTATGGTTGTGCACGGGTGTGTATGGGTGTGTATGGTTGTGCACGGGTGTGTATGGTTGTGCACGGGTGTGTATGGGTGTGTATGGTTGTGCACGGGTGTGTATGGGTGTGTATGGTTGTGCACGGGTGTGTATGGGTGTGTGTGGTTGTGCACGGGTGTGTATGGGTGGTGCACATGTCTGTACTATTGTTTGATTCCAAATTAATCTCCTTTAACACTACCCAAACACCAACAACAACAGAAGCATCACCATCAGTACACTACAACCAATTCCTCTTTTCCTCCTCCCTTTTCCTCCCTCTCTTTTCCTCCTCCTCTCTCCTCCTTCTCTTCCTCCTAACTCCTCCTCCTCCTTCTCTTCATCCTCTTCCAATTTTTTTCTTTTTTCATTGAAATTATTCCAAAATCCGTCAAAAAATTCTCAAAATCTATCCAAAAATTTTAAATTAATCAATTTTTCGTACTTTATTTAATCATTCTCTTCCTCTCTTTTCTCCTTCTCTTTCTCACTCTCCCTCTCTCCCTCTCTCTCTGTCTCTCTTTGCACTACTTATTTAAATTTGTTAATGAGAAAAAAAAAATGGAAATAAAAGATAAATGAAAGCAAGAAAAGGCGAAAAAAAAACAAAAAAAAAAAAAAACAAAATGGTAAAAATTATTTATTTAAAAAAAAAAAATTATAAACTAATTTAAAGAATTTATGCCATCATTAAATGATAATAAAAGAAAGAAAAGGATGGAAACTGTATGAATAATTTGTTATTGTAGCAGCAATAATAATAATAATTTGTAATAGCAATAATAGTTGTAGTAGTAACGGTATAACAATAAAACGATAATTATATTAATAGTAATAGGGAAAAGTAAAAGAACGCAAAAACAATGTTAACTTAGTCGCTTTACCTAATATCTACTTTTATTTTATTCTTATTTATTTGTTTATTTTTTTCTAAACATCAATCATTCTTTTGCTAATAATTTAACTTTGTAACTAAATTTCAAAAATAGTTGTAAAAGTAGAAATAGTAAGTAAATAAATAAGCAATAAAAAAAAAAAAACACAAATATATATATATATATAACAACAATAAAAACTAAAAAATAGGAGGAATTAAAAAAAGAAGGAGAAAGAGAGAGAGAGAAGAGCAGAGAAGAGAGAAGGAAGAACAGAAGGAGGAGAAGAGAGAAGGAAGAAGGAAGGAGAATTTTGCTGTTGTCAATTTTATTTTTCCTTAAACTAGGCGGGATAAGATTGGATGGGTACGGAAAGATTTCAATTTTAGTTCCACCCCAATCTAACCAATCTCATCTCATCTCATCTCATCTTATCCTCCATCCTATTCTTTTTGTCCTTTCCGTTAATATTCCATCCAATCATCCATTCATTCATTCAGTCAGTCAGTCATTTAGTCACTCACTCATTCATTCATTCATTGAGTCAGTCAGTCATTCATTCATTCATTCATTCAGTCATTCATTTAGTCACTTATTCATTCATTCATTCATTCAATCAGTCAGTCAGTCATTCATTCATTCAGCCATTCATTATATCGATCTTTAACAATAAACTAACCGTATTTGACGGGCGATTAATTTTTTTTTTTTTTTTCATTTTTATTTTCTTTAACACCTCATCGGATTTAAAATTAAAATCCTTCTAATATATCATAGCATTTGTTTGCAATTTATTATTGTTAAGTAAATTATTACTTACATATATATATGTGCGCGAAATACACGTGTATGTACGTGTACGTATAAGTTATGTAATGAATATATTTTTATTCACAGTTATTCAGTTCTAAATAACTTTTGCAACAGTTTAACCGAAACGAAAAATTTTATCGAATATTTTTATAGTGCTTAGTTATTAATTATTTACTTTTGCTCATTCTATTATTGAATATTTCATTCATTAATTTATCAAAATTTTAGATAGAATTTTTTTTTTCTTTGAAATTTATTTTAATTATTATATTAATATGTTTATTGATAGATATTAGTATAATACGGGGGAGCGGGGGGGGGGGGGGGGAGGAGAAAATAATTTGTTTTTTAAATGGTACCAATGTACACACGCACACACACACACACACACACACACACACACACACACACACACACACACATACATAAATGTGCAGACGGTCTTGGAATTACAGTATCCAATAAAAGAGGGACATATTCAAAAGATACAAATATGACAATTGTAGCAATTTAAATAAAATAATTATTCTATTTGTTGTCAGAAATGAAAAAAAAAAAAAAAACTTTAATTAAAATTCATAAATTATTTTTCAGCTATTTTAAATTGAACAAAATTGTTAGAAAAAAGAAAAGAAAAGAAATTTCATACAGATTTGTTGATTATCTGTGATAAATAAGTACTATTTGGTTTAATATTATAGTAATAAATTTAATTTTTTTTTTTTTTATAGTTACACTATCATCTTGTTTAATTTTATATTAATTATCACAAATATTCAACAAATCTGTCTAAAAAAAAGGTCTTTTATATTTCATTTTGTCTAATTTTCTATAATGTAACAACTTAAAGTAGCTAAAAAAAAAATAATTTATTAATTAAATGAAAGTGATAATTCAAATGTATGGCTATTTAAAGAAATAACATTTAATTGATGTATTGTTGATTGATTTGATATTTTAATTTTTCTTTTCATTGTAAATGAACTAATTAAATTAAAATTGGTAACAATTTTAATTTGAAAAGATACAATATATCATTACATAATCCATCAAGTAACAATGATATGATATATAGAATGATGAAATGGATGTTAAAACAAGACAAGACAAGTCAAGACAGGATAAGACAGGATAACATAGATTGATTGGTAGGTAAACTGATATAAATGTCTTCTTGAAATAACAGAAAGATGACATTTAATTATGGATTAAAAGTAAAGTACTTGTTATAAAGTGACATTAATAGTTTAAGAAAAATTGATTTTATTATGTCTTTGTTTCCTTGTAATATTATTATGAATTAATGTTATTTGCTACTTCGTAATGTTACTTCATTAATTTTTTTCCGATTATCATTAATTAATTTTCTTTTCGCTGAAAAAAAAAAGAAAAAGGCTAATCATCCATTTTTATTTGGATATTACAATACATTTTAACATAGTTCAGCAATAATTCATTTGTAGTTGTAAAAATAATTTTAGGAATTTTTTCATTTCCACAGGAAGGTGAAGAAAGCAAAAGAAGAAAGAACGAACTGTTATTGCGAGATAAATATTAAATCGTCGTTATTATTATTATTATTATCATCGTTCTATTCACCTTCACTATTTATTATCGATATTATCCTTATTATTATTGTTATTATACTGTTAATATTATCATCAAAAACATCAACATCATCATCGGCAACAACCGCAGTAGTAGCAGTATCTCGGAAGTCCCATACATATGTCACAACGGGTCCGTCTTCTATAATTACTTTTCTTCTTTTTCTTTTTTTTTTTTTTTTTTTTTTGAATTTCATAGTTTATCATTATTCTGTTGTACTTAAGTTTTTTTTTTTTAATTTCTTTAAGTATTTTTTCATCATTATCGCTATGATAATAGCAACGGGAAGAAGCAGTTTCATTTCTCGATACATTTATTCATTTTGCTATCATACATTTATAATAGTAGTAGAGTAAGGTTATACAGTATTAATTTTAGAAATTCTGCTGTATGCTTGAAGGCATACCGTATTAGTTTCAAAGTTTTACCGTAATTTACAGATGAGATATAGAAGAGTTTTTTTTATTGTAATTTATATTTTAATGGGATTACTGTTCTTTTCTTTTTTTTTTTCGAAATTTTTATTCGCAAATGAAAGCAATGAGATTGACTTTCTTTTTTTGTAATTATTATCATTAAAAATACAACTTGATAAATAATACCTAACATTCCCATGATGAATTTTTCAAAATTTTACTGTACGTACACATCAGTCGTACTGTATTCATTTAATAAACATTGCTGTTTGCACTATTTTTAGTTGTTTATTTATTATTTTTTTTTCCTTTAAGATTATTATACCTTAATACGATCATTTTTTTTCTACATTTTCTTCTAAAATTTTTGTTTTTGTTAACAAAACTTATAAAAATTGGAAGCAAAAATCCTCATTTCTTTAAATAAATTCATCTTCAGATCACAAAATTAGATGATAATTTTTTTTCTTCTTTCTAAATTTAAAATAATAATTTTGATTTAAATTCATTTCTCAATACTACGTATTAGTCAATATTAGGTCTTCTGTATTTTTCAGTACCAAAATATAGTTTTTTTTTTCTTTTTTTTACTATAATTTATTTATAATTTCAAGAAAAAAGAACTAAAATAATAAAAAAAAAATTTTTTTTTTATAGCTTAGTTTATTTTTATATCATAATAAACACTATTTTCCATTCAATCATTAAAGATTGTCGTCCAAAAATGAGCGGATGGAAGCAATTTTTTTTTGACAATTTTCGCATGCACAACCATTGTATTCCATTTCCATTCATTCATTACTTATCGATCTTTGATTATTTATATTGATTAGCTCCTTACTCTACTTTATTAGTTACATAAATTTGTTTATTTGATTATAAAATACTTGGCAAATTCTTAGTGAAGTCATTATATTTTACAAATTAATAATTTCCATATATTTTTTCCTTTATGAAAAACGAAAAAAAAAAAAAAAGGAGAGTAAAATATAGCTTTTGAACAATTTAATTTTTATTTTAGAGATTATAATTTTTTTTATTTTTGTTTTATAATTTGCATATTTCGAACTGATTAAAATTTTCCTAACATTTCAATTTGATCTGAAATTACCGTAATATTATTGGCATATGAGTGAAGTAATCAAAAAATAAAACTCGACTCTTCTCAGTTTTTTTTTTCTCCATTTTTTCTTTTTTTTTTTTTTGTTTTACCTTTTTCTTCTCTCTCTCCTTTTCTCTCTGTCCCTCTCTCCCTCCCTCTCTCTCTCTCTTTTCATTTTCTACCATATGGAAGGAAAAAATGAGCAAAGATAGGAAAATAATTGAAAAAATATGAATAAAATGAAGTAAGAAATCTTTCTTTCTTCTCTCCTTCTCTCATACTCATTTGATATTTCGTTTACTTCTTGTAGTTTAAAAGTTTTTGTTTGATATTTTAAAAAGATAAAGGAGAAAAAAAAAACGAAAAAAGCTAAGCAACTTTGTTAGCAATTTATCCAATTCAACAATTGCAACCAAATATTTTGCGATTCTCCCATAAGTTCTCATGGGAGAATTGAAAAGAAAATGAGAAAATGATCTAAAAATTTTTTGCTAACAAACCGATAAATAAAAATGAACAAAAAAAAAAAAAAAAAAAAAAGGAGAAATTAACATCGTTTTGAAATTTACATATTTGAATGTTTATTTATATATATAAATTAATGAGTGCAAAAATTTTTAATTTTATTTCACTCATTTAAATTAGATTATTAGTTCAAAGTAATTATTGAATGAGTTCAGAATTAATGCGCCTAGAATACGATACTGGTTTTGAGGGATACGGTAATGACAGTGATTGGAATTACTAAAATTTGAAAAAGAAAAAAAAAATAGATTTTGTGGAAAAGACTAACCTTTCCGCCTAAAATTAATTCATGCATGGATGTATTGATATGTATGTGTGTATGTTTGTATGCATGTGTGTGTATTTATGCATGTGAGTATGCATGTATGTGTATGTGTGTGTGTGTCTGTGTGAAATTGCAAAATAGAATAACAATGTTTTTTAAATTATAAAATATTTGCAAGTTATATTTCAATTAAAGAATAAAAATTAAGCATTAAAATTCCATTACATCCATTTCAATTTTATCTATCAAATTGAAAAATTATTTTATAAATTTACAAATTTTTGCTATTTTCTGTCATTGTTTAAAGGAATTTTTTTGTTTTTGATTGATTACATTTTGTTTTTAAATTATTAGCGACAAAAGTTGACGATTTCATTTCAAAAATCATTTATAATCACAAATATTTATCAAATTAATTTAATCTTATTCTTTAGCATTCTATTATATTTTATAATTTTTTCCATACCATTCCATTCCATTCTATTCTGATCTATTCATTTCGTTCCATAATTTTCTATTCTACTTTTATTTTCAAATTTTTATTAATGTTTTTTTTTTTGCATAACCATTCCTTGCACTATAATATTTTATAATTTAACCATATAAATTACATTCAATTATTTATTTATTTTTTTTTTTTTCAAAAAATCATTTCTGTCATTTCAATATGTTTTATTTATTAAAGTAAGCAACAGAAGAATTTTAGAAAACAAATAAATATAATAAAATTAAATAAATTGCGCAACTGACGGATTAAACAGAATAAATGATTTTACTGAGACAAATAAATTGCGCTCAATAAAATGTTCCAACTTGTTGTTTATGTCGTCATTTGCTTAGTTGTTAAATGTGTCATTATTGATTACATACAACTCTTATCATTGTCATTATCATTATTTATCACTACTTTCATCCTACTTTCTATTTTCTTCCGTTTTTTTTTTTTTTTTTTTCAAATCGAATTTGCATAAGTTATTCGATTATAATCTAGCATTTAAACTGAATAAAACGTATAATAATTTGGAATTCTTTAAACGAATTAAATTATCAACTTTTTGAGATAAATTTTATTTTTTCAAAATTTAATTCTTTTCGTTTCTTCTTTTTTGATTTCATAAAAAATAATTTAGATGAAAATTTTTATTTATGCCAAATTAAATTTTTCAGTTTTTTTTTTTGTTTTGTTTTTTGAAGTTTAATGTAAATTTTAATAACAGTAACAAATTTGTTCAAACAAGAATAAATAACATTAGTTGGTTATATTTATAAATTACTTAAATTATTTGTCATAATCATTAATTTACAAAATCAAACAAATTGAATCTTATCATATTACTCATTAGTTCTTTCAAGTAATTCATCTTAATTTTTATTTCTTTTTTTTACATTTTGAAGATTGCTTTTGTTAATTTCATTTAATTTAAAATGCTATTTCTCTTCCTTGGTGCATTTATTGTTCACAACCATTCATTATTCGAACTATTTTGAAATTGTTAGAAGAATCTAAATTTTCTGGGATTTATTTTTTCCATTTTTTCTTAGAATTTAATCTTCACAAAAATGATAATAAGTGAGAAGAAAAAAGCGAAAAAAAGAAGAAAGATTGACAAGTTAAAGGTTAATGAACGAATGATCAAATTTTTCAACAATTAATCAAGTACCTTTTTATGATTGAAACAGTTGACATGAAATGAAGTGAAGATATCAGTGAGAATTATTTCATTTAGGAATTTAAGTAAAGAAAAAAAAAAAAATGGAAACTTTATTTCGCATAGAAATTTGTTATTGATTTTAACATTTCCAAATATCAAACAATGTTCAAACTGACCATACTTTATAATACACTAATAAACAAATGAATAAGTTTGATAATATTCATTTCAAATCAATTTAATCGACAATTTTAATGAATTTATCAATGATAAACTTTTATCACTTAATCACTAAAATGATCATTATCAATCAGGTCAATGCTTTGATAATATTTCATACAAAATTCAAGAATTTTTTTTGATGGTTTCAGATGCTCAAATAATGATTACAAATGATCATTCTAATAATAATAGTAATATGAATAGTAATTAATAATTTTAATAGCAATTTTGACTTCATAATTTTTCAAAAATATATTATAATTTTTTCAAATTTCTTGTGTCAATCTTAAAATATGTGCGCTATTTTGATGCAATTTACGTATTCAAAAGAATATTATAAAATTATGCATCACTCTATCATTAATCATTATTAATTGTAAAATTTATATATTTTGTTGCTTCACATCTTATCATTTTTTAAATTTTTTAATGAATACCAGAAAAATAAAAAAAAAAAAACGAAAGATAAAGCATAAATTTTTCACATTGCTAAATCTTTCATTTTAGTAATTAAATCTTAGCATTTTAGCATTACTTTCATTAATAAAGATAATTACTGCTTATTTTAAGTTTTAAATTGAATTTGAGGATAAAACAATCTTTGTGGAAGTGAAAAGATAATTTATTATGAAAAAAAAAAAAGAAAATTTTTACTCACAAATTTTGAATGATAGAATGAATTGTTCTGTTTTTTTTGTTTGTTTCATTTTATTTTTTTTTTTTCTTTTGCAATATATAAATTACATAAAATATTGGTTTAATTGATAATTGTAATTAATTTAGATTAAGATTTGAAATTTTTTGAAAGTATTACTAAATGCAAAAGTACTTACTATTTTAAATTTGATATTAATAAATCATAACATTTAACATATATGATATAAATGAATAATCTAAAAATTATTATAAAAATTTTAACCTTTTATCAAAAATGTTGCTAAATTCTGTTAATTATTACTGCTTTTATAATCTATTAATTAATTAACATAAAAGGAAATTGATTTATTGTATTTTATGTGTGTGTCTGCGTCATATATTTATATATTTTATATATAAAAATTATTTGTATATAAAATTTGTTTTTATATACAAATATGAAATTATTTTTTAATTACAATAATTATTCTTTTAATAATATTTTGAAAAAAAAAATTGAAATGAATATTGCTGCGATTATTTTTATTATGATTATTAATTTAAGTGCTAATTGTCAATGCGTTAATTAGATGATAATATTAATGTTATTGAATGAATGATGACGACAAAAAGAGAATGGAAATGTTAGTTAGTAATTGAGAAATCATTGAAATGGATTTAGATTAGGGAAATTGCCCATGGGTAATTGAGAAGTGATGAATTATAAAAGTTAGATTATTTAATTGATATATGTATGTTAGAATGAATGAAGGTAGGAGAGAAAGAGAAGGGAAAGTAAATTGAATTATCATTTATTGATGTGAAACTTTCGATAATTAATAGTGACAATAATCTAATATTATTTGCATGAAAATTTTCATCAAAAATATATCCAAAAATAGAATTGGAAAAAAAATAGAAACAAAAATACTTAAAATATTCGTTTTTTTTTTGTTTTAATTTTTAATATTTTATTATCAGTTTTTTTGATTAATTATTATCTGTTAACTTAATTCATAATATAGTAATAATTAATTTAATTAACTCACTTCAATTTCCTCTTTTTTTTTACTTCTGAATGAATGGAATTTTTAAAAAAGTGAAATAAATAGAACTTTAATATATGCAATTTGTTTTAATTTCTTTTTTTTTAATTAAACAATTTCTGATATCAAAAATAATTGATTTTAGAAATTTGATTCTGTGTTATAAAAATTTATTGTAATTTTTATAATTTATGATAAAAAAAAAAAGTAAGCAAAGATAATTGTGTAAAATGAACTCAGCAAAATTACCTCTTTAAACAGCTGACTCTTCAAATTCTTTTTTACTATTTCCAAAAAAAATTTTAACTTTTTCAAAATTTCTCAGTTAAAAATTTGAGAAAAAAAGAGATTGAGAAGAAAAAAAATTTTTTTATTTATTTTTTTATATCGCCAAAAAAAACGTATAATTAAACAAAAAAAAAATGTTTTTTTCTTTTTGAAAATTTGATGAAAAACAAAGTTTTTTTTTTTTTTTTTTTTTTTTTTTTGAAATTTCCATCTTTTTTCTGTTGCATTTAAAAATGAACGAAATAATAATTTTACCAAATTAAAATAAATTTTTTCTTTTTTATTTTGCATTTTGCATCCTAAATTTTGCTTTTTCCTTGTTCCACCTTTTTCTTGCATTTCATTTTTTTACTTTTTGTTTTTTTTTTTTTTTTTTTAAATTTGCTACGATTGGAAAAAAATTGCATCCTTAAAATTATTTGCGATCAAATTTCGGACTAATTTTTGCTCTTTTAGGAGTAACAAAAATTCATTAATTATAATATTACACTATTAGAAAACTAGTTAATTTGAAATTTTTATAGAAACAAAAAAAAAAAAAAAAAATTCCCATCTTTTTTTTTTCAACTTTCTTAATTTTTAAAAAATAATTTTTATTTTTTTGCTGTTCTTCGTACATTCAGGATGAATTACGGTATACAGTTTCAATTATTGTTTTTATTCTTTTTCGTTTTCTTTTTTTTTTTTCCTTCTTTTTTTTCTAAGTTTTAACAAAGTTTCAATTATTATTGATGACAGTGTAATATTGTTTGTTTAATTAAAATTTAAACATCTTTTTTTGATTATTATTCATAATTATATGTGTATATTTATACTATAATATAGTAAAATCTAACATTTCAGATTTATTTTCAAATTCTTAAATCTTTCAGATACATATTAAAAACAATTATTGATTGATTGTATATAGAAAAAAGTTCTTTTTTTTTTTCAAAATGAGAAAAATTTGATCAAATAATTTTTATATTTGTTCAAAATTTATTTCTCTTTATTTGTTATTTTAATTTCGAACTTATTTTTTCTTTTTCTTTTTTTTTTTATTGAATAATTTTAAATGATTGAAGAAAGGTTTGAGTAACTGACAAATTTATGTCTCATTAATGACTATTTTTATGAATGAATTTTTAGGCGTAATAATATATTTTGTTACATTAATGATTCTATCCGATCGGTATATTCCGGTAATAAATTTATGTGAAACAGTAAATGAGAGACAGTTGCAGAGTTCGTCGTAGAAGTAATAAATTCCACAATTCTGTCACCGTTTCATAAACTTTGCATTGATGACTTAATAAATTATTGCAGTGATTTTTCTTTAGATTAATTATTATATTAGTAAGAAATTTTTATATTCATTGTTACATAGGTATTAAATTTGCATATTTATTGCTTTTTATTGGTTCATAATTTCTTGTATTTTTTGTAAATTTTGGGTTTTTCAATTACTAATTAATTGTAATTAATAATTACTAATATGAATTTTTATGTTCAATTTTTCATAAATATGAATGTTTTATTTACAAATTATAAAATATGAATTACATATTAATTAACTGTAATTAATAATTACTAATACGAATTTTTATATTACTTATTATTATTTACATATGTATGCAAATTTTTATCGTTCTTTTTAAGCAAAGACATTAATTGAATACATGTTAAAATTTATTAAATTTTAAATTTTGTTAAAAAGCAAAAAAAAAATGACTTTTTTGCAAGGAATTTTAAAATTTTCAATATTTTAGTCAATTTCATGCTAACGACTTTTTCCCTTCTTATAATTTTTCAAAACTGATAATATAGATGACAACTTTAATAATTTTGAAGTTTTTTTTTCCTTATTTTGAAGATTTTTCCATCATAGTAATTAGCTTGTTATGCCGAAGAAAGATCACTTAAACATAATTCAAAATATCTAATTTATATTTTAAACTTTTCAATTATTAAAACTTTAATGCTGCATGCTGTTATTATGAATTTTATACAGGAGTAATTGAAATTTTTCGAAATTTTAACAATTTAAAACTATTCAATTTATACAGGAAGTCAATTAATCAAATAATAGCAAACTTAATAAAATATCTAAAAGTTTTTCTTTTTTTTTTTTTTTTTTTTTTTTTTTTTTGTTTTAAATAAATTTTTTCGTTGTAATAACTCTTTTTGAATGCATAAATTACAGTATGGAGATGGTTATGGGCCACCGCCCACGGCATCAGATGTTTATACCGGAACGGGTACCGATCCCGCAGCGGCATCACTGGGTTATTTTGGTATGGGAGCATATCCGCCGGTTGCTACCGCACCACCAACAATGCTTGCTGATCCGCTCAATGAACGAATGAAACGTGATAAGGAAGCCATCTATAAGTAAATTTCAAAATATTTTATAATTTTTATTTAAAATTCATTTAAATTCATTTTTCCTTCTTTCTTTCTTTATATTGAATTATATCGAAAAAATAATTTATTAATAAAAAAAAAATCTTACAAAATATATTTTTAATAAATTCTAAGATGATACAAAAAAAATTCTACAAGAGAAAAAAAAAAAAAAAACAAATTGCAACAAATTTATAATTCACGAGTAGTAAAAAAAAAAAGGTAATTTGATCAGGGATAGTAATTGCAAATATAAAAATGATAAAACTTTTTTTGTTTAAAAAAAAAAATAAAGGTTTGTTGAAGTAAAAAAATTTTTCAATCCTTTTTTTTTACACAATTATAAAAATTTTTGCTTAAATTTTCATCCTATTAAATTACATCAATTTCATCCTATTCTCTCCACTGAATGAAAAATGAAATAGAATTAAATTTTATAAATAAATAAAAGGAAAAATTTATGAATAAATAAAAGTGATGATGTGAAAGATGGAAGAAAGGGAAAAAATAAGAAGAGACGAAGAAGACGAAGAAGGGATACAGTATCTTCTGCGCATATTTTAGCAAATGATAAAAAGCGCCATCTGTTTATCAGAGCACAATAATAAAATGAAGCGTAAATTATCAAAAAGCGCTTTTATTTGTATGCATTATCAATGGGCGCAGAATTAATAAGCTATATTATCTAAAATATTTCGAATAATACGGTAATATAAGGGAAAATATTGTAGAAATTAAAAATAGAAAAAGACGAAAATAAACACAAACATAGATATATCATAAATAAAATTTATAATTTCAGAAAAAAAAAAAAAGAGAAAAGAAAGAAATCAGTTTAAACAAAGAAGAAAACGTTATGTGAAATTTATTTTTGCATAATTAACAAAATTTAATTACTAGTAAAAACAAATTAAATTGTTTAAATTTTAGGACTTAGTTTCTTTTTATTATTCAATTTTTTATAGTTTAAAACAAAAGATAATTTTTGCAGTCATCCATTATTTCCGTTATTATCGTGCCTTTTCGAAAAATGCGAGTTAGCAACGTGTACACCACGAGAACAGAATAGTACGGCAACGTCAAGTTCAACGTCAACATCGTCAACAAATGACGTCTGCTCATCAGCTTCATTTAAAGATGACCTTGCCGATTTTGCCAAAATGGTTAGTTGCGCCACGATAACCTTGGAGCTATTGATAAAGTCTTTCTCTCTTCTCATCATATTGTTATACAAATCAAACTTTTTGATCAAATTATTTATCTTTTACCAAATTACACCTTTCTCACTTCTTTATTCTCTCTCTCTCCCTCTCTCTCCCTTTCTTTTTTTGCCTTCTTTCTCTCTCTTCCCTTGTTTATGTTTGAAAGAAAAAAAAAAATTTGATTTAAATTTTTTATCGTATATTCATTTTTGATCACTAATATTCGTTACAGTATCTCACAAAAAAAATTTTTTTTTTTCTATTTATTTTAATCGCTACAAAAATTTTAAAATAATCATACAATAAGCATTTTTTTCTCATAAAATATTTTCTTTTTTTTTTCCTTCTTTTTAGGTACAAAGTGAAAAGCCATATTATGTACCAAATCCTGAAGTTGACACATTGGTATGTTTTTTTATTTCATTTTTAAATATTAACTAATTGATATTGATGAGATTAAAATTTAATAATCTAAAGAAAATGATAAACGGATGGAATTTTGATAAGAAATTATTAAGCATATATGCTAATAATTACTATGTTTTTTTTTTTCTTAAAAAAAGTAACAATTCTTTCTTTTTGAAATCAAAATTTATCATTTATAGATGTTGCAATCAATACAAGTCCTTCGTTTCCATTTATTAGAATTGGAAAAGGTTAATTTTATATTTTTAATTTTCTTTTTTAAAAAATTTAAGCTTTGTATTTTTTTTTTCAAAATTTTGAAATTATTTTTATTCTAATATCTATTTATTGATAAATTATCACTCCATTCATTCTTTTCACTATTTTAAATTATTCATTGCTGACATCATAATGAGTAGTAAATTTTACTAATTTCTTTTCAACTTCTGTACATCCACAATTAAAAATCATTACACTTAATTCAAAGAAAAAAAATTTATTTTTTAAATTTTTATTCATTTAAAAAAAAAAAAAGCGAATGAAAAGCATCATAATGTATAATACAAAAATTTTTGTTTAAACTAACTAAAAAAAAATTCACAAAATTTCTTCTCTAAAAATCATCTATTTATTAAAAAAAGAATTAATAAAAATTTAAATGCTAAACAATATAATTATACTGATAAGTTTACCAAATATTGGAACGGATTTTTTTAAAGTTCCATTTATCATTTATAATCAAAACAGAACAGTTAGTTTAATAAATAAATTTTTAAATAAATTTGCTACTTGTGTCACAGGTACTTTTATCATATTTACATTTGATAGAGCAATTTAAAGGTATACAAAAATGGTCAAATTTATAAAATTGAAAAATTATAAATATATATATATACAATTTTTTCTGACTACAATATTTAGTTTTAATAATTTACATACTTTTACCGTCTTTTAACGGTTAAAAAATTAGTCTTCTTTCCTTTTTTTTTATTGAATTATATAAAGCAAAAACAAGTTGCATAATATCTTATAAATACTTGATTAAATTAAATATTTTAACAAATTAATCTTTTTTCGTTACTCACAAGTACTTTTCAATTATATTGAAATGTAATTATATATTTTATAAGCTAGCATTTTTAATCAACTGTAAGCTATGTTTTATAATTATAGTATAATTACTATAATTATTATAACAATAGTAGCAACGATTAATAATGCATTTGTTATTGTTTCAAGTACAACAATCAATTATTGCTAGAGTAAGAAAAGAGAGAAGAACAATAAATGATTAGCATATATCTATTATATCACTTTTATCACTATCATTTATCATTGTTGTTTTATTTAACAATGTTTGTATGATAAGATTGCTTGGAATAACAAAAATGAAAAGTGGAAAGAATATGATTGATTGTAAATGATTTAAAATGATAAAGTGTAAATTCATTTCTAGTATAGCTTGTGAATTTTTGAAAAAATTTAAGGTGAAATTTTTAATTTAATGAAATTATTGTCTTTTCTAACATATCAAAATATTCAAATATCAAAATCAAATTCCAAATGACAAATTATTATCAAATATCAAAATATTCCAAATGACAAATTTTTATCAAAATGCTCATATAGCAATATAGCAATAGTATTAGAATTTAAATTTCGTATAAAGTAATATCACTATGACTGATATTTCAAATGAAAAGTTAAATCTTGTTATATCGTAATTCAAAGTATACTGATTAATCTGAATAGAAATGATAATAAAACATCTCATATTATGAATGTAATTATTAAGGAATCCCAGGAATCAGAATTACTTTATTGCTGTAATAAGTTAGCTTGCATTAAATGATTAAAAAACTAATAAATTATTGCTGTAGACTATAAGATCATAAATATGATCATAAAAATTTACTCAAATTGCTATAAAATAGGTTAACACTTCTTTTTCGTTCATTTTTTCTTGTTTAAATTTTTCCTTTAATTAAATTATTTCACAAAGTTGAAAAAAAAAAAAAAACAATTCTTTTTGCTATTTTCGATTTCGCTCAAATTCTTACTTTTTTCTCTCTGTTTTTTTACGAGGAAATACAAAGTAATGTTATTTATCATCAGTTTATATTTCATACTTTAAGTTATTTAGCAGCATTTGTTTGAAAGATTTCAGTAAAAAAAAAGAAAACGAAATAAAAATAAAGCGAAAAAAAAAAGTAAAATAAAAAAAAAAATAAAGCAAAAATAAGCTGCTGTAGAATAACATCGACATAACTCCTGCTTGAAATCATTTCAACCAAATTAAATAAAAGAAAAACAAAAATTCTAAATCATCTAACACTTTTTAGAAGAAAAATTTGATAATTTTGTTAAGAACTAATAAAGCTTTAAAATAGAGGAACAAACAGAATTTCCTTCCTGTTATTAATAAAAATAATTGTTTAGAAACTGTAATGTATATTTACAAATATTTCTTCAAATTAATTATTGATAAAAATAATAAACATAATTATACTAAATCAGTGACAATTTCATTATTTCAATTATTATCATTTAGACAATTATTTAATTATTCATTGAAAAAAAAAAAAAAAAAAAACTTCAATAATTTTATATAATAGTTTTATTCATTAATTTTTTCTTTATTCAAAGTCTCCATTCATTCTTACTTTTGAATAGTTGTCACATCCACACTACTGCATTTTTTTTTTTTTTTCATTGCTCTTCATCAAGCTTAATATTCACACAATCCTACCTTGTTATACCGTACTGCTCGTAACATACTGTATTTACTGCATACTGTAATCTTCTACAGTATGTAATATTAAATGAGATGAGTTTGATTATTATTGATATTATTATATACATTTCATTTTTACATGTATTAAGCATATAAAATATGAAATTAATAAGTGATTTTTTTTTTTGCTTTAAGATTTAAAAATTTCAAATTGTCCTAATTAATTAATTAATTTCTTTTTACAATATAGCATTTATTTTGCATTATATTAGAAGAGAACAAAAAAAGATGAAAGAGAGAAATTGTTGTCCCATGCTGTGTTGTAAAAAATAATAATGTAATACCCCCTGCTGTAAGCATATGCGATGTTCACTATAATTGATTGAAAAGGTATGGAATTAAAAATTAAACGTTCCTTTACGAATGTGATACTGTCAATTTTAATTTCTTCTTATTTCTTTTAAAATACCGGTTTTTCAATTAGTCGATGACATACAATATTTTATACATATCGCATCTTTCGATAAGACAAAACGGAAGCACAAATGATAGATAAGTAGATAGATTGATTGATTAATCGATTGAATGAATGATCTAAGATGATCAGCGAACATTACAGACAATTATGCATGTGCAGAACTGTCAATAAAGTTTTCTTCAGAAAAAATTTTTTGAAAAAAAAAAATAATAAGTAATAGATAGACAGATAAGTTGAATAATTGACTGAATAAGTGCACAAATGAATGAATGAGTTAATTAATTAATTAATCAATGAATCGATATATGAATCAATCAATCAATCAATAATTTAAAATTATTAAACGAACATTGCAGGCAATATACATATACACAGCTGTCAGTAAAGTTTTTTCTGCCAAAAATTTTTCCTTGATTTTTTTTCATTTTTTAAGGAAAAATTAAATAAGTTAAAATTTAAGAGAAAAATGAGTGGAATGAAGAAAACTTTGTTACAGAGATTTTTTTCTTTCTTTCTTCTTGCTTTTCTTTATTTTATTTTTTTGTTCTTCTCGTTTAATCATTTCATTTGTGAGGATAAAAATTAATGGCTGTAACATTCTTACTTAAATGATTGCATGATTTAAAAAAAAAAAAATAAAATAAATGAAGAAAGAATGAAAAAAAAAAAAAGAAAGGAAAATAAAAATGAAATATAATTTGCTATTAGCAATCATTTATAAAAATGCTAAAAAAAAAAGTTGCCATACTACAGCACTGATAGATTAATAATGATAAATTTAGTGATACTATTTTCAAATGAATGAGTTTGAAAAAAAAAAAAAGTAAAAGAAAACGTCAAGTAAAGTGTTGATTGAAAGATGAAAATTATCATAATTTTGCAATCTATCATTTTGTTCATCTAATCAGTCAATGAATGAAATGAAATAGAAATGACAAATGAAATGTAAGATGACAATATTTCAAAATTAATGATGTAAAACTTTTTTTTTTTTTTTGTTTCTTTGAAATACAGATAATTAAATTAGATAATAGTTTAAAAGAGAAAAATTTTGGTTGGTTTAATTTTTGTTTTATTTCAGCAATAAAAAGCGAAAAAAAAAAAATTGGAATCAATGTATTATTTGTAATTGTCATATAAAATGATATATTTCTTTGTTTGGAAAATAGTCAATACAATGCAATGATGTTTAAATTTTCAAAAAGATTTGTCATCCTAAATAACTAAAAAAAAAAAAAGTTAAAACCTAACACTGAATGATAATTACGATATGAAATATTACTGCAATTATTAAAATATGTTAACCAAAAAAAGTGGAATTATTTAAAAAAAAATTGATTTTCAAAGTGGAATTACTTAAAAAAAAAATTAATTTCATAACATTTATCAGTTTTATTTGCTTTTTTTTTCTTACTTTCAAATAATTAATTAATCTATCAGGTAATTAATTATCAATATCTTTTAACAATATCACTCCTTTTTTTTTTTCTTTTCATCTTTCCTCTTTCACTTCTTCTATCATTCCTTAATTCAATTAACATATTGGATAATTTTAGGTGCATGAATTATGTGATAACTTTTGTCATCGGTATGTTACCTGTTTAAAAGGTAAAATGCCAATGGATATTGTTGGTGAGGAACGTGCAAGCAGTTCACAAACACCTGTTTCACCTAGTACCGCTGCTCCTTCATCTAGTCCTTCTATGAGTACACCAATTGGGTAATGGTTTTTTCTCTTTCAATTTAAATCGAGAAATACAATTCTTGATGACATAAATAAATTTTCAACTTTAAAATTATTTAATTCTTCATGTTAATATGTGAAAAAAGAAAAAAAAAATACGCGTGTTGAATTTATTTATTCATTGTTTTAGCAAATTTTAATTAATATTAAACAATTTTTCTAGCTCACAATATCAACCAGCTCCTTATGAACCACAATCTGTACCATTACCCGAAAATACAACAGCAGTTTCATCCGGACATGATGTAAGTAATTTTAAAATGAAAAAAAAAAAAAATTAATGATTTAGAAAATAATCAAATGATTCAAAAAATGGTCAAAGTTCATTTCTTCTAGTGAATTATTTATTATTAAAAAAAAAAAAAAAATAAAACACTTCAATAATAACTAATTTAGCGCTGAAAAAAAAAAAAAAAACAAAAAAGAAGTGAGAAATAAAAATTAAAAATCATAATTGCATAAGTTCAATTAATTAACTAACTAATTACATATTATGTTAAATTTTAAACTAATAATTAAATTTTAGCAACTTTTAATTATTTATATTAACATTTTATCCATAATTTTATTTAAAATTAACATTCATTTCTTTTTTTTTCCTTTTTAAAGAATAATAATAGGTAAAATGTAAAAATTAAACAAAAAAAAAATGAACGGAGAAAGAGAGGGAAAGAGAGAGAGAGAAAGAGAAAGAGAAAAAAATATTCCAGAAAAATGTACACTTTGCGCTCCTTGCTTTTTTTTCCTATTTTCTTCACCTTTGATTTATGTTCCCATTTTCATATTTCAGACATTGTCATACTCACATACCAATTACTGTCCTCTCATCCTTCTTCTTCTTCTTCTTCCTTCTCCAAAATTTCTTCCTTTCCCTTTCATCTATTCTTCTTTCTTTACAACTTCCATCATTACTCTTTCTTATCACACAAACATTCCGTTCCAATAAACCGGAAAAAGAAACTAGGAAAAAAACTTTAAAAAATATTAAAAGTTCATGTTCATTCCTGAAAATTAAATTAAAGAAGGAAAAACAATGGAAAAAGAAATGAAAGAAAGATATATAGGAAATTTTAAATTTCAAAAAAAAAATAAATTTGAAAAATATTTTAGAAAAAGAATTCAAAAAATTTTTTATTGATGTTAATGAAATCAAATAAAAAAACCAAAATGTAAAAATAATGAAACAAAAAAAAAAAAAAGGTTCATGTCTAATTTGTAATTCTTTATAAAATTTAAATTTCAACTTTCAGCACTTCTATCAAAATTATCTTTTTAATAATAATAATAAATTTTGCACTTTTAATTTTTTATATTTCTGTTAATATTTCCAACTAAATTTTTTTTTTTTTGCACTAATTTTAAATAAACATTGTTATCATCTATTAATTAGCAATTAATTTTGGTTAAAATTCATCGGTTAAAATTAAGTACGAAATGTTAAATTTTGTTTGAAATTATTTAAATACCATTGCTATTATATAAAAAGAAAAAGAAAAAAAATTTTTTTTTTTCTTTTAAGTTAACAACTGCTTAGTTTAGCTTTTAGTTAGTCTTTTCTTTTTTTTCATTCTTTTACTTGTTTCATCTGTTAAATATCAAACCAACTGTTTAAGCAGGAAAATTTAGAAAAGGATTCTTCTTATAAAGTAGAATGGAAGCAATGAATTGAGAGAAGATAAAAAAGAGGAAAGCTTTAGAATTTGGCTTTATCATTGATGTGATAACAAATAAAAATGTTAAAAAATCATAGATCATTATGAACTTTACTCTTAAGCTATTCATCCATCGTTATACACAATATTAGAAGTATTAATTTCAAAAAAAAAAAAAAAAAAGAAAAATTAACAGTTTCAAAAAAGAAAGAAAAATTTTTTATCTTCTCTTTCTCTCTCTCTCTCTCTCTCTCTTTGTCTTTCTTTTGCTCAACGAAACTTTAAAAGAATTTTTTCCTTCTTTTTGTTTCAATAAAAGAAAAAAGAAATTATAAAGGGATTATATCAAAAGTAATGAATAGAATGATTATTTATGATAAAATATATTTTATTGCAAAGAGAGAAAAGAACAACAAAAAAAAAAAAAAAAAATGAAGATAATATATTATTGTGCTATTTAATTACTATCAATTAAATAATGAATGACTGTAATGTTAACAAATTGCACTAATTTCAAACAAATAAACAAACAAAAGAAAAAAAAAATGAAAATGAAAAATTTAGAAAGATAAATGGTTTGAATTAAAGAGAGCGCACACAAAAAAAAAAAGCAATTTTTTAATTGAAATATTTGTTAATTTTATATCATTTTCTTCTTTCCCTTTTTTTTTTTTTTTAATTTTATTTCAATAAAATCAAAATTTTTTTTTTCCTTAAAAAAAGGAGCGGATGAAAGAGACAGAGGGTTTTATTTGAAGAGACCCGATATAAAATTGTTATTTGCTGATGATAATAATAATAATGATGATGATGATGATATCAAGATGACAAAAATAGCCTTACAAGTGGGTCATTTTTAAGGTAAATGAACCAGAACAAATATATGGACAATGGCGGTTTACTCCTTTTAAGAAAGGAAGAAGAAAGAGAGAGAGAGAGAGAGAGGGAGAAAGAGAGAGGATAAGTAATAATGAAAAGAATTGATTATATGATTGAGTTGACTGATCTTAGACAGAATGTTAGTTTCAATGATAGCAGTAGCTTTTCGCGCAATTTATCCTTTTTAAAAGGGAATGTGAAATAATTGGAATAAAAATACCAATTTGACGATTGAAAATTGTGCCTTAGCTTATTGATGATTACGATATATGTAAATGTGCGCAATAATGTACCTTCACCTGTGCGCAATAATATACCTTCATCTGTGCGCAATAATTCACCTTCATCCATGCGCAATAATACACTTCACCTTACCCATTTTTTACAATCTATATAATTTGCTATGCATTTTTAGGAAAAATAAATCATTTTTCTATACATAGCAATTTTTTTTTTCTTATTTATCATGCTTTTCAATTAAAATAACTCAAAAAAAAAAACTAATTCGAGAATTTTTTTTGCTCTTTTTGTAAATATAAATTAAAAATTCATCAAGTTCTATATAAATTTATTTATATTTTCTATTTGTTATCCGCTTTTGAATTTACAACAACAAAAAAAAAAAAAAAAAAAATAAGAAAAAAGCCAAAAAGATAATTACAATATTGGAAAAATATTATAAAATAAATGAATAAACTAAAAATATCACAAAACAAATTTTTTTCAAGAAAAATGAGTAAAAAAGAAAAAAAAATGAAAAAACATTAATGTATTGAAAGAATGAAAAAGAGAAATGAAAAATTTATAAAAAAAAAAAAAAAAAAAATTCCTTTTTTTTTATTTGAAGATTTTTTCTTTCATTGAAAAAAAAATTTTTTTTCAAGCTAAAATTATTTTATGCTTGAACAAATTGCAAAAGAAGAAAGAAAAGAAAAGAACCCTTTTAGGAAATTTTTAATCAACCTGATGAGAGAGAGAGTATATGGAGAGAGGGAGAGGGAGAGGGAGAGAGTTAAAACATTAGTGCTAATAGATTAAGCAATAGCACATCTGTTCATGGCAATCAAACAAATTTATTTTAATTTACTATCAGTAATCTTTTATCATCAAATAATGATTTTCATTCATTTATTTTATTTTTATTTTTTCAATTAACACATCAATTTCAATTTGGTTGATGAATCATAGTGAAATTGAAATTTTAATTTGTGAAGCTAACAATAATACAAAGAAACGAGTAAATATGCTTTAAAAAAATGAGATAATTAATTAATTAACACATAATATTTCACTATTATATTTACTGAAAATTATATTAAATAATTATCATAAATTATTATTATTATTATCGTTGTTAATATTATCATTGGTACTTTATTATATCGAAAAGATACAAATGAATGATTGCTTGTATTTCTTTTCTACACTTCACCTAAGTTAATTATTATAAAATTAATATGAATAATATTAAATAAATTTATTGCATCATTAATATTTTGATATTATTGTAATTATTTTTCTTTTAGTTTCAATTTTGAATTCAAATGTATTAGCTTCAGTGTCTCTTAAATGTATTAATTTTAATTTGATTAAGCATATCAAAATCTAATTATCATCATAATTTTAATTCACTAATTAATTTTACTTTTTTTTTTATATTTCAATTTTAAGAAATGAAAGATTCATATCATTTTAAATAATATAATTATTCTTAAATTTGAAATAAAATTGAAATTTTATTTTAGAAAATTTTTCTTATAAACTTATTCAATTCGGGAGTTAATTCTTCTTCTTTTTTTTTTTTCAAGGGTTATCATGGATCGGTGCACGATCTCAGCAATGCTTCATCGTCATCCGCAGCTGTGGCTGTGGCTACTCAACAACATCAGTCGACAACCCCCGATAGTCACCCTTTAGTGCTGGGCGGGGTGACCCCTCTGACGGCTGGGGGCACCCAAACGTCCATGTCGCTAACAGCCGTCAGTAGTCCGTCAGGAAGGTTAAAAATATTAGCAAATTGAAAAAAAAAAAAAAGTGCAAACAATACATAATGAAAATTCAATTCGATTAAAAAAAAAAAAAATTGGAAAAGGAATTAAAATAAAGAAATGAATAAACCTTCGACTTATTAAAAATACATTACTTCAGTATTAAAATTGAGTCTTTTCCATAATTAACTATTAAGCCTAAATTTAATTGTTGTATTTCTATTTCAAATTTTTAAATCTTATTAATATACACTCTGAAAAGTTATACTTTTTATTTCTTAAAAAAAAAAAGAAAAAAATGAACGAAGATTTTATGCTATTATTTATATATCTAAACAAAATTGATACGATGTTTGCTGGAAAAATAGAAGCTAAAAGAACAACAAAGAGAAAAACAAAAAATTGGAAAAAATAAAATTTAAAATTTACAGTTCATCAGCAGGTGGTCAACGACTTGATTCAACGCCACATTCGGTGGAAACACCAAATCAATTGCTCACCGCTCAACAACAAGATAATGTTTCTGATACAGGTATTGATTGATTTGTTAATTTTATATTTTCTTTTTCAAATTTCTTTCAATTTTTTACTTTTTATGACCAATATGAGCAATTTAAATTATCGCTTAGTTCCTTTTTTTTTCTCTCTCTTTGAAATATTGATTTAAGAAAATTTCCATTTCCAGAAATTGATGATATCCAATTTTTTTTTTTTCTGTTTTTGATTTTTTTTCAATTCACACTAACGGTTTAGTGAAAAAAAAAAGATTACATCATTAATTGGAAATTGAATTAGTTTTTAATTACTAGTTATACTCTTATTATTATTACCATTATACCTCTTTTTGCCCTTTCTTTCACGTTTCTTTATTTTTATGTAAGTATTTATAACCTATTTCTGCCTTTTTTAGTCTAAGATATGGTTTTTGCTAGGCCTATTATTTATTTGTGGCCAGCGAATATTCTAATGTAACTTTTCAATATCTTCCATATATGATATTAATATTTTTGTGTTGAAATTTACCCAATTATGATTCGTTCGATTTAAACTTTAATTTAATTTCAAACATATTTTAATTATGAATATTATTCCTAATGTTTATTTCAAAAATTTGCCTAAAATTGGTTCGCTGGCTAATTTCATTCATTTTGTTAATTTCAATTTATATTTCAATTTTTATGTTAATTTCAATCCATTCTTCAACAAGCAAATCAGTCATGTAATATACAGTAGTTTACCTCTAGAACCATTAAAAAAAAATTTTTTTTGAAAATTCAAAAAGCTTAGAACTAATTAATTGCATTGTTTTATTAAATATTAAAATCGTAAATACATTTTATTAAACTTGTATTGAAATCAAAAATTTATTTATACATTTTTTCTTCCTTCATTTATTTAAAATGAATTCAAAAAAAATTTTTTTATATTTTTTCGTTTTTGTCTTTTTCCTTCTTTTTCTTTTTTGTTGTTATTATACAAATTTTTAAATGAACAATTCTCACTAGAAGAAAAAACCAATTCCTTTTCTATTATCATTTCCATCCCATCTAATTATCTATTAAACTTACTATAGATTCTTATCTTATTTCTACTTCATCTAGATAAATTAATTTCTTTTAATCTATCGAATTAATTTTTAAATTCATGCCAGATTAATTCTAAATTATTACATAATATATATTTATTTGCTCATTTTATGAGATATACACATTAACATACAATTTGCTCGAAATTATTTAACCGAGATGACATTTTTACGCTACACTGCATTTATTAATTATAAAATTTCCATCTTTTAGTTAATTAATTATTATCCAGATAAAGATTCCATACACATAAACATATGTAGTTTGCCTAAAAAGTACGAATTTTTCTTACTTCATAAATTTTCAAAAAAATCATTTTTTCATTCATTCATTTATTTAGTTCATAAAATTATTAGTGGAATAATTTCAATGTTTGCCATTTTTGCACTTTTTTTTTTGTTAATTAAATAAACATATATATATGCACACTTTTTTCGAAAATTTGCTAATTCTATTTATTGCTACTATATTATTAATTGATAAATTTTTGCTTTCATTTTTTCTTTTTTTGTTTTATTTAAAAATTCAAATTGCAAAAAAAATTCTGAATTTAATTTATAAAATATCATTTATTTATAATCACTTTAAGTTTTTTTCTGTTCTTTTTAAGTTTATGTTATGTTTTTTGCTTTACGCATTATTAAATGCCTTTTTAACTTTGCTTTTTTTGCATGATTAATTGTAATAACAATAATAATAGTAATAATGGTGATAAAAATAACAATAATATAAGCAAGGAAGTTTTGTTTACTCGTTTTGTTTGTCTATTTGCTTGCTTTGCTTTGCTTTGTTTTGTTTGTTTGTTTATCTCTAAGGTTTAGCTTGAAATGCTATATGCTAATTTTGTATGCGGGTTAAAGACGTTTACAGGTAGCAAAAGTTCGGATTCATATCCATCCTCTGTTACCTTATCCAGTCATTTTGGCCAACATCAGCAATTACCAAACGGAACTACAAATGATTACTGTATTGACAGTATGCCCCAACAACAACAGCAACAACGTCAAAATCATGGCAATACAGTAGTACCATTATCATTATCTACTGATAATCAGGACATTATTATCACCACTACTACTAATACTAATACTACGTCACCATTATTGATGATGTCGTTAACGAAGAAACGTGGAATTTTTCCAAAGCCAGCGACAAATATTATGAGAGCTTGGCTTTTTCATCATCTAACGGTTAGTTTATAGAAACTGTTCCAATTTAGATACGTTACAATGAATGCAAAATTAATTAATTATTCCTAACAGCGTTTGTTGGAATAAAAACTAATTAATTAATAACAGTAATATTCTCTATCTATCATGATTAAAATTTTCAATAGATTTCTAGCTTAATACAGTCAATTATTTTCACACTTTATAATTCAAAAACATTATCTAAGAATAATGATAGCGCAATATATATTTGAATATAATAAAAGATTAAATTCAATACTGTCAATCATTTGCTATTTTCATTTATTTATTTATAATTTTTCTTTTTTCTTTGAAATCTTAATGACAAATTAAATGTTACAGTAGTACCATGGAAAAAAGTGTTACAGTATCAGACAAAATTAGATATTTACGGTATTACAAAAATAATACTATATGCCAGCTTCCGCCTTTTTTTATAAAACTTTTCATAACTAATATTGTGATTGTTTTGGCATTTTTTTTTATTTATTTTAATGTTGCTTATAATGATTTTATTTTATTTTTTACTTATTTTGTTTATATTTTTATGGATGAGCTTAATTTTTTTGTTTGTTTTTGTTGCTGCTAGCTTCACTGCTTTTGCTTGCAAATTGCTAATACAACACGTTTTGGTTTTTTAATTATTTTTTTTTTTTGATGCAGTAATTTAACTTTAAAGTTTAATGCATAATATCATTCTTCTTATTTCCATCTCTCTCTATCTCTCTCTCTTTCTTCATCTCTTTTCCTTCACATATGCATAAATTTAATTTTACTATTATTTATAAATTGTAAAAAAATTGACACGATTATTTCACATGTGTATAATATAAGTATAATATTGTTTTTTCTTTGGATGAATTTCTGTTTTCTTTTTTTTTTCTTTATATATTTCTCATATGCGTGAGTTCAAACGTGTCATACGTGAACGTCATCTTTAGATATTTTATACAAAAAAAATTCTTAAACGAAAAAAGATCACATTCGTTTATTGATTTTAATAATATGTTTCTGTTTTCAAAATTAGGCTTTTAAAGTCATCAAAAAAGAAAAATTAGCCAGCAAACCTAATTTATTACAATGTTAGAATCGGTAATTATCAATCATATCATTATTTGTGAAATGTTTATCATTTCGTTTTTTTTTTTTCTTCAATCGACTACCAATCATATTCCGGATCAGCCAAATAGATTCCGGACTGATCAAATACAATAAATTTTTAAATCATAAAAGGATTATTACAGATTCTTAATAATTCAAGTTTCGCATTTTATTTTCCAGAAAAGGAAAAAGTTAAAACTTAGGGTGGTAGCCATGTGGTGTTTCCAGGTGATGAATCGTTATCGATGTGCGGTTCGTTAAATGATGACGGTGGGAGGGAATCGGTATTAAGCGAAGGAAATACCGGAAGCGGTGGTGGTTCAGCAACCGGTGCAAATAAACGAAAAGTACCAAAAGTTTTTTCAAAAGAAGCAATCACCAAATTCAGGGCATGGCTATTCCAGAATCTTACTGTAAGTTTTAGATCATCTGGCTAATATTCTGGCTGATACAATTAATATTGATAAATTATCAATATTAATTATGAACAACTATTATTAATAATATTAATAATTTATATAATTCGATTACTATATTAATTTGAAATTTCATTTATTACTATTATTTTTATATTTGTCATTATTTTTTTTCTATAATCTCTTTTATCAGTTATAGCTGTAAATGCATGAAGCAATTCTTTTAATTCATTATTATTAATTCTTTTCCAGTCAATTAATATTTGAAATTATATAAACCTCGGATTTATGTAATTGTCAATCATCTGATCCAATTTGATCATACTATTTTACACTATAAATCGTTTATTCTATTTTCATTGTCGTTATCATTACTGTTATTCGTGTTATTATCATTACCATTGTTATCATTGTCACTGTTACTGCTATTATATTATTATAATCAGTTTTTATCTTTTTCAATTCATTTAGGTTTTCTCATTTCGTACAAGCTTATGGGCTTAGGCTTTCAAAAAAACATTGAACAACTGTTAAACGGTTTTTTATCATTAAAACTAATTCACTTTTTTACTACTTTACTTTTTGATTGTAAAAATTTGTTTCGTCTTTTTCAAGTTGAATATTTTTAAAACGTTTTTTAAAATTTTGATAATTTACAAAATATCAAATTAAATTCTAAACTATCAAGGATTTCTTCTTTTGTTTTTTTTTTTTTTTTATTTTTCATATTTTTTTCTATTTCCTGATCATTAATTATTTTATTAGTGTTATATATCATATCATATCATTTTTTGTAGTCTTCATTAACGTCAATAGCTCAGCTAAATGATCAACAAAATATGTTAATAGTATTGTCATCTGATAATAAAATAAGTAGTTTTTCAAAAAAAAAAAACTTTTATTAGTGTCCTTGAAGTCAGCCAATATATTACAAATAAAAATAATAGGGTTACGGTAATTGTTCATTTTCTTTTTAAATTCATTTTTTTAAATACACTGCTGGAAGTCAATCGTTTTTGGTGAGATTTTTCCCCTTATTTCTGCTTTTTTTTTTCTTTTTGCATTTTTTTTTTTTTTGTTTTGAAAAAAATTTTGTCGGTGGATTGAAATAGTAATTGCATTTGGGATTGCAATGAATACATTTAGAAAAATGGAAAGAAAAAATGGAGCAAAAAAGATGCTGAAAATGAAATGTGAAATTTTGCATTTAAGTGCTTTGCAAATTTTGCATTAAATGAAGGAAAAAAAAATTGCATTTAAAGATGGAAAGAAAAAAAAAAAAAATGAAATAACTCAAAAGAAAATTTAATTCCACTTATTATTTATTCTTCTTTTTGTCACATTTTTATTTTTTGCTCAATTTCACTGGATATATAAATTGCATAATTTATTTTTTGAAAATTAAGTTAAATAAATGAAATCTAAATAAAAATTAAGAAAAAGTTTGTCTATATAATTCAATTTTAAATTTTTTTATAAAAAAAGGACTTATATTTTTCTTTAATCTTATTGTTTAATTATCACAATGTTAAGAAAAATTATTGAATAATGGATGAATAAATCTATTAACTATACCATAATATCATTTATATTATCAAATAGTATCATTTCTATTTTTATTAATAATTAACGATATTATTTTTTTTTCTTTTAATTTTGAAAACAAGGAGAAATATTTTTGATTTTATTTTTAAAATCAATTATATTTCCTTTAATAAATATAAAATTTGCAAAAATTTTGTAAAGTACAAGTAGCAATAGTTTATTTAATAAGTTGTGATTGCTTAAAAATTTTAATAAGTTGTAATCGCTTAAAAAAGAGTCAAAATGATTATCAAATTTTGTTCGAAATATTTAAGTTTTGTTTGAAAATATAATAACACATTTTTTTTTTCATTCCCTTTGATGACATATTAAAAGATTTTATGGAAACTTTTTAAAAATTTTAAACTACAATTATTACAGTCATCAATGATATTTGATAATATTGGAATCATATAAATCATTTTTAGTAAATAATTATTAACCAGATTTGTTTAAATTATTAATCTAATTTGTTTGTAGAAAAAAAAAATTATTGCGAAGTGATTAATTTTATTTGCAATATTTGTCATTTTTGATATCTTTTGTGAATTATTAGTTTATATTATTTGTATTTGTAAAGTAATCAATTCTTTTCTGTTTTTCTTTTTCCCTCTTCTCTCTCTCTCTCTCTTCTCTTCTTTGTTTGATCATCATCATTTAATTTCGTTTTTTCTGTTTCTCAAAAAGTTTATTCATTTGATAAAAACTGATAAATGACAGATTGGATTGAATTAAATTAAGTTAAATTAAATTAAATTGAAACATGATTGACATGAAATGAGACGAATGATTAACTAACTGAATAATTGATTGATCAAACAATAAATGAAATTTATTTGATTGACAAATCCTGAATAATTACTAAATATCAAATGTTGTACTTAATAAATAAATCAATTTTCTTTCTCTCCCTCTCTTTCTTTTTCTCTCTCTCTCCATTCCTCTCTCTATCCTTCACCTTTTTATTCATCGATTTTAATAGGTTACTTTTGTTTATTTGATTTGAAAATTTTTATTAATCGATTTTTTTTGAAATTTTTTTTTAAATTATAATTTTCATTAAAAATATATTAAATAACTTCCATTTCTTTTTGAAATCATTAAATTTTTTTCTGACATCTATGATATTATATTATTAATAAAACTGTCTTGAATTAAATTTAATTTATTTTTGATTTCTATATGTATTTTGATTTCTTGATTTTTTAAATTTCTTATAATTTTGAAGCATTTTATTTTATTCATATGAAATTGTTTTAATTTTTAATTGATTACAGCAAATTTAATAATTCAATTACATTTGTGTTAAAATATTTTTGAATATAATTAAAATTGAAAATTAAATAACATTTTTTTTTTTTTTTTTGAAAAAAGTTGTAAATTTCCTCTTTCCATCTCATAATTTTCATTTTTTCTTTCTTATTTATTTATTTTTTTTTTTTCTTATTCTTTTAACAATTTTTATTACTATCATTATCGTTACAGTAATTTCAATGTCTTTTTTCTTTTCTTTTCTTTTTTTCTTGCTATATTTATTATTTCTAAAAAAACTATAAAATAAAATTTTTGAAAAATAAAATTTCTAATAAATTTATAAATCTGAAAGAAAGAAAAAAAAAAAGAAAGAAAAATCATAAATAACTGCAGTGATGCTAGCATTGTATATAAATATATGTATTTTATATTTATATGTTTCTTCTCTTTTCTTTTTTTTTGTGTTTTTTTTTTTCTTCTTGATTTCAAATTTTTGTTTTTTTTTTTTTTTTTTTTAATATTTTAGCTTTTTCTTTTTTTTTCTTCATAAATTGAAAATAATAATTTTAATTTCTTTTTTCACTTTTTTTTTCAGCATCCATATCCATCAGAAGATCAAAAAAAGCAGCTTGCACATGAAACTGGCTTAACAATACTACAGGTTAATAATTGGTAAGTATTTCTTCTTTTTTTTTTGATTTCAAATTTTTTCTTCTGTTTTTGTTTTACTTTTAATACTTTATAAAGTAAGTAATTGTTATTGCAATGATATAAAGAAATTGTATTTTCTCTTTTTCTTTTTTTTTCAAAATAATTAATTTTGTGATAACATTTAATTTCAATTGTAACATTCATTCCATCATTAAACCCTAGTAATAAGTAAATCAAAAAATAAAAAAAATAAAAATTCTTTATTAAAACTTTATCGGTCTATATTATTATCGTTATTATCATTATTATTATCATATTTTTGTTACTATTATTATTATCATTAAATATTGTCGGCAAAAAAAATTTAATCAATAATTCATGCATAATTAGCAAAATTATTTATTTTAGATTAAAACTTCTCTTACCAATTATTAATTTATTCTATTCATTAAAAATTGCAAAAACTTATATTTTATTAAAAAATAAGACAAAACTTATATTAATACTAGTTTAATGCTAATTTTCGATTTTTTTTAATATTAAAACTTTTCCTACCAATCATTAATCTATTCCATTCAAAAAAAAAAAAAAAAATAGAAATTTGTATTTCGTTCAAAAAAAAAGAGTTTCTGTTAATACTAATTTAAAAATTCTTTTTACACAATTAAATTAAAATTCTCAATTAAATTTAGAAAGTAAAAAAGAAGAACAAAAAACTTTTGAAATAATTTAAAGGATTGTTTTTTTTTCTTTTTTCTTGCTTTTTATTTAATTAAAAATTGCACTTTTTTTTTTAAATTTGAATAAAAAAGCAAGAAAAAAAAAAGAAAAATTTATGCTAAATGCAAATTAAAAAAAAAAAATGAAATTATTGAACAGACGTGAATAATAATGATAATGATGATGCATTAGGATAATGAAAATGGATAGTTATATGATCTGAAATGCTAATTGCTTACTTCCTAATATATCATTTCTTCTCTCTCTCTCTCTCTCTCTTTTAAATATATGCTTAAATTGAGTGACAGTTGTTGGTACCATTGATGACAAAAAAGAAAGGAAAGAAATAGGTCAACTAAATATAGTTATTATTATTATTATTGATTTTATTACATCAAAAAAGAAAGAAAAAATTGGGAATAGATATTTTAGAATTATTTTTTAATTTCATTAAAAATATATTAATACATTCAGGAATAATTTTTTCTTTTTTAATTCCAATTAAGTGAGAAATTTTTTCACTTCAATAATTACTTTTTGTTTTCGTTTTCTTTTTTTTTTTTTTGTATTTAATATTTTTTTCTCAATTAACTTATCACTTTATTTAGATTTATGATAACTGATTAAATGAGAAGAAAGGAAAAACGAAAATAAATAAATAAATAAATGAGCAACGATCATACTACTAAATTTATGCATAGACATATGTATATATAAGCAGGAAAAGACAAAAAAAAAAATGAGAAATGCTGAAAAAAGTGAGAAAATTAAATTTGAAAAAAAAAAATTTAATGAAATTGGATGAGTAAGAAAATGAATTGTATAAATTATAGAGTAAAAAAAGGAATTAAAAATAAATTTTAATATTAAAATATTGCAATTTTTATTAATATATAAATTAAAAAAAGAAAAAAATATCTATTTAGAAAACACTAAATGAAATTTTTTTTAAAAAAAAAAAAGATTTTTCTTCTTTTTCCTTTTTAAACACTCTTTTTTTTCTGTTTAATCTATTAATTGATAATATTTTTTCTTTACCTTTTTTTTTTGTTTGTTTATGTTGTTTACTTCATTTTATTTTCACTTTTTTTTTTTTGCTCTCATATTCGTTTTTTTGACTTCATTTTGTCATTTTATTTTAAATTATTTTACTTCATTTTGTATTTTAAATTATTTTATTTAATATTATATTTATTTTAATTTATTTATCCTATAACAATCAAAACTTTCCGTAATTCTTCTTTTCTTTCTTTTTTTTCTTGTTTTATTAGTAGTTTTTATCACTGAATGAACTTAGTAAGCTATCATAAATTATTTTACTTTATCCGATTATCCGATTTAAAGTAACTTAATACCGTATAATTTGATGAGATAATTGTATTATATGTTTAATCGGTCGCATAATAGATGCACGTTATTATAACTTTTTAAGTTTAGATATAAATATAGATAACAAGTAAAAACAATCAGATATATAAATTTAAGAATAAATATAAATTTGAATATTAGTATATATAATTATAATTATGAAAAATAAATATATGTAACGTATTTTAATTAATTCCGTATTTTGAAATTTTATAATATTAATTTTTTTTTTTCTTTCTGAATTCATGTATGATTATTTATTGCATGAAAAATTTTTTCATTATTTATATTATTAAAATTTATAAAATTTTGAACAAGTAATTACAATTTTGTTAATAGAAATTTTTTTTTTTTTTTTTTTTTTTGTTTTTTTGATTTGAAAATTTAAATACAAAGAATTATTTAAATTGCTTAATAATTTATATTTTGAAGGTTGAAAAATTTATTTAAATTACTATTGATAGCATTTAGGATTGATTTGCTTAAAGCTAATAGAGAAATGAGTAATTATCTTATTATACGGTACATAAAGTGTCAAAGCCGCATTGAATTGAAGTGGTATACATTAGCTGCTTGGCTATTTTCCGCACCAATCTCAATTATTTGATGCATTTATAACCAAATAATTATTTGATTCCATTTTGAATAATGGATAAACACATGAATGGCAACTACTTTTCCGCTTATTTAATATTAAAATATTACTTTATTTTACTGTTTTTAAAAATGAAAATGATCAGGGAGAAATATATTTTATATATGGAAATCATAAAAATGATCAGAATTCATTTAAGTAAAAGAAAAAGAACAAATTTTAATGTTTTTTTTTTTTTTTTTTTTTAATCAAAAAATTTGATAGATTAAAAAAATAAAAAATTTTTTCATTTCATTTAATTTCAAAGTAATAATGATATAAATACCAAACGATTATAGCGCATATAAAATAATCAAAGTGTTAATGAAATATTATTAAATTTTAAATTTGGTCATTAATAAATTTTACATAGTATTTATCTAATGAATATTAGGAATACTTTAGAAATACCATAGTATATTTATGATAATTTGTTTGAAATCTTTAATATGTTAAAACAAAATGCTGTCAGAAATATTAGAATATATTAAAAATCGTACAAATGATTTATCAAAAAAAATTTTTTTTTCAAATTTTCATAGATTTATGGTATATTTCTAAAATATATAAGACATCATTAAGTTAATTTTTATATTTATATTAAATAATTATGAAAAAAGACTGCAAGTCAAAGAAAAATTGAAAATGAAAGAAATTAATTAAATTGTTTGCTACTTTATTTCGCACTGATGGATTTGTAGTTTATTTTTTACTTTTTTTTTTTGGCATTCCTTTTTTAGAAAAATGAAAGTAATTTCAAATTTATTTATTTTTTTTGTGTTTTCATTTTATATTCTTATTATCAAAAAATATTTCAGTTGATATAATAATAATGATAATTACATTGTTATTTTATTTAATTTGAAAATTTCAATACTTAGAACAAAATATGTTCATTCCTGAATATCGATATTCTATAATTAATTATTCATGATTGCATACAAATAAAATAATAATTACAAGTGCTAGAATGAAATTAAAAAGAATATATCGTAACTAGTTTATTTGATTACTACTTTACTTATTTTATTTTGCTTTTTTTATTCGTTTTTCCTTCTTCTCTTTGTTGTCTATCACTTTGAATTTTTGTCCTTAAAATTTTAAAAAATGTGAAAAAAAAATTATATGGAAAAATATTTTTTAATCATTATGTTTGATTTTTAACTTATCCTAAAAAGAAAAACGACAATTTTTTTTTTTGCCCTTCCTTTCTTAACACACAAATTTTGCTTGCTTAATTCTCTTTTTTTAGAATCAATTATGCCATTTTTAAATTTTACCTAAAATGAACAATATTAAAAATATTTATAGATCTATCGAAAAGTTTAATGGTTTTATTTATTGATTTTCGGTTTATTATTTGGCACTTTTTGTAAATTTATCTTCAAAATTTTATTTTAAAAAAATTTTTTTTTTATAGTTTCATTATTGATTATATTCAATTGTAGTTTTTAATAGATTAGATCGAGATAAGAGTAAAAAAGGTATGAAAATGTAATTATAAAAGATTTTCTGAGTATTTTAAACTTAATACACATTCTTCTAATAGAGTCCTATCCTTTCCAACTTTTATTTTTTTTTTACAAAATTTTATCTTTTCATTTTTAGCATTTGTCCTCATTATTTCACTCATTTTCATTGCTATTTTCATTACTTGTTATGGTCATTTTTATGATATCATCGTCATTCCTGTTTTCAAATTAATTTAATTAATTTTTTTAATCAATTTTTTTTCAATTTTTTCTGAAAAATTTTGCTTTTTTTTATTTATTATTATTTTTATCATTATTATTGTTACTCTTACCATTATTATTACTGCAGTCATCATCAATAACATTTTCATTTTTATACCAATTTTATTTTAGCAAAAGTTATACCTCTATCATTTTTTTCATCACCATCATCAGTATTATTATCATTATTGTTATCATAATAATTATTATCTATGCTGTTATCATTATCGTCATTATCATATCGTCGCCATCATCCTATCATCATTGCTACTATCATTATCATCATTACTACTCTGATCACTATACTATTATTGCTTTCGTCATTATCATTATCACATGATTGCTATAGTGTTATTGCTACTATCGTTATCATCATCATCATTATCATTATAGTATTACTGCTATTATCGTCATCATCATCACTATAGATAGTATCATTGATACTACCATGGTACTACTAGCATTATTATCGCTGTCATTCCCATCATTATCGTCATTAACAACAATAAGAGGAAGGGAAAGCGCTGGGAAGGCATTAGGATCATCGATTTCTGTTCAGATGTGAAACTTTAGCAGATGCGAATCACACCGTATGATTGATGAGGTTCACTTCACTGTTAATAGAAAGACCTTGGAAATGTAGCAGGCTGAGAAGATGGAGCGAAGAGGTTTAAAGAACACACCGTTCATTCCCTCAGCTGTTCCTACCGTATCCTACATGTAATACTTCTATCTCTCTTTTACCCTCTCAGTACTTTTCAAATTCTTTTCTTTTCACTTCATTTCACTTTACATTTCATATTTTCATCATATCAATATTTAATGATATGATGACGCATTTGGATTTATAATAATAAGAATGCTACTACTACTCCTACAAGTACAACGATTACAACTGCTATGATATCAATAAAGAGATGGAAGAATAGAAAGATGGAATAAAAAGTCTCAAGGGAGAAAGGGAAAGAGAGAGAGAGAGAGAGAGAATAGACGACAAACTAAAGTAGAATACCATATTTGCAAAATTTGCATATTTAAATAATCTTTGAAGCAATCGCGAATGATATTAAATATGGTTTTAAGATAAATGTGAAAATGGAATTGATGAGAAAAGATGGAATAAGTTTTATCCTATAGATAGATAGGATGACTGAAAGAGAAAGAGAAGGAAGCAGAGAGAGGGTAAGAGATAAAAAGGAGAGATTTTTCGATTGGAGCTGTCACAGAGTTCGTTAAGTAAAGAGGAAAGCAGCCTTGAAAATGATGGATTATCACAGCTGTCGAATGAAGAAAATGATTGTAGGGTAAGGGGGGAAGAAAGAAAGCAAGAGAAAGGGATGGTATGGATGGAAAAAGGTTTTTTTTAATGTCGAACTGGGGGAAAAATATGTGGAGAAAGGAAGAAGGATGATGACGATGATAATAATGGTGATGATAATGATAATGGTGATAGTGATGATGATGATATGATGATGATGATGATGTTGATATTATCGGGAAAGTAAAAAGAGAGGGAAAGGGGAGAGAAAGTGAAAGAGAGAGAGTAGAAATGATGTCTTTCTAGTTTAGACTTGAATTTTCTTGAACAAAATTAAACTAATTGGGGGGTTTTCTTTTTTCTTCTTTTTGCTTCTCATATTATTTCTTTCTTCTTTTTTAATCTTTGAAGTATTTCTTGTTCTTCTCTCTTTATTCATTTTCAATCAGTTTATTAAAAAAATGATGAAAGAGAGAGAGAGATAGTTTAAAAAAAAAAAAAAAAAACGGTGAAACATATTTTTTACCACCATTTCAATAACAACGATATTGAATTTCATTAGTTTATTTCTCTTATTTAGAAATTATTTTACAAAAAAAAAATGAAAGATTTCAAAAAAAATTTCATTTTCCCTTTTTTTTTCTCTCTCTCTCTCTGCCCTTTCAATTTCTTTCCCTTAATTTCCAGTTATAATATTAAACTGTGTTATTTTATTCTTTTACTGTCCTTGACACTTTTATGGAACACAAATTATCGACATTTTGAAAGGTGGAATTTAATAGTTTCAAAAAAAAATAGAGAAAGAATGAAGGAGGAGAGAGAGAGAGAGAAAGAGAAAATAGATAAACATAAAAAAAAGATACTAAGACAATTTCATATGATAATTAACTTTACAAGAGCTGAAGAAGTAAAACTTATTGTTTCTGCTAAATTTCAAACAATTTTAATTGATGTTAAATTAAACTATGCTTGTTTCTTATGTCAAATTTCAAGTAACTAGAATTGATTTCGGTTAAACTATGTTAATAAATTTCAATAATTATTAGTAAATTTCAAATAATTTGAACTGATTTAAACTTAATAACTTGAAAAGAACATAATAAATAAATAAAAGATAAAACTTGCTATTAATGCTAAATGTCAAATGAGATAATAAGCTATGCTTATTATTACCAATAAATTTCACCTGATATTATCATCAATAAATGTTTCAAGAGGTTTACATATATATATATATATATATATATATGCTTGTATGTATTCGATAATTACAGTGATTTATTAATATATAAATAATTCAACTAACACATTTCAAAGTTCAAAAAAAAAAAAAATTGAATATTTTACAATTTAAAATTTATTTATAAATATATTATTTATTTGTTATCATGCAAACTTCTTTTCGACCTGTAATTAAAGTATTAAAAAAAAAAAAAATTAATTTTATCTATGTGTGCTATTATTTTGTATTGACTATGCAACTAAACAGCAACATTTATTTTCCCACGGGAAATATTTTAATAGATGAAGCAATTAAAATTTGTTTTGCATTTTGTCCTATCCTTTCTAATTTATCATACTTTTTATTTATTTTTTCTCGAGATTGATGGCAAATATTGCAGTTTTCTCGAGAATAGTGGTCAAATTTTCATCATTTTTTAAAAAGCGAAGCAAAAAAAAAAAAAAAAAAAAAGAAAACAGAAAGAATAAAGCAAATAGAAAAGAACAAAATTTTGAAACTTTTTCCTATCCATTTCTTTCTTTTTTCTTTTTTATGTAAGATGAATGAAGCGGAACGAAACGATTTATGACATTTGAAAGATTTTTTTGAAATTTAAAAATGAAAAAAAAAAAAAGAAGAAACAAATGAAAAAAAAAAAAGTAAAAACAAACGCTTTTAGGAATATTTTTATATTTTATTTAATATTCATTTCATTCGTATGTTTAAAATGTTTTGTAGCTAAAAAATTTGCATGGAAAAAAAAAAGAGGACTAAAAAGAAAAATATAAATAAAAATAAAAATTGGAAGTATATGAAGAGTAAAATGTAATAAAAGAAATGATTTATGCAATATATTTTTGCTATTATTTTTTAAAGTGTAATTTCAACAAAAAATATTCAATCATTTAGTTTTTTTTTTAAAAAAAAAAAACTAAAATTACATAAGTTTTGTTGATTGAGTTCCACGTAACATTTATAAAATGATTATAGCAAAATAGATTAGTTATCTACTGCCATAAATTTAGCAAGATTAAGAGGTAATAAAAAGAAAAAAAGATTTATGATTTGATTTTTAATCAGATTAATGTTCTTTTTTTTATAAGCAGTAGTAGGAACTGTAATATAAGCTTGGAGAGAATTACGGTTAATAAATTTATTATATTATTAAAAACAATTGCTAGAAATTTTGTCTAATATAAATTTTTTTTCATTGATAGTAATAAGATTTAAAGTTTACGACAAGAATATTGCTATTATTGATCTACATTAAATAACAAATAATATTTCTTTGACAAAAGATAAATGTATTATTTTAGTTTGTTTTTAATCTACAAACTTATTTCTACTTGAATTATAATATTTACAACCATACATTTTTTAATATTCTTGCATATATTTTATAAGTTCTAATAATTTGCGAAAAATATTTTAAAAATTTTAAATTTTAATATGAAATGCAACTAAATAATCTGATATCATTCCTGAAATGAATAACTTAATTAAAATAGCTATTAATATGTTGCATTAATTATTCATGGACAAAATGAACAGAACTGAATTGAAATGAATGGATGAATTAATTAATGAATTGGAATTTGGAATGGCTTTAAAATGAGTCATAGCATTTTTCATGTGAAATGAATGAATTAGAATGAATTTGAATTGAATCAGAAATAAATAAATGAATTGTTTGAATGAATTTCGATCAGTATGGTTTTCTATGAGATGATATGATTAATGAACTAGTAATGAATTAATTTTAGATTTCTATTGATTGTGCTGAATGGATAAATTTAAATATTAAATTGAAATTTAGATATTTAGATATAAAATTATTTTAGATTTCTATTGATTGTGCTGAATGAATAAATTTAGATATTAATGAATGAATGAATGAATGGATGAATAGAATTGGAATAAAAATTAAAATAGAATGAAAATATGGCTATTTTGATTAGTCTTTTTTAAATATTATATAAATTATTTTGTAACTGTTTTTGATAGTTATTTATGGCATCACAAAAATCATTTTTTTATACCATTCATTTGGCACATTTATTCATCAAAATAAAATAAATCGATTAGATATATTGTTGCTGTAAGTATTAAATGATATATAAGTATGAGAAGGAGTCATTTTATGAGGGTAATAAAAAATTAGATCTTATGGCATCCATAAATGGATTATGGAGTTGTTATCGAAGTTGGGGGAATTTGAAATTAAGAACATAATGGAGAGAGAGAGAGAGAGAGAGAGAAATGAACGGAAGAAATAAGCAGTAGATTGAAATTAAAAACAAAAATTTTTATATTAGCAAAAAAATTAACACGAAAGGAATGAATAAGCAAGATAATAGTATTTTTGATAACTAAAAATAACAAAGAAATAGTGATAATAGTAATAATAAACATCAAACTTTTAAATTATCATTTGCTAATAAAAGTAATAGTAATAAAGATCAAAAAAAGTATTAATAATAAAAAAATAATAAAGATCAAACTTTTAAATTATTATTTGCAAATTTCAATTCTACGCATCTTTGATTTATAAAATTTTGAATTATATAATTTATGTAATTAATTGTCCAATAAATACTTTGATATTATATGACAGAAAGAAATGATCATTAAAAATAATGCTATTTGAGAAAAAAAAAAGAGAAAGAAAAAGAAAAATCATTAAATATATATTTTATTCGTGTCTAAATGAATTTAAAAGTAGACAGAATTCAAATATCAATTGCTTATAGAAATAAATTTTTTATGCTAAATTTAAAAAATTGCTAAAATGTTATGCAATGATATCATTGATTATTTTTTTATAGGTTTATCAATGCTAGGCGAAGGATTGTCCAACCGATGATTGATCAAAGTAATCGTGCTGGCCGGCCAAATGGTGTTAGCGTTTTTAAAAATAGGAGGAGGAAAAGTAGTGGTCAAAGTCCTGGTCCATCACCTGGTCAGTTAACTTTATTGTTGTTATTGCTTATGTTTTCTAATTTTTAAATTCAATTCTTATTTTAAGAAAAATTTAGTTTTCACAAATTAAAACAATTTTTTTTTGTCCAAATTTTACAACAAAATTTATAGCAATTTAATTTAATTAATTTTATAAATTTTTATAGAATAATATCTTTTTTTTTTCTTCACTATTCCTGCAAATTTTGATGCGAAAAAACGTTGGAAAATTTATACTACTATTTAAATTATATTATAGTTGCACAACTTTTTTTTTTTTTTTTTTTTTTTTGCAATATCAATAATTTTAGCCAATAAATTAATTTTAAAAATTAATCAGTTAAATAATTTTTCTTCTTATTCATAGTTTTTGAAATTTCTTATATATAATCCTCTACTAAATCCTTCCAAACAGTTTATTGTATAATAATTCATTAATTTAATTCAAATTTAATAAAAATTCCTGCAATTTATTTATTTAATTTCTTTTGTCTTTTCTCTTTTAAAAAAAAAAATGTTTCATTATTTCAGATTTACTAGGTGTTGGTCATACCTACAGTCCTGACAGTAATCAGTTAACTGCAGCAGCAGCAGCGGGTTATCCAGCACAAGCGATGTTTCCCGGTAATCCGTATGCAGCCGGTATTGCTCATCCGGCATTTACCAATCCGGCGTATGTTTTCCTTTCCTTTTACATTTGATAAATGATAACTGATTGATGCAAATATCATATTCAAGTATGTAATAATATTCAAAATATGATATATTTTTAATTCTAAATTTTTTCGTCACTTTTCCAATAATTCACTGTTATTTTTTTATTTCTAATAAACTACAATATTAACTATTAAAACATTTAAAGGTGTATTGTATTTAGTTTAACATTACATTTGATGAGTTATATTTTGAAATTACATTTTTGCTAATTAATTAAATGTACTGAAAGCATTGAAGCATTGAAAGTAGATTAAAATTACAATTCATAACCTATAGTATAGTAGGATTATTTAATTTACTTTTTTTTTTTTTGGTATTTATATAAGCTTTGGCATATTTTGCATAATTTATGAAATTTTAAAAATTTCTTCACTTCAATGTATTTTTATTTCCCACCAAAATAACTAGTAAATTAAGTCTACAAGTTATGTATACTGTGAAAAATGATTGCAAAGAAATGAAAAAAGAAAAATAATTTTTTTTAAAAAAAAAGAATCACAATAAAAATAAATATGTATGAGAACTTAATGAAAATTTTGGACTTTTCAGTTGGTGAAAAAATTCATTTCATTCATAAATAAATAATTTCTTGGTTTTAAACTAAGAACATTTATTATTTATTAAAATAACTGCGATAAAATATCAGAAAATAAACTAATTATGTGTGTAAAAATTTTTCTGCTTCTAAAATTAACATATTAAGTTTTTAAATTTTTATTTTTTATTTTTAAATTAAAATTCTGTTTTTCTAACAAAAAAAAAAAAGTATATTTTTACAGTGCATTAACGGGCCATATGTTTATGCCGGGACCGATGAGTCATATGATGGCACCGTATAGTGCGGCGCAAACGCAGATGGGCGCAAATGTATGGATGGAATCATTGATGCCAGGCCATATGTCTATGGATGCATAAATATTGTTATGGCATTTGAAGGAAGTCATTAATGATCTATATGGGATGACTTTGTGATTTCTTCTTGATGAAGCAATGAAGATCGAGAAGGAAAAAAAAAACAAGAAAAAATTCCGGAATTCCGGAACGATCAATCATCCGTGTAACAGCTACAATTATTTGGAATATTTTCAACATGGAAATGAATATTTGCATACACGGATAATAATATCTGAATACACAGAAAATAATTACAAAGAAAAAAAAAAAAGAAGTATTGTGATATGTATGAAGGAAGAGGATACTGTAATTTCTATATTAATGATAGTAGATATACGGATGGGTTATTCTCTTCTTTTTTTCTCTTTCTCTTTCTCTCTTCCTCTTTTTCATTTAATTTAAAGTTTAAAAATTAAAGAAATGCAAGTAATAGAAAATAAAATATATTAGGAAATGATGGTAATAATAGTTCAAAAATTTTTTTTTAACCAAAAAAAAAAAAGAAAGCATTTTAATTTTATTATTTATAAAATTCAATTCCGCAATTCTTTCAAGTCTTTAGCAAAAAAAAGAAAAGATAATAAAATCACTGTAAAACAAATTTATTACTTTTTTAAATGTTATTATTAATTTTTTTTTTTTTTTTCATAATTTGCTCAAATTGAATTTTTGAACTCAGTTCTGCTTGTGTCGGTGTTTTTTTTTTTTCTATTTTTCAAAAATCTTTTTTTTTTTCGTATTTTTTTTCTATTTATTACTCTTTTATATGTTTCAAAGCTGAATAATACAATATTAATTTATCACTAATTTATGTGCAAATTTGAATAAAAATAAAATTCATATTTTATTTCAAACTTAATTGTTTATTTTTGAAATTGTGAAATTAAATCAATTTTTTTTTCTCTTTTTCTTACTCATTGATATGTGTTAAAATGTTAATCAAATAGCGCCAACTATTCAAAATTGTATAATATCAAAACAAAACAAAACAAAAAAAAATATATATATTAGTGATACTGTTATTGTTGTATTAACTTAAATTATTTGAATGAAAGATTTTAAAAAATTAAAAGGAATATTCCTCATAAAGCTTTTTTCTCAAAAAAAAAAAAAAAAAAAAAAAGAAAATAGAAAAATAGATTAATTACGGGAATTGAAATTAATTGATAGAAATCTTTTCTTTTTTTCATTTTTTGTATTTAAAAATTTGCGCTTTCTTTTCAATAAATAATCAATCTTTCATCATAATTTATATGTGAAATTAAATTTGAAATGAAATTATATGTTTTCATAACAAAATGGAACAGAGTAACAATTTGTGCTAAAATAACAAACTTTAACCATTTGTCAGTTTAAATTTACTGCAAAAAGTATTTTTTGAATAAATATGTTTAAAAAGAGCTTATTTATCAATCAATCAATGAATCAGCCAATCAAACAATCAATCGATCAAGCGATCAATCAATCATTTCAAATCATTTCCTGCAAGTTTGTTATTTTTTATTTTTTTTTTATTTTTTTTTCAACCAATTGCAATGAAAATGCATATGATAATAATGCTATATCAACTGGCAAAATAATAATTTGCATATAATTCGAAATATATAAACTCAATTATTCATAGGCCGGTGGACAAATAAAGATCTTCCAGATATGTTTTCTTTTTTTTTTCTCGAACATTTATTTTTTTTTTTTTTTTGATGTACTGATAACTGATAAGTACAGTATGATATGAACTTGACATTTACTATTATAAGCTTTCATTAATTTCTTTTTTTAGAAGTGATTAATTAATAAATGGAAAGAAAATTTCTAAAAGATCAAATATTTTGTGGCAAAAAAAAAAAAAAAAATTGACAATTATTATCAGTAAAAATGTCAGCACAAATGATTATGATAAATAATTTATTTATTAGAAATTATAGAATTAATTAGTTAATTGATTGCATAAAAACTGTACTTATTATTTATGCTTTATTTATTTCGCCATTTTTTATCGTTATCATTTTATTACTATTATTGTTATTACTATTATTATTATTATTATTATTGTAATTATTATCGTTGTTATTATTATTTGTCGGTACATACAGGGCTCTTGCTTTTTCTCTTCTCGTTTATTTCTTATTTTTTGTCTCTTTCTCACCCTGAGAAAATATTAGTTTTAAATAAATTGAAAAAGATAATAATAATTTATCAATTATCATATTTCTAATTAGAATGTAAAATGCTAATCGATTATTCTGGAAAGAAGCATTTTAGAAAATGTTTTGACAAAAGTCAAAAAAAATGAAAAATGTAAAAAGATAGCTAAATTTAAATTATTTTAAGAAATAGTACTTCATTTTCTAGTTTATTTCTTTTCTTGGCTCTTTTTTTTTATCCTCTTTTCTTTCTTTCTTTTTCCTCTCTTTCTCTTTAAATCAAATTTTAAAATTTAGAAATCAAAATGAAGCGAAATTTTGTTCTCTTCTTTTTTTTTTCCTTCTTATGACGCGGGCTCTGTTATCCATGACTGTTTATTTACTATTCTTTCGTACTCAAATATGCGTGTAATTTTGTTTGTTTATTTGTTTATTTATTTGTTTATTTGTTTTCTTTTTGTTTTTTAAGAAAGGAATTCTATTTCCGTTGCATTTCATTCATTTGGATAGGAAAAAGGAAAAAAGAAACAAAATAATAACAGAGAAAGTGAAAAAAAAAAAAAAAAAAAAGAAAATGAGGAAAAAACGAAACAAAACTTTAATTCCTTCTTTTTTTTTTTTGTAATCTTTATTAATAGTTGGAATTTGAAGTTTTATCTTAAATTTTAGATTAGTTTTAAATAATAAATTCAGCTAGTTATATTATGATATTATTGTATTTCTTAAAATTTTTTAATTATTTATCCTAAACGGAGATATTATTTCATGATGAACTGAGAAAATTTAATTTACATTTCAAAAACCAATTTCATTTTTGTTATACAGGTCTAAATTTAGTATTTGATAGATTGATTAATTAATTAATTAGGCTCTAAATTAATAGATTAGCTTGAGTTCAAATAATTTTAACGTTTCAAAAATTTGCAATATAATTGCTTATATAAGATAAACATTTGCATGATTTTTTATTAGATAATTTAATAAAAATAAATCGAAAATTTAATTATAGAATTCAAATTGTTTCTATAAATAAGTTTGTATTAGAAAGATATAACGGAGAAAAAGTTTTTTTTTATTAAGATTTTGTTTAAACAAATTGCATTCATTGGAAGAAATGTAATTAATTTTTCAATTCATTGTGAAATTGGAATTAAAAATTAATTATTTTATTTAAATATATTAGTACAATTGATTGATATTAGGTTGTATTTATGATCATAGAAGCAGCATAATGTATTGTTAACTGTGAATGATTATAAATAATTTGATTTGATATGATGCGATATGATCTGATTTGATATGATATGATATGATATATGATATGATATGATATGATTTGATATGATATGATATGATATGATATGATTACTGTTTCATTGCATTATACGTCTTTTTTTTCATTTCATTTTTTATTTTCTTCTTTTTTTTTTTTTGATGCTTTTATTCTTTTGTCTTTTGCGTCAAAATGTTGATAAAAATTCTATTTGCTATAAATTTTGCATTACATTACAAACATTTTTTAATACAAAATTGTTTTTAAATAATATTTTTAAATTTTGTTTTAATTGTTTTTAATATAAAATTTAATTCATTTATTTACTATTTAAAGCTTGCCACTTTTCCAAGATTAAAAAGTAACATTTAAGAAGCTAAAGCAAAAATAAACAAATTGAATTTAAAAAAAAAAGAAAAAGGAAAAATTTTAACTTTAAAACAAATGAAAAATAGAAATTTTTGATCAGTAAAAATATTGAATTAAAAACTAAAGCTAACAAATAAAATCTGCTGAAAACTCGAACTCAAAAAATAAAAAAAAAAAATTGGTTTAAATTGAAAGATGAAGAAATTATAAGGTAATATTTACTAAAGAAGATAAAAACAAAAGAAAATTTTGAATCAGTGTTATTTGAAATTGTTTAATTCCAATAATAAATGATAATAGTAATACTAAAGTCAGTAATTAACAAATTTTATACAATGATAATACCTAACATTTTAAGTTTTTTTTTTTTTCTACCTGAGGAAAGTTTCATTTTAACTTTTCATTTTTCTGACCAAAAATTTCAATTAGAATTTTTCTTTTTTTCAATTAGAAAAAATTTGAATTAAAATTAGAATTTTTGGTTTATAATTTATTATGGTTATTCTTTTCATCTCGATGATTTGTTAATGAAAAAAATGTGTTTTTTCGATACATCTTTTTCATTTATTTTAATTGAATTAATTTCAGCTATTATTGCATAATAATATAATTTCAATCAGTTCATTTTTAATTTATCCATCACTAAAAAAAAAAAAAAAATCCAAAATGTTGTGAAAAATTTTTTTCAAACATTTTTTATATTTTATCCTAACTTTTTCGTATGTTTTGAAATTTCTGCAAAAATTATTAATCATTAATGTTTATTTTTTTGTAAATTTTGTAACGAATTCAAAATAATACAAAACAGGAAATTGAAATTATCCACTTTTAGTTTTAATTCAAGTTCAAAAAAAAAAAAAATCAAATTGTATTACTTTTTTTTGAATAAACAATAATTATTACTATAATTTGTTCTACTTATTTTTTCCTTTACATTTACCTTTTTTTTTTTCTTTTATTCTTTTTTTCACTGAATTTATCATTTCATTTTATTCTAAAAAAAAAACTAATTAAATGATTAATCAAATTTACCAAAGAAGCGAAAGTAATTAACGATAATGTCAATAATGGATAATATAACAATATTTATTCAATACTACTATTAATAATAATAATAAATAATATTGATAATAAATAATAATAATATATTAACAACAAATAAATAATAATGGAAATAATAATGATTATAATAAATAATTGTAAATAATTGCGAATAATTGTAAATAATTGTTTCGCATACCGTTCAGCATTATAAATTATTGGTATTCACATCATCGCGAGACTGTTTACTGCAACATATCTTTTTGAACCCAACTGATCCGTTGTCAACCCATTCGTTGTCACCAATCCGTTGTCACCCGTCCATTGTTATTCATCTGTTGTCATCCGTCACTCGTTCTCATGTCCTTGAAGTATTATGTCTGATGTAAAAATGGTAAATCAAACTTCAAATATCAAATTGAATTGGAACAATTGTTTGTGATGCATAATATTTTATTAGTTAATGCATTTTTAATATTTCATATCTGACTGATTCATTCTAAAACAGCAAATCCACTTTAAACAATGGTGGCAGTGATAATAGATAACTGATATTATTATCATTATCAGTTCCAGCCTTTATCATTGATGAGATCGCATTAACTTTTTTTTCCTTTAAATAAATTTTACACAGTGTACTAAAATATGTAATTCGTTGACATTTGAAACACATTTTTTAAAAAAAAATGGAAAAAATTTTAATTTTGCTTTCATTTTAATATTATCGAATTATTCCTAATTTCAAATTATTTAAGTAATCAATTCATCTTCTTGAAAATTATTTGAAGAGAAAGTATATGCTTTTAAAAAAAAAAAAAAACAATTTTTTCAAAAATTTTTGTTTTAATTTCAAATTTATCTTACTTTTTCAAAAAAAAAAAAAAAAATTTAATTTTCAGTTTTAAAAATTTTTCAGTGCTAGAGCAAAATGTAAACGAATAAATAATTTCATACTGTTTGTGTAATGAGAAGATTTGAGTTAATAAATTGAACTAAATAAAAATAAAAAACTAACTAACCGTTTTGTCATCATTCGATTACTTAAAAATGATTATTTAAAAAACATTTAAAAAGTTGTTTATTATTATTATTGTTATTGCTATTATTACTTCAATGAAGTAATAAAATACATATGTATTTAAATTAAAATTTATTTCAATTTTTCATTGCAATTTTTTATTCGACTGAGAATCGGTAAGAAATTATTTTCTGTTAGAGACACATTTGTTGTCATTTTTTTTGCAAATATTGGGCAATAGACTTTTTGGCTTGCAACGGATTTTTAGCGTTTTTATCTCTCTAAGCCATAAACTTTGCATGAGCTAGAAATTTAATTTCTAATTTTAATATCACTGGAAGATATGACAAATTTTAATGTAACTAATTTTAAAGTTTAATTGACAAATTTTAATGTAACTAATTTTAAAGTTTAATTGACAAATTTTAATGTAACGAATTTTAAAGTTTAATTGACAAATTTTAATGTAACTAATTTTAAAGTTTAATTTTGCTTTAAATATGCTAGCGAAGAACAAAAGCAACTAAGGATGAATCAGCATCGTAACACTGCAAAAATAATCAACGAAATGCAACAATCTGAATATGATAGCTTGTTTAATATTATCAGTGAATGTTTGGATGTTTATTTTGTTGACAACAGAAATTCTTATCAATATCCATCATCATATCACTAAGTGATAAATTAAAATTATGATTTATTATTAATGAATAAGTAAATAAAAATTTCAAATGAAATCTACATCATAACAACATTTTCAAAAATAAAATATGGCCAACTGTTACAGTCTGACTCATTAGCATGCTATCATAGTTTGAGCATTTCAATTAATTAAATTCTTAATAATTTCATTTATACTAATTATTTGTATTACTCGAAGGTATTGTGAATTAACTCTGAATTTCACTCTGACGTTTTATTTATTTATTTACTTCACTATTTGAATTTGAAAAAAACTCATTCAGCTAATTAATTAATTTTTTATAGAAAAAAATCAAATAAACCAAATTTATTGCAAGAAAAAAAAAGTGCTATAAATAGACACACATAAAAAAAGCAATAACTGAATGCATTTTTGTTTTTAAATTTAAGTTAATTTTGCTCTATTACTATTTCGTTTCATCTTCTTCCATATCATCGCTTCCGGTTACTGATTTTTTCATACTTTTTGAATCTGATACTGATGATACATCCGGTATATCACCCGTTTTGCTTTCACCACTACTACAATTCAATTTTATCAATAATTCAAGCAAACCACAATATATTCTATTCAACTTATCCATTTTATATTTGTCACTTTTAATATTAAAATTTTAAATCAAAAAATCAGAAAAATTGTCACAAACCTTTTCATTTCTTCACCTTGTGATACTACTGCGTGTGCATTGTTATGTTCCATCAAATCTTTCTATAATAACTTCGCATTTGCCTTATTAAAATGGCATAATTTCATTGAAAAGTAAAAATAACCAAAGTATTCTTACTGCTTTTTTCGAAATTACTTTTTAAACTTTTTTTTTTAAATTCAATTTTTATTAAAAAAAAAAATGCGATATTTTGTGTGTTACATCCGATAGTATTATCTAAAATTCTTTCATCTTACATAAGCATATTTTTAGTATATAACAACAAATTTAGTTCAAAAAAAAAAGAAAGAAAAAGAAAGCAGAATTGAAATATAAAACAAAAACAACAAATGAAACATAATGTTACTAATGTAAACAAAAAATTTTATAATAATATTTTGCCAATTTTATGTTAACGCTTAAAATTTTTTGTAAATAAAACCTAATTTGCTTAAATAAACTATCAATATAAAATTTAAGTAATTTGAAATAGTAATTTAAAACAAAAAGCAAATATTCTCATTAATAATACATTGTTATTAGTTTAAAAAATTATTCATTTATAATTTTTTTTTTTCTTTGAAATAACAACTAAAGAATAATCTGCTTTTTAAAATTTCAAACAAATATGGTGCAAAACGGTAAACAAGAAAGTGAAATGAAACTAATATCATAAAATTTCAAGAACTGCTTGAAAATGCAATATTAAAATCTTTGTTATTACCTAATGATAAACTAACTCTATTTGATCGACAAATTTGATTTGAAAGAATAAAAAAATAATTTTAGTTGTATGTCAACTAATTAAATGATAAGGAAAAATACTTAAAAAAGCAAAAAAACAAAAAACATACTTTTTCTCGGATTTGATTAATTAATTGACGCAACCTATCTTTTTCACATAAAGTGCTGTCACCTACAAATTTTTTTTTTTTTTTTTTCGATGATGACAGTGATAATATTAATTATAATAACGTTAATACTATTATTAGTAAAATTAATAGCATTAATAGTTAAAAATAATAGCAAGCACATAAATGACATTTGTTCATCAAAAGAATATGGACATGATTAATAAAAAAGAGAAAAAAGTGAAATATAAAAACAAAGCAAAAACGTTTGTACAAGGAAGCAAAAAATTAAATGTAAAAATTGTAAATAAAATGGAAATCATTTCAGTAAGCTTTCAATACTAGAAAAGTAAAAATTTGTTTCAAAAATTTTTAACAAAAAAAGGGAGAACAAGAATACGGCGATGCTTAAATGTCATGTAATTTATGGTAATATTAAACAAATTAATCATACAATAAAAATAATAAACTAATTTTATCAAATTAAAATCAAATTTAAGCGTTGATTAATTTGAAATAAAATAATTCAAATAATATTAGCATTTCTAAAAAAAGAAAAACAATGAATCATAATGTTAATGGAAAAATCAAAAATTATTTGAATTATAAATTTTCGTTTTAGGAAAATGAAAAAAGATGATAATGTAGTTTATAACTTTGTAATTTTGTGAATTACTTTTATCAAATTCTGATTAATCTAAGCATAAAGCTTTATTGTTGGTTTGAATCAAAGAATTACCATATTCACTGCATGTAACAGATTGTGTTGATGTTGAACGACGTGCTGCAATTAGCATTTTACGCTTACGCAGTGTACGTGAATGCACTGATAATTCTTCTGCCTTCTAAAATAGTATCATTATAATCATAATATAATATACTTATCGTATTCGGTAATTTTTTCTTAAATTATTTTTACATTTTTGTTTTAAATAATACATCTATGTTTACAAGAAATAATTATAAACTACAGATTTACGATATGGATAATACGGTAATGAATTTATACTCGCCGTACAATTATATACTACTAGTTTCTTCGCGTACAGTAGTATGTAAATTGTTACTGTAGAATACAGTAATGATTTTATTTTTTCAAAACGCAATCAAGTAATATTTTCATTGGGTATAGTAGTACGTAAATTATTACTGTAAATTATAGTAATGAGTTTAAGCTATCATGCAAGTACCTAATACTACGTACATTGGATATTGTGATAGTATGATTACAAATCATTGCTGTAATTACAGTACTTAGATACAGTAATACAAGACTATCTTGTGTTCAGTGGTATAATTGCAAATTATTACGGTAGATTACAATTTTATAGTACGAACTTTGAATTCGTATACAGAATATTTATAAAGAAATAAAAACAAATTACAAATTCTAACATCTCGAATCATCCTTTCGTGTATATTATCAGGCTGTTTGCTTACATGCTTGATCGTAACAATTGGTGCGGCACCCTTTTTAATGTTACTGTATTTATCACCTTGTAAAGTGATGCGACGATTCTCGCAGTCATAATAGCACGCAATTGATGTGGTTATAAGTAGAAGTATGATGAAAATTGTAAGTAATATCAAGACATATAGCCTAAAACTATGGACAATGAATATTTTAAATTTGTTTTAATAATGATCTAATTATTTTAAAATTTCATTTAACAATCGAATTGAATAAGAAAAACTAATATTTAATTAAACAGAAATATAGGGAAGTAAGCTAAAAATAAGTCAGTGTAACTTCAAATCGACTAACTTATCAAGTTTTTAATAGTGCTATATTAGATAGTAATGTTTCAAATTTTAATTTAAATTTCAAAATGGATTTAGCACTTTGCAAAACAATTAGAATTCATTTTGAATTTAAGCAAGAAATTTCATTTTACTCAGTCAAATTTGACTTAAGGTATTGCTTTGAACACTGTTTTCTATTAATGATTACAAATAGCTGTCATAATTAAATACTAAGAAAAAGGAAAACATCAAAATAATAAAAATAATAATTATAACTAACTCAAAATAACCAAAAATTAAATTATTTTTGTATTTTGTTGATACGATAGTAATATTTGTTAATGTCATATTAGATTCTGTATCATTCCATATCGAATCATTATAATCCGAAATCCATGTGAATGGAATATAAGTTGTCGCACTTATTATATTTCTTTGCAAACGCTGACTAATATTTGATCGTTGTATTTCATGTTCACTTAATTTTGCATTCGTTTTAGTAACTTCTACCACTTCTCTGATATGTCGCATTTTTGGTTCAAAGAAATTTTTTTCCCATTCTATAAATTTCAATTTAAAACAGAAGCTTTTACTTAATAATAAAAATGTTACCGAACTGTTATTCAAATTTTAGGAGAAAAAAAAAGGCAAATTACGTTCTTTTTTTTTGTTTTCACCTTTCGCTTTTTTTGTTCCGAAAATAAGGAAAGCAAAAAGGAAATGAATTTTAAATTTAAAACTGTTAAATATGATTTGAATACAGTTTTTTTTTTTTTTTTTTTATTCCAAATTTTTTAAAGTATTTGAAAATAAATAATACTAATTTCATGCTTTCATTATTGTATGCATAAAACTGCATACATTTAAAATATATTATTAACTTGGAAATTTTTTTTAATTTTCATTAATAATTTAAATCATTTAAAGCAATAATTAACATAAATATTTAAAATAGTAATTTTAACCTGATAAAAAATTTTGCATAAATAATGTATTATATTCATTATGATCACTTGTTATCCATAAACGAATACATTTAAAATGTTTTTGATCAATATTATCTAATCTATTCTTTAGCATATTCTCTTCTAATATACAATTAACTTCCATAATTAACTGATTTTTGTTTTCTTTTCGCACATTCCACATTAATGGACAATAATTATGATCATGAAAAAAAAAAAAGTAGTAAGTAATAATTTTTTGAATAATTCATTTTGATTTTTTTTTTTTTTCTTTTTTTCTTATATAAATGAAATGAGTGGATTATTTTTTTAATATCTAAATAAACGTTGGCGAATTAAATTCAATCTTCAAATAAAACTAAGACTTAACAATTGCTTTGAAAACAGTAGCTTTTATTACATATTCGATTAACTCTTTACTGTGAAGAAAAAATTATGAAAAAAGAAAAAAGTAAAACGAACAGTCGAACATTTTTTAGTCTAATCATTACAAATTTCAAACTAATCAACTGATATTTTAATAATTATTAAATTTTAACAAATAGTAACAAACAATTGATAACCTAATTAACCTGCTCAAAAAAAAAAAAAAAAAAAAAAAAAAACATTAGTGTTTTGACCTATTTATCACTGCATTAAAATATTCTATTTTTGTGTTTAATTTGAATTTTTTTTTCATGTAATACCAAATTTTACTTTTTTTTTTTTCAATGAGTAGAAATCAATTGTTAGAAATTCTATCTAACACCTGTTCCTGCTTTTCTAATAGAAATGAAAAAAAAAAACAAGAAACAGAGAATAATCATTTTGTTAGAACACAAAAACGTTCTATTAAAATTATATGTCAAACTGATAAATTTAAATGAGGTGTAAATGATAGAAATAAAAAATTGTCACCTATAAATGAAAAATATTATTGAACATTTTTTTTTTTTTCTTAGTAACTGTTTTAAAGAACTGTGAAAAGAAGAAAAAAATAAAATCAAAAAAGCTTTTATATTTATGAAATACACAATTATTTTCATAAACCAAAAAAAAAAAAGAATCAAAATTTTTAAAAATGAAAAAAATAAAAATGCAAATTTTACTACTTCAAATAAATTATGCCAGTCGATAAGAATGTATGGTTTATAAGTTGCAAATAGCATAAAAATTTCCATATGACAACGATTACTGTCATTATGAATTATTAAATTTAGAAAAAGTTGATATTTTTGTGTGGACAATAATGCGACATGTAAACATTTTTGTAATGTATAATGCACCTAAATGAAATAATTATAATTCATTTCAAATTAATTCACAAAATATAATTATTTGATTCAAACAAATAATTTCTGATATGGAATGAGAAAGTTTTAATTTGACAAGTACAAAATTATTTACTGCTTATTTCAATAAAATTAATTTATTTATCCAACAATTATTGCAAATAGTACTATTTTCAGTTCCTAAATACATTCTAATTAAACAAATGAAAATTGGAATTTTTAAAAATTTAAATTAGATAATTTAGCTAACCTTTATTTCATCATTAAATGATTCATGAAATGTAAGTTGAATAATATTATTGTTGAAGAAATTGCTTGGATTTACAAGTATAATTAAAATACTTAATAATATAACATATTTCTGAAATTTTTACCATTAAAAAAAATAAAAATTCAACAAAGAGAAAGAGACCAATAAAAGCAAAGATAAGACTTTCATCAACTTAAGGTTTTAGGATGATTGAAATTTTATTTACCCTATTTTTTAATTTTTTTTTTTTTTTTTTTTTTTTCTTGGTTGTGACAGCATTAAGTAAACAAACCATGAAGAGCAAACAACTATGGCTACAATTAACACACTCACATTCATAGAGTAGAAATTACGCCGATTGTAAACATCCATAGAGTAGAAATTAAATTAAAATTAAACTTATTTACGATTATTAAAATAATTTTTTCTAACTAAGATGATTTGATTATATGCAAAATTAACTGTTAAAAATGTATTTGTGAAACAAGAAAGGAGAAAAAAAATGTTTTATAAAGTTTGCATATTAATCAGAAATATCACTTACTGATAAGAGTAATTTATTCTTATCTGTTAAACATTTATCAATTAATATGCATTAACATTTACAGTAAATTCCGCAGATTACTCTTGAAAATGTTGTATGCAGCAAATTAATGAAATAATATTTGTGGCGATATGATAAGATGACAAATGTTTGGACGACGGTCTCTTTTGCTAAAATAATCATGTTTTTTTTTTTTTTTTTTTTTTTTAAATTACTAAAGTAATTTTGTAATCAAAGTAATTAAAGTAATTTTATTTTTATAATCAAATGATGGATTGAAGAAATATGTTTTAGCGTTTTTTTTTTCTTTTTTTTTTTTTTTTGTAGACTAATTTGTTAGAAAAATGGAATTTTATCAAAAATCAAATAACAGCAAGTATTTGAAAGGGATAAAAACAAACTACAAACGTTGTAACAGTAATAATATCCGAAGCATTTGATGTGAAAAAAAGAAAAAAGAGGAAAGAAAAAAGGGAGAAAATAACAATCACAAAACATGAAAATGCTACAAATTTTGAATTTCAAATTAAACTTTACAAAATTATAAATTGAATCAATAATTAAATAAAAACAGTGTGAGGATTTTTTGCGATGACAAAAGGAATTTTCGTTATAAATAATATCATGCTTACGTATTTAAATTATGGATTTCAGATTTCAAATAAAAGTTAGCAGAAAAAAAACGATGAGAAAATTCCGTTACACAATATTTTGACTAGGACGGTTACAATAAACAAGGCAAAGATATAAGATGCAATTCTTATTTTATGACAGTGCAGAAATAATGCAATCAAATGATACCATTATGTTGGATAATTTTCAAGTTAAATTTCGTGTATTTTCAATAAGCTTTTAAACTTAACTTTTAAAAAGAAATTAAATATGCTAAAATTAATGCTTTTTAATTCCTATACATCCAACACACTGTAACTTATCGAGGAAAGCTACAATTTAAATGCAGCCGAATTAAGAATTACAAAAACATGCATAAACAGACAAATAAGCTCTTGAAAGTTAAATAGAAATGCAATAAATAAATTTAAATTTGGTGTCATAAATCTCGCGATAATAAACATATTGGAAAATACTTCACGTGTGTTTGCCACTGAGCAGAGATTTGGAAAAATCGTATCTCTGACCAAATACAACCATCAATCGAAACTGAAAAAGAAAGAAAAAAGGAAGGTTGATCAATGAAATGATGAATAATTTAATGGAAACCGCAAGACAGAAAAATGCATAAGCTATAAAGATTAATTTGTGATATTTTATTTGTTATTCTTAATTTAAATTATTTATTAGCATCATAGCTAAAAAAGAGATAATATCTTGTTATTATTATAATAATTCGAATTCAATCCTCCTTATTTCACTGACTTCATTGTGTGCAAATAATTTGAGCCCCTTTTGTTCTAACAAAACAATATGTGAAAATCATTCTTTGAAATATTATCAGATAAAATAAGCCAAATGCTTTAAACAACTTGATCAGTTTTAAGAAACGTATAAGGATGCTATAAATTAACTTACTTGTAAGAGGATGTTTTCCACTACAAATAAGACGTGCCACATTGTTAATGCACTGAACTGAACTTTGACCCTCTGACTCATTTCGCTACAAATGAAAATTTCCACCAATGAAGTTAAATAATTAAAATATAGTTACTAAAAAATCATAGAAAGTGAACAAAGAAATAGTAGCAAATATAAAACTTATATTTTCAAATCAAAAAAAAAACAAAGCTGTTCTTGAATTTTATATTAATGGAATGATTATTTTACAAACTATGCTACTTATATTTAAAGTAACTATTGGAAACGTACTTGCACTTTTTTCATTCCAAATTTATGCAACATTTTGTCGCGCCTTCGCTCTTTAACAAATTGAAAAGAAAGAAGGGCACTAAATGGCTTTCGAAATACTGCAAATGAACGAAATGCTGATCGAATTGAATACTTCAAAAATTGAGGTTCACGTTTGATTACTCCACTGCCACCGCTGCCGATACCACTATTTGCACCGCTTTCATTCTAGAAATGAAAGTTATTAAATTATGAAACCACAAAAAACAGCTAACTTATATAATAGAAGAAATAAACGGACAGGTAGTATATTATTGTAATATCAAAGTTCTAAAAATCAAAAATCTTCAATTTAGATTGTTATATACGCAAATTATGCCTTCGTATTTGCATATGAAAGAAATAAAAGCATTATCGAAATTAAAGACGGATCTCTAACTTACATTTTGATTACTTGGTATCCAATATTCGATTAGAAGGTCCTGTGAATCAGATATTTTGATATTATGTGGAGTTAATGGAGGAGATAATTGTTGCACACCAAAAATACCCTGCAACGATAATGTCAGCATTTTTTCATCAGTAAATTTTTTCATTCATAGGAAAAATGCTTAATTAATAAAACTATTTTTCAACTTAATTAATAACATTACCTAAAAAAAAAAAAACAGGTTTAGGGACTAACAGTATGACACTGCAGAGGAATTCACAGAATTCTGCAATTTCAAAAGTATTAATTATTCTACTCTTGGCTATTTGGTTAAGTTAGACATCAACTAACACTTTTTTATAAGATTTCCACAATGTTTTGTAAGATTTCATTAAAATCAAAACGAAATTTTAATGGCATCAACAGATTTTAGAAAAGAAACATATAAATCATTTTACAAGTACCTGAGTTTCCTCATTAAGTCGTGCAGACATTGTGCAAGCTTCTATGTCCTCTTCAAACTGACCAACTCGAATTTCGGAAAGAAATGGAACAAACTGTGAACTTTCCTTTTCATCGATTAAACTGTAATTTCATCAATTAGTTCTTAAGAAAATGTACAACCAGAAGTGTCAAAAGAATGTCAAAAAAAGTATAATGCCATCTAATATTAGTCAAGTATTTTGTTGGAAAAAATTTTAATATTAATCATTAATATTAATCAAGTATTTAAGTAGTAGTTGAATAAAATTACTGAATGAACTATTTACTGACTAATTAAAATATAGCGGGAGCATAAGTGCCATTTGGACCGATCGAATAATTAACTAACAGTACTGAGAAACTAATATTTATATAATATATAAAATGAGAAGACATACGCTTTACTGTGCAACTGTAACATTGCTTCACCAATTGGTAGTTTTCGAAATGTTCCCTCCTGTATATTTCGCAATTTTTCCGAAAATGTTTTTAGCTCAGACATTAGAAATTCATCAGGATTTTTCACAAAAAATTCACCCAATCCACATGTACCACCGGTTCCAGCTTGAAGAACTTTACCAAGTGGACTAGACGGTTGTGTAATTACGCAAAATCTAAAATAAAATGAAAGAAAAAAAAGAAAGATAAAATAAAAAGTTGCCGTAAAGAGTTCGACTATGTTGGATAATAAAAAGAAAAAACTATTTATTTCATATAATTCATCACATAAAATAAAATGTCTCACCTTAGAAAATTGATCCATTCAGCTGATTTATCTTGCAACGATTCAACATACGCACGAAGAATAAAACTAATTAATTTTTCTGAACCAATTACACCAAGAACTGTACACGGTGGAGATATTGATGAGCTGTTACAACTATAAAAAAATATCCTAATTTTTAAACTTCAATAAATTTTGATATAAAAATGAAACAGCAAACTTTTCTGGCAAAACTTTTTCGTATATATAAATTCTACCCGTAATTTGCTAATAAATTTTATAGAATACATACAAAAAATACCTACAATTTTTGTATTTTCGCAACAACTGATGAGATCAATAAGCGGCAATCATTGAATGATGAGCAATCCAGTACCCGAAAACCGGAACCAAAAAATGATGGAATCTGGATATCACAACTATCACATAACCATAAACGTTCACTAACATTCCATAACTCTTCATCGTTTATAACAGCGGATAACTATAAAAACTTTTCATACCTCAATTAGAGTGCCTATCACTATGAAATATAAAAACGAAACGAAAAGAAGAAAAAAAAAAAATTAGCTCCAAAAAACTATTTGAAAGGACGAAAAAAGAAAAAAGTAATTCAGTAATATAGAGATAGAAAATAAAGGAAATAAAAATGAAGCAACTATAAAAGACAACTACAACTAATCATACCTATACTAAGTAATCAAATAATTCCATTTCAACTCTTAAGTTTTGAATTTGAAGAATTAAGCAATCAGTTTCGAAAAATGTAATTCAGAACACTTCTGTAATTGCAATTAAGTTTAATTTCAGCTAAAATATAACATTTCATTTTACATAAACCTAATAAACTAAATGTGATAAAGTAGTTGAGTAAAATAAACCCTAAATACTTAATTTTTACTAAATTATAATCGGGAGTACACAGAGAAAAAAAAAAACTACTTTACTTTTCTAACTATGTAAAAATTTACCCAATCGGTGACAGATGTTGTACGCATGGGATGCCAATGAGATTTCCCAACATTTCCTGCTGAATCAGAATTTGGCAAACAAAGAGGAAATGAAACAGCAGAAGCTGATGCTGGTACATTTGAAGCGGTAAAATGATGACCAGGAATACTACTCATTGTGGTAGTACTTGGAATTGTTTCTAATGTTGCTAATAACTTTTGATGACTCTTGTCAACTGAAGCACATCTGCAACCAATAAATCTGGTGTTTCTATATAGCAAAAGTTTGAAATATCTATCGTCTAAATGACAATTTTTAAACAAATGTCCTAGTTTATATAATAAAGAATAATATTTACCTGGGAATAATTAAATCAAATAAAATAATAAAACTACATATTAAGGAAAACTTAAATTATAAGTCTTTTTTCCCTTTTTTAAAAAATAATAATGGAATGATTTGATATGTTTAGAAAGCAATAACGAAATGTCTAACAAAGGTCAAGTACTTCAAATAATAGAAAAATTACGTGAACTTTAAAATAACTTCCTCACTTACATGTTAGATGACATAGCCATCAGATTATCAACATCAGTGCTAACTTCTTCATCGCTATCCGTTTCTTCAGTATTATCCTGAAACGGATTTTCTTTTTTCCTTTTTTCTTATATTTGATTGCTTTAAAATAAAACATCATAATCGGATTAAAGAGAATGATTGAAATATATCAATACTTTATCATTGCTGACTGATGGTAACATTTCCCGTGATGCAAAGTATGGCCGCAAACTTGGTCGTGGATTGCTCACTATACTCAAATTATCCATGACCATTTCTGGTCCTGAATCCGATAAATTATCCAGTTCTTCGAACAGCTCCTCAAGCTCTTGTGCTGTCGGTGCTACACTACCAGTTCGTGATGTAGAATCTGAATAAATTAACACTTATTGTCTAATATCTTGATTAAACAACAGTAAAAAAAAATTTAATAAAAATCAAATACTTGCAGATTAACCTGCAATTCCTTCTTCAGGGATTTTGAATCGTTTTAACAAAGATGAAAATTTCTGCTTCAAATTCTTCCGCGCTATTTTTCTTTCTTGTGTTTTCTTATACCTAGAAAATGCATAAACTGTCAATTGGTAAAGTAAATATAGAGACATAGCATCTAAGAATGCAAGAAAATAAAGAACAAATTGTACAGTAATGCGTAGATGCATAGAATAGAACATATAACCTAATAAGGAGTCAAAAACAAAAAACAATGAAGAATTTGTCGAACAGTTGAAATTTAATGTATTAATATTTTACCTCTGCTTTGATTCTGAACGACTTGAATCCTGCATTTCTTGTTCGTCATTTGTTTCTTGTCCATCTGATGAACTGTCGTCGTCATCCTCACTTTCCAATCCCTTCTCTTTGATCCTTCGTACACTCACTTCATTTTGAGCTTCGAATGCTTGACTTTGACAAGACCCAACTACAAGTCGTCCAACTGCTGCAAATGAAATATTCCTCACCCATCACCAGGAATTCAAAATTCTCAATACTTAAGAAAACGAAACACAACACGACTGGAAATACAGATTATTATCTTAACTGTTTCAATAACTTGAGCAACAAGAATACTAGTTAAACAAAAACATTACAATATTACTTTCCGATGTTTTACTACTAGCCTCTTTAATATATCGATGATAAGAACGTGCTTACAGAATAAATAAGTAAAAAATAATACTTGTAAACAACTAAATGTACTAAATGGCATCAATAATCATATAAACAAAAAAAAAAAAAAAAAAAGAAACTACTATATACAAATTCATTCTATGCCCAAATAAGCAGCTATTATGAATTATACCTACTTGACGATATCTAAAATTTATTACTAATTATAGCAAAGGTAACTCACGATTGATATTTTGCACTTCATCCTTCTCTGCATCTGGATCAAAAAGAGCAATCTCACGAATAGAACAATTTTGGAGCATTTCCGATAAGTTAATCGTACCTGTAAGATAATATGACATCTAAAAATCATATTTTGAAGGATATTTGAATTCTTCAAACTCATGTCAATTAATAAAAGAAAGCCTATAAAAATGCAAATAAAATGACTTACAAAAAAGTACCACCAAATACTGATGAGTAATATGCTATAAAAAAAATCACCAAGCATCACCAAATAAAGATGAATAATACGATATTAAAAAAAAAAATTACCAACAGCAAGCGTTTTATAACCCAAAATTGGTCGGTTTTTATATCGTTTGCGCCTTTGAAGCAATATATGTAAGATATTTCCTTTTCTTTTCAAGAAATGTGGGTACTAAAAAAATTTGAGCAACGTTTGCTGCGATCAACAGTTACCAAAAAAGCAAACAGAACACCATCCCATAAATACATATTGAATGTAAAGAGTTAATACAAAACATATTACAAATAAATATAATATTCTACGAAATGAAACGATGCAAAGTTGAAAACATATTAGAGAGAGAGAGAGAGAGAAGGAAAAAGAAACGATGCGTTTCTCTTAGAATTTGTTCGAAATTTCTTTTCTTTTCTTTTTTGGATGTAACTTTAAACAAACGAATTTAAATGAAGATATTGAAAAAGTCAAAATAAAAATTTGAAATTCGATTAAAACACCTGTATTGTGAATGATATATTTAAATCTATATCAACTCTGCCGTTCCTGGATTGAATTAAAAAATCATTACTACGAAGAGATCGTTTCGAACCCTAAAAATACGAAAATACTTGCAAACTAATACTGATATTTTGACTTTTTCTTTATAAAATGATCCCGATTATAAATCACTTTCATTTGGCTCGATTATATCCAAAGCAAACAAAACGAATAATATAACTTCAACCTTTTTCATCATATTTCTTTTCATTAAATAATTTCTGCGCTGTTCATGACAAAAATAATTCATAAAGACAGCAGAACAGAACGGAAGAGAAAAGAAAAGAAGAAGGAATAAAAGAAATTTTAAAGTTTAAATTTAAAAACTTACGTGTAATTTAACAGTAATAACTAAAGTAGATTGATTCCCAAGAAATGCATTAAATACTAAGCGAGTTAAAGCCATTGAAAACATCCTGAAATATTCACGAAACATAACAAATGTATGTAGAATAATTACACAACATAAGCAATAACATTTTTTAGCAAAAAAGAAAAATACATTATATTCAAATTAATTTAAATGTTTAATTAGCAATGAAAAAAGAAAGAAAAAACGATCAACCGTTGTACGGCACAAGTAACTGTTCGATCCGTTTCCCAGTTTGCAAACAATCGCATAGGTACCGTACGATTTGTAACAATATCCATATTGTTTAAATGATTGAATGATTCGAATAACGAGATGATCAATTGATTAAACTAGATAAATAATTCATTCATTCCTATCAATCATACAGAGCTGAAAAATGTACAAAATGACCAAAGATTACACTTAAAAATGTTATCTTTTGATAAAACTATCAAAATATGCTAATATGATCAAACACTAATTTTTCACCTCACAAATACTATTTCTAATATTTGTTTCAAACAATTTCGCTAACTATTTTGTTTATATTAGCTAACATAACATCTACTTTTCTTTTTCTTAACATGACATCAATTTTTAATATTTATATCAATATATCTCTTAAAAATTCCCACACTAATTTCTCTCTTCCATATTTACATACATATGTATATACCTACTACACATTTAATCACCTTATTAATTTTTAATTGTTGTCTAAAATATATTTTAGAAACAAAATACTGAATATATTCCTTATTGATGAACGAATTATTTGTAAACGAAAAAGTTTTACCTTTCTCTCGTTTCTTCAATTTTATTTGGATAAAAATTCATGAAAGTATTATTCAACAAGTAATAAATAAACATTATTAGGTGTAAAAGCAAATGAAAGATTAAAATCCTGCAAAATGATAAATATTTAGAATTGAAAATACAAACACACACAACGTAAAAAAGCCAATGTATGACAAATTAACATTTACTTTCCCTCTCTTTTCTTTTGTCTTTCCTTTTAGTTTCATCAAAATTTTTTGCTGACTTTAAAATAATGTTTTCAGATTAATTGGAGGTTAATTTCAAGTTAAAAACAGCACTGAAAACAATGGGAGTAACGATAAGAAGAATACGTAATAAAAGTTAAATTTCACACGAAACATTAACTATTTCATAGCGTCCCATCACTCGTAGCATTATATGGCCAACATTTTAGCAACTAAAAGTAAGAAAGAAGTGGGACGTTGGTAAAATTATTGGAGGAAGGGTATCGTTACTGCACTTCAATTAAATGTCACATTTGAACGGCTTAGTCTCTCTCTCTCTCTCTCTCTTCCCCTCCCTCTCTTTCTTTCTCTTTCTCTCTCCCTTGCTTTTTTCGTTTCTCCGGTTTTTTTCTATTTTTTTTGATTTTATTTTTTCCATTTTTACCTTCATTTTCTTTTATCCCACTTTCAACCTCATTTTGTTACTTTTCATTTTTTTTCTTTTTAGTCTCTCATTGATCCATTTTTTCGTACTTTTTCCTTTCTCTCTCTCCCTCTCTCTCTCCGCATCCTTTTACTATCTAAAAGTTCAGTAAGAGATTATTTCAAAAAGAAAAAAAAAAAAATTATTTTCAATTTTTGTGAATTGATTGTGAAAATAAAAAAGGAAATAAAAAATTGGATACAAATGAGAAACAACGATAAATTGTGCATTTCTTCCATTTTTCTATGTTTATACCAACTGTACATAATATAAAATTGTGATAATGAAAGCAATGAATATTCAAATTAATTTAATTTCTTTTTCACTTTCTTTCACAAATTACCATCGAAAATTTAAATCATTTACTAATAAAAAATAAAAAAAAAAATAAATAAAGGAAGAAAACGAAGTTAAAATTTAAGCACTTGCAAAATTTTGGAGAATTTTTAAAAAATACTAAACGAAACCAAACAGAAAAAAAACTCATTATGTGAATGAATTTTCCTTGCAATAGCATTCATTGATTATTTGAAAACCATAAAATAATAATAAAGTGTTTTCTTTTTTTCTCCTTCTTTATTCTTAAAGATTTGAAAATTATATATTTCATTTGAGTTAAGAATAACAATAATAAATAAAAGCAAATCTTCTTCTCAAGAAGGAATTCACTAAATGCAAAAATGAGAAGTTCATTAGTTTTGTTTCCCTGTTAAGCAAATTAAATGTTATTGTTGTAATCATTATTATATTATTTATTATCATTTATTATTATTATTATTTTTGTTATTATTATCATAATTCTAATAATATTTATTTATTATTATTATTAAATGTTAGTTTTAATTGTTATTGAACATGATTCATAAAATATGGTTGAAATTAGTCTTAATTTGGTCTCAGCAGAAAATTAGAGAATTAAAATCGTTATTGCATTTTTGTATTAATGTTGAATAAATAATTGAGAAGTAATGACATGAAAAGAAAAAATTACACTAAATGATAACTAAAATTTTCATTTTTAAAGTCTTTTCAAAAAAAAAGAAAAATTGTATAATCAAAACAAAAAAATGTAAAAAAATTGTTTTCAGTAATTCCATTTATGCATATTAATGAAAACGATTGGTGGTAAATGATTAATGACTAACTATATTTAATATGCTAATATTTAATACTGAAATTATCATTTAAAATTTATACTTTTGAATTTGAAATTAAAAATTGAAGATTAATAGAAGAAACAAAATGCTTAAAATTGATTTATTTTAGCATTTATTCGTCCTTCATTAGCTTTTAATATTCGCTCCACTTCATTCTGACTTTTCATTATCATCGGCTATTATTATCAATCATAAAATTACTTACACTATTGCTAAAAACTGAAATTCCCTCTTAAGAATCATTTTAAATTGCAAAATGCATTATTATTATTCAAATGGTATGTAATGGAAAAAATTTAATTAAATATGCAAAATAAATTCTAAAAAATGACTAAAATTAAAATATATCCAAAATTATCTAAATTTCAATTTTTTTTTCTAATCTAATGCACCATAATGATGAGAATAAATTAATCAAACATAAATTATTGTATAGTTTTATTTTAGTGAAATAAATTGTTGCTATATTTAATGAAATTTATCTTTTTTTAATAATAAAATTTAATCGAATATATTTTATGATATATACGTATGATTTGTTGAACATTCAAATGTTAATCAATTAAAAAAGTTAAATGATAATAATGAAAACAATTTTTGTTTTTTAAACAAAGACAGCAATCTTTAAGAGTTCATTACAGCAAATGATTTTAAACTTTTGTTCAATAAACTAATCCTCTCTAACATTTGTTAAAAATTTTCAAAAAAAAAAAAGAAAAAAAAAAAAACCAAAATTTTGCAAATTTGAAAATTGATTTTTGACTTTAATTAAATTTTGCACAATTTATCGAAGATTTTCTGAATAATTTGCGAAAAATAATTTCATTAAAACGATGCAGTAAGTGTTTATTTAATTTAAGGATTATTATTATTCATATATTTCTTTAGATTTATATTGCCAATTTTTACACAAATTGAATGAGTTATACAGATTTTGCAATTGTGCAAAAATTGATAATATAAATCTATTATATATCACTTATATCAACTATTCATATAATATCAGAAGAAAAAAAAAGAAAAAAATTTGTATATTATAACTCAAAAACAATTGTAATGAACAAAATTCGTGGATACTTTAACTTAAATAAAAAAACATTGTAATTAATTAAATTAGCATAGCTTAAAATTTAACAAATTATTGTGATTATTATGTATGATAACCTAAAAACTGCTGTATTAAATTAAATTTTAATATAATTTAATTTAAAAATTATTTTGATGAATTAATGTTATTTTTCATTTTAATAAATTGATGATAAAAATGAACAAAATGGAATTAAAATTTTAAAATAAGAAAGAATGAGGAAAAATCATTTCTGATCGGCATTTTTGATATTTAAATAAGTAATCTGTTGTAGTAAAATGTTTGCAAATTAATGGATATGATAATAAATGAGTGAAAATGGTTATATCAGCTGTTAATGATTGATAAATTCATTATGAATTGATACAAAGAAAAATGAAAGAAAAAGAAAATGAATGCTTTTTTTTTTTTTTTTTTTCGTTTTTTTCGTTTTTTTTTTTCATTTTCTTTTATTTTTTTCTCTTCCATTGACATCCATTTCTAATTGCATTTACTTTTGAATGATATATTGTTAGCATTTAACAGCAATTTGCAAAATTCAATATGTAATACGGAAAATATTTGTTTGTTTTTGCTGTCAAAAAAAAAAAAAAAATGAATTTTTTTTTTAAAAAAAAGAGATTGAACATTTGGTGTAAATTATTTGCTGAATTTACTTAACAAATAATTTTAAAATTTTTTGATAGTAATATATTTCATATAATTAGTATAGTACTTTTTTTCCTCTTTTTTTTTTCTTCTTTTTTCTTTTTGTGGAATGAAAGATATTTGATAATATGAAATTGAAGTCTTAAAAAAATTCTGAATTTATGGAATTGTCTAAATGTTAATGAATTAAATTTATCTAGATAGCAATGCAGTGAAATTCATTTACCGAATTATTTAAATATTATAGATTCAAATTAATTAGATAGCAAAAAAAAAAAAAAAAAAAAAAGAATGAAAAGAATTGAAAATTCAAATTAACAAGATAGCAATAAGATGAAATTCATTTATGTAACAATTTAAATTTAAATTGTTACATAAATTTAAATTAATTACATAGCAACAATAATCATGAAAGCAACTTTTTATTAAAATTCTCACTCATTAATCAACAATTAATCATTACTTACATGAAATTAAAACATTCTTTACTTTAAACGATTCGATAAGAAATTAAAATGGAATTTGAAATGAACCAACAAGGATGTATTTTTGTTTTTTGTGTTACAGTAAAGAAGAAGGAAATTAATTCTAAAAGCAGACAGAAAGAAAAAATGAAAAAATGGATTTTTGTTTGTTTGTTTTTTGCTTCGATTGGAAACTGAAGATGTATCCAAACTTTCAGTTAATTGAAATGCATTAATTTAAAAGTGGGAGAGAGGGAAAGAGAGAGAGAGGGAGAGAGAGAGGGAGAGATTAATGAAAAGTGAAGTATTATTAAAAAGATTTATTTCGCTACTTTTTTTTTCCGTTGATTATTTTGTTTCAATAAAACAATATTTTTTTGTTATGTTCCTTTTATTTTTCTTTTATTTTAAATAAAAAATATATTTAAAGTCATATTTGAATTCTATGCAAATTAACAATTTGCATAATCAATTATTACATTTAAATAAAGTATGCAACAATATGAAAAGCACTGAGTGGAAAAACAGGAAACAAATGAAAAATTAGAAATAATATGTAAGTAAATAAGAAACGATCATAAAATTAGTAAATATGTAATAATTGTAAACAAGTGTGATTGTTTGCTAGTAAACAAGTTATTTTGATGCAACGAATCGATCACTTCTGTCCGTTGTCAACTCATTTTGTTCAATTTTGTCACACAGCTGTCGTCTATATTCATCATCTTTTTTCTTATCAAAAAAGAAAGAAGTCCTTTTCTTCCTGAAATTTAATCAAAGTATAAGTTCAAAGATTATAAATGAATTGAAAAAAAAAAAAGGTAAAAAAAGTGAGGGAGAAGAAGGAAAAAGGGGAAGAAACAGGATTGGAAATGGAAAATAAGAGAACTTTTTATTTGAATTATATGAAAAATTTTAATTAAAAAATTTAAAGAATAAGACTAAATTAATAAAGAAAAAAAATTTTTTTTCATTAAATTGAGCAAAAGAATTTCGTTTTTCAAGTGAATAAAAAAACTTCCAAATTTAACGACGGATTATTTTACAATATAATGTATGAATTACTATTATTATTATTATTGTTATTATTATTATTGTCATTATTATTGTTATTATTATTATTAATATTATTTATATTTATATAAATTACAATATTATTTATAGGCAATTATAAATTAAATTATAAGTATGTGTAACTATTATGAGGAAGCTAATATCTGATGATTGATTTTCTAAACAATAATAACTTGGCTTGTTTTTTACCCTAAATATTATTAGCCAAGAGATGGAGTATAATAGGCTATATTTGATCATACCACTTTCCTTACTTTTAATCTATAGGCTATTTATCCACTCATTCACTCAACTATGGAGCAATTCATATGAGAAAAAATTAAACTTTTTGTTTTAAATAGAAATAATAATTTAAACTAATAAAATTTTGAAAATATTATTAAAAATTAAAAGAAAAAATAATTGTTAGTTTTGTTTATATTATATAATTTATAGATGCATGAAAATAATTTGAATTTTCCATTGATACGCATAGTATTCCCTACACTTTTCTGATAAATACGTGTACTTTCATAGATAATTTGCGTGTTGCTTACGTGAGACAATTGAAATGCGCATTTTACGTAAAACAGTTAAACTCATACATTCATACTTATGTATTAATATACGTCATAATGTACATCATTCTTTTCTCATACTTATCTGTGCAACGTATGTGATACGTGTACAATTTCTCATTTCTCGTACGTATGTACTTTTACTTTCTTCATACGTCTACGTACATATATATATATATCATACGTGTACAAATCTTTCTCTATTTGTATTTATGTAAATATAATACATTTAACACATGTAGCAACATATTTCTCGTTACTTTCAAGTAAACAACTTCAAATATTCGATCATTAATTATTATGACGTAAGTAATAGAAGTCATCTGATATACTATTGCCTAACAACTTATATGAGTGTTTACTTACTGCAAATCATTAAATTGTTATAAAACTTTTCACTCTTCCATTATTTCTATTATGATGGACAAAATTTCAGCACTTATTACGTAATTATTACTTATACAGAAAAAAAAAAGATAAAATATATGTGTAAATGTGTGCACGTATTCATTTACGTCACACACACACACACACATACACACACACACGTAAACATGACGTTTAAGCACGTAACAACATCAATATCAAAACTTATAGTTTATGGGATAATTGGAATTGCATAATGGATAGAGTGAAAATGAGATGAGATTGTCGGGGTGAAGGAGAATTGTGATCGATTCGATGTATGTTGTCGATTGAGGTCACATGTTCAGTTGATGGTAATTTTGAGAGCAATCAATTCATTAACAGTTAAACTTACATCTTTACATTCTTTTAAAATCCTTTTAAGAAAAAAAAGAGGTAAAATTGATCTTTGAATTAATGCTAATTCAATTCTAATCAAATATCTTTTTTACATTGCACTTCACTATGCTTCAAATATGCTATATTCTGTGTGATATATATTCATTCCTAAAATATTTTAATCTTTACATAATTTTTAGGCTAGTAAATTTATTAAATTTTATGGAGTTATGTAGTTTTTATAGTCGATTGTTTCTTTCTTTTTTTGAGAAGTTTCTTTTTTTTTTTTTTTATTTTTTATTTCATTTTAGTTATGTTTTTTAATTACATATATTCCTACATCTATAAAAGTACTTGTTTCTAATCTTTTGTACCATAGCTATTATTTTCTTTGAATTTATCCAGTTATAAAAAATCTTTAATGAATATAATAAGATTGGATTAATGTGCGAGGAAAGAATTTCGTTTGTTAGCATAGAAGTTACAATAAAAATTAATGCATCGACAACTCATCATATTAATTTTGCAGATTTAGTGGATCGTTTCATCTTAGATTATAATTAATATTTTATGCTACTGTTCATTCAGGCCAATGTCATCGTAGATGTTTGGGTTCCGTTCTAGGATAGGTTATCAGAGCATTGAAGATGAAAGTACTGAATCTCGAATATATTCTACTGACAACGAGCAGACACTTTTGATTCCCAGAAACAGTGTACTGTAAGTTTTTTTTTTCTTTTTTTTAAATCACTGATCTCTACTTTCTATAAAAAATTCTCGTAAAATATGATTAAATCACGATAATTTGCTATGATCTAACTTTTTTGAAGTTGAAAACTATTTTAAAGATATTCAAATACAAAAATACAAAAAGATTACCAATCATTTGTCGATAATGATATTGTTGTTGCTTGCAATAATTAGTAGTCTAGTAAATTATAATTTCAATTTAATGATATCAAACGTTTCCTTTGTAACAGGGAAGATGATGGACCATCGGAAGTATATGGTAGTCCACCATTGGAACACGATATCGCAGCGAATGAAGTAGGTGGAACCGTTGAATGTCATGCTGCTACGAGTTCTGGTATTTTATGGGATGGAGTAGAAAATTTAGATCAGGTATATTATATAAATTACCTCGGAAAAAAATGCCATAGCTAAATGATTCGTTGATTGATTTTTCGTTTTAAAACTTGAAAACTTAGGATATGCCTAAAAACTTGGATCTAGTATACCTGAAATGTCTCATTCCTATATAAGTTATTTTATGGATCTTAATATTGCGCCAATAGGTGATCGAATTTTTTAGTCTGGTGTTATTAATATAAGATATATTAATATAAGATCGATAAATTTTGGGTAATGCATCTTGTATGCTACGTTCAGCTTACTCTCACAGCTCATAGATATTTTTTATTAGATAATTGTATAAGTTTTAATTGCTAACATTCCGTTATAAATATCACTGTTTATCGTAAAACGAAAGTTTTGCTTCTTCTAATTAATTGACCATCTTCTAATATTTCATCTAAGACATACGATTTACTCATTCTTTCATGTTATCTTTGAATGATTTTATTCTCTCTCTCAAAAAAAAAAAAAAAAAAAAAAAAAAAGTATACTCTTTTTTTTACGAATATATGAATTGCTTTAAAATATGAAAGGTTATGAAGTTCGTATTTTTAAGATATTTACGACTGATAGCAGAAAAGAAAGTATAATGAAATAATATATTTTTCAGTTTTTCACTCGAGTTTATGAGTATCATCAAAATGGTGGATATCTTTGTATAGTTATTAAGCATATTCTTACCTTATTTCAATTCATATTTGTGGTTTGGTTTGTTACATTTTTACTAGTACGCGTGGATTATGATGTTTTGTTCAAGAATAAGAATATCTCTGCAGAGGGAAAGCCAATTGGTGGGAAAATTCGACTTGAAGTAAGTCTATCTTCTCTTTCCTTTTTCTGATTTTCATTTTTGTTTTGAAAATAGTTTGTTTTCTTTGATGGAAATAACTATATAAAAAGAAATTCTCCGCATAAAATTTTGCTTGGTTTGGACTTGCCAAAATCTAAGAAACTTGTAGGAAGAATTAGTTTTTTTTTTTAATATACGGATAAGTTTGTTGTGATATTATGGAAGTTTTTGCGATGGAAAAGAAAATTGTCGAAGGACGTGAAGAATCTGAGTGACTCGCGTGGTTCATGTTTTGTTTGAAATTGTTAAAATGAATTCTATACTTAATAGTGTTTGCTATTCCTTTTGTGTCTAGGATGTCATATATCCGGATTGGAGTCATATTGGTGGTTTCACACTATGTTTGCTGGTTTTTGCCGTTTTATTTTGGATTTTCCGGGCTGCACGGGTTTTTTATCAAATTTATCAGTTTAGCGAAATACGTACTTTTTACCATTCAGCGTTGGGTAAGACTTAATGATTTTTTTAATTTTTTTCTGATTCTTTTTCTTTTGGTTATAGGAAACTAGTAAAAATTTGCCCGTTTATCAACTCTATTATCTAGATTCCAATTTAAAAAAATTCAGTGCCAATATTAAATTTAATGTCTACATATTCATAAATATGTGTTTATCTGATTAAATTTTCACTACTCCTTATGAAGCATCATCTTCAACTATTTTACTAACCTTGATTTTTCTTGCTTAAATAAATAATAAAATGTTATTTTTTTTAAGGAATTGAGGATACATTATTGAGTGACCTTAAATGGCAGGAAGTTGTGCAGCTTATATGCGAGAAGCAGCCATCCATACATTTAATTTTAAATAAAGATGGTATTACTGCTTTGGATCTTTATCAACGTATTTTGAGGCATAAGGTGACAAATTCTTGTCTTTTCCTCTTAATTGATGTGAAGAATCGTGCAAATACAAATTCTGCTGAAGTAATTCTGTGGCATGGTAACTGCGTAATACTTGAAGAAATTTTTGTTTTTTTTTATATTTCAGAATTATTTTGTCGCCCTTATCAATAAGGAAATACTGCCACCAGTAATCAATGTGCCTTTCATTGGTTCAATGCCATATTTACCGAACGGTTTGAAAATGAATCTGGAATGGCTGTTATTTTATGGAGTATGGTCGCCGTGGAAGGGACCGTATGAACTTAAGGAAGAGTACAAACATCCACAGAATATTTTCAGGCTTGGTGAGATTGCTAAAATTATAAAATTATATAAGAATAAAAATGCAGCTTAATATAGATTTGAATCACTATAAGCTCTTCCTTCACTTTAAATTCGGCTATCATTAAAATTCATCAGGTAGAAATTACCTAATGAACAGCAGCAGGAATAGAATTCAGATTTTCATTTTATGAATATGTGAGATTTAAGTGTTGAAATGATAGTGAAGCATTCCACAATATCCAACACTGTTGATAATATAGCCATCACATTGCAGCGGATGAGTTAGATTCGGCTATATTGAAAATGGCTATTGGCAATTTTATTTTTTTTCCACTTGTATTCGTATATCAAGTATTATATTTCTTTTTTACTTATGGTGAGCTACTAAAGCGAGATCCGGGATCATTTGCTATGCGTAGGTATTCAAATTACGGAAGGTAATTGTCGACAGTATTCATTTTTTTAGAACTTCTTTAGAAAGTAGTTTTGATAGTATTCATTTTTTTGGAAAGTAATTTTTGACAGTGTTCATTTCAACATTCCTAATAACAAAATTTGCAAAGTAATGTTTTTTGTAATCTCTATACGGATTGATGAGTGTACAATTTCTAACTGTTAATATACGATCATATGATAACAAAGAATGAATGTATTGCAGGAATAAGTTACGACATTTCAACGAGTTAGACCATGAATTACGAATACGTCTTTCAAAAAGCCATCGGGCAGCAACCCAATATATGGAACAATTTCTTTCACCGCTTGGGCAGGTTATAGCTAGAAAAATGCAATTCGTTGCAAGTGCAATCTGCATAGTTTTGCTTTTGTTGGGTCTATGGGATGAAGATGTATTGTCGGTTAGTTTAATGCACATTTTTTGTCATTTTGTTTTTTTAATCAAAGCTGTTGTTCTTTTACTTTATTCCATTATCTTTGAAAAAAAAAATTTTTTTAATGAGTTTCAAGATTGAAATTAGATACGAAAAGAGTCATATTGTCAGAAAGTTGGGTAATCAGGAATCTAACCTTAGAAGAGAAAAAAGCTTTGAACTCTCCAGTGATTGTGTTTTAAGTTTTCATATGCTATAATTCATGAAGTTACAGGATACTGCCTAGCACAAAATATGGTACCATACACGATTTCAACTTATGCATAAGAAAAAAGAAACAACTTTATCCAGATCAAATGAATGATACCTTGTTTGTATTGTAGGTTGAACACGTTCTGACGATTATATCTTTATGTGGTTTGATTGCTGTCGCATGTCAGTCACTCATTGGAGATGAAAATATGATTTATTGGCCTGAAACATTGCTAAATATGGTGATTGCACACATACATTATGCGCCAGACTCATGGAAAGGGAAAGCTCATACAGGTGGTATTCGTTTCTTAAATGTTTCCGTCATAATGTAAAAATGTTATGTCGTACTGAAAAAGTATTCCAAAAGTGCTTCACTGATCTTGATCATTCTATTTCCGTTTATAATTTCCATAACTCAGATAATGGTTATGGTGCCTGTCAAGATAGGCTAACAAGAATAGAGAGAATTTATGATTAATGTGTTTTATAATTTTGTTCTAACCAAATTCAGAATATTTTACAGTGATTTCGATTTTGAAAAGAATGGCTTATGAGAATAGATTTTACAACAAGCTATGATTTGAGCCGAGTTGAAATAAGTTTACCATTTAGTTTAATATTAACTGAGCATTACATCAACATTGCAACTTTCGGGATTTCTGCTTTTTATTTTCGGATAATTTGGTGCCATTTAAATTAGCTTGATAGCAACACTTTATTTGTTCTGTAAATATGAAAATTTTGCACAAGTTTAAATCAGGGAAAATGGACTTTTATTCCAGATACGGTTCGGAGAGAATTTGGGCATTTGTTCGAACTAAAGGCGAAATTTTTACTTGAGGAACTTTTGAGTCCAGTTTTAACTCCATTTGTTCTACTGTTTTGGTAAGCTCTCAATGCAAAGTATATTGTGATAGCAAAAGGAAGAAGATAGTAAAAAATCTTTCCTCCGATAATTTTACAGTGAAACTTTTTTCATTATGTTTCTTACTCTATAGTGCATGCTTTAAAGTTAGCACTTCTTACTTTTAACATAGTGGCAAAAATGTATTACGTTTTACTGTTCTTTTCCAGGATTCGTCCCAAAGCGAAAGAGTTTGTGGATTTTTTCCACAATTTTACGGTTTCTGTAGAAGGCCTCGGTGATGTTTGCTCATTTGCGCAGATGGATATCAGACAGCACGGCGATCCAAATTGGAGTTTTGATGAGGTTACGAAACAAGGTGAAATTCATATTAAAAATTTCCATTATTATTAATTTTAGGCGCCTGTCAATAATTTGTAATTATATAATTTCTTAAACGACCTTTCCTCTTTATAACCTTCCTCTTTTTGTTACCTGATATTTTCAAACTGTACGAAATGTGAGATAGTTAGTTTTATTCATATATATTCTTTCTGACGTTTCTTAATAGTATTTCCTTTCTTATTTTCAGAAATTTTAAATATGCATGGACGAGTTCATGCTAACGATGGAAAAACAGAATTATCTTTGATACATTTTGCTAGCAATCATCCAGAGTGGAAGCCACCACCTCGTGCTGCTCGTTTTCTTGATGATATACGAAGCCGGGTATGTTGTTGGTTTTAATTTCAGATAAGATCAGAAATATATTTACACTGGTAAAGAATGGGAACAAAAATTTTTTCCTATGAAATTTCAGATGACACAAGATATTAATACACTGAAAGATGGTGTTGTTATGGATGATAACATATTATTGAATAGTCTACATTCTTTCAACTTCAATACTGACCAGCAACTTAGGAGATTTATAGGTGGACAACCATCTTTTGTATCCTTCCGTAATCCTGATTTGTTTAGTGGTGCAGCAAATATGTCTTTGCATGGTGAAAGTAAGTTTATATATATATATATATATTTTATTTTAAGCATTGTTTAGATAAATGTTAATTGTCAGAAATGGAAGAATGATAATAGGCGTGTATTTACGTAATGATTAATAACTGCTATTATATATTCTTATTGTTTCTTCGTTCTCTCTCAAGATATTCGAAATATGTTGTCTGTTGAAGAAGTAGTAATTATTTATTAGTTTCTTTTTTCTTTTAACTGTCAGAGCAGACTAAAGGTCAATTTTGCAGGAAAAAATCATATTGGTGATATGGTACTTACATCACAGACGACCGCATTAAGTATTGTATATCTGCGTAATTTACATGCTAATTACGATAATCGTCGCCTTGAAATAGTATCATCTCCGACAACTATGGCTTGTCGTCATGTTGCGCAAATCTCTCCGATTTCTCCAACTGTAGCACCAATAGTAGTCGAAACTACAGTACGAGGTTCAGATACAGTGGTCGAAGCAGCGGGCAGTGTTTGGGGTGTACCAGCACAAAGTGCAATTTCACCTCTTCAAGCTTCGCTTTCACCTCGAAGCGACGATGAACAGCTACAACAGGAAATAACTGGTGATGAACAATCACCTCCTGGACTGTCACATAATATTTTGAATGTTTGAAAAGAAACTGTATTTTCTTTCTTTTTTTTTCGATTCATTTTTTATTATGTAATGAATTCGAAATATTCTTTCCTCTTTGCGACCCATGCTTGTAAAGGTTTATTTGTATTTACCAAAGGAAGCTTTTTTTTTCTTTTAGTAATTATGAGATAGCTTGAAATGGTAGTGAAATTTTTCCCGATAGATTGATACTTTTTGCAGTTATGATTTGATGCAGTTATCCGATTTATTTGATAAGCAGTGCTATTGTGAAAGATTGGAAATTTTCGCAACGGGTCGTATTTTTGTTTTAATTGCCACTTGCTCACTGTATAAGAAAGCTATTGTATTTTATATGCTAATGCTTTTTTTTTTTTTTGTGTGTATGTGTGTGTGTTCCTTTTCTCTTATCAGAAGTTCTCATTATGCTTTGATAGTCATGTTTTTATATTTTCTTTCTGATATTACAACAGCTTATATACCTTGAAAAAGTTTTAATGAATATATATTTACTAAAAAAAAAAATTATTGGAGATGTATTTGCAAAAATATTTGTTGTGCCATTGAATAACTTGTTGCTTTACTTGAAATTACACAGATTTTGTATAAAAACTGAACCCTTGCTGTACACTTCTTTTTTTTTTCATATTATTCTCATTATATTTTAATTTCATTCGTGTAAATCGAGCTAAATTATAGAGCTATTTAGCAAAAGAAAAGAAAAATTGTGCACGAATTGTTATTTTCACTTCATTATCACATTAATTTTGATTTAAGATACACATCCTGAAACATATTATTGCTATAATTTTTAGCTTTCACTGTTAACAGTTTTATTTTGAGCATGGAATGATGGTAATCATTTGATTAAATAAGGATAACACTATGAGAAATAAGTAAAAAGTTTGTCATTTTATTAGTTGTAATTTTTTGTAATTAGTGTTTTCTTTTTGTTCTGTATTCTCGTTTTTTAAGATTTTACATTAATTGGAGAGTGTTCATCTCATTTTATTAATATATGTTCATCACATCTGTCTGCTTATTTTTGTAACATATACACTTGTAAATTTCAGTATAATCAATTTTTTTGTTTGCTTGCTTTCGCTTCGTATAGTGCTAAATGCTTCAGTGTTTACATTTTTTTTTTTTTTTTTTTTTTTTCATTTTCAACATTTGTAAATAGAATTTGTAAATAAAATATTTAGTTTCTACAATATTTTTTGCTTTCCTTCCATGTTGAATAGCTTATATATCTTTTTATTTTCAGATTTATTTTTTAAAAGAAAAAAATCTTTTCTAAAAATTCAGTAATTATAATAATTAACCACAAAATAACAAATCGAATTAATTTAAATACTTTCGTTTATGCTTTTAAACTGTTATATTCATACACGATATTTTAATATGAGAAGGATAATTTTATAGGAGTAGATCATTCTATGATATCGTCTATATTCATAATTTGTTGCATATTTTAAATTTTGATTTACTCCATCCGCAATTAAATAAACTAAGATTTATTGTTTGAAACAATTTCTTCCGTAATTTGTAATGTACCTCTCATTTTTTTCTAATAATCCAAGAGATTATTGATTATTTTGAATTTAAAATGAATATAATGCGGAAGTTTTTCTTTTTTTCTGCCCAAAGAGTTCCATTTGTAACCATTTATTATTATGGTTAGAATTATTATTACTATTATTATTATTATTACTATTTTTATTACGATAATTATTATTATTTGTTATTAATCATTTTAAACAATGTTAAATAATCATTTCTTCTTAAATTCTTACTTAAGATAGGTTTCACCGTTTCTATCGTTTCTATTCCACATTATTTATAGCTTAAGAGATCTTCCAAGAAATTAGTGATGAAATTTAGTTCAACAAAACACAAGCCATTATGCTTTGGAATTTATCCAATAGCAATATCAAAGCTTCAGTTTTCTTTTTGCATAGATAATATTTAAGTTATTAATTACAGATATGATTTCATTTTGTTTTTGATTTAAGGTAGAATAAATGGAAGGAAAAACTTTGCAACGGACATTTCCAAAGAAGACAACAGCGAATAATAATTTGAAATCAAAGTCAAAAAAAGGAAAAGGATGGAGAAAATGTCGTCAGAAATATACTAAATCTATTTTTGATGAAAGTGATGGCACCTGTAATAACGATGAAACTAATATGAAGTCAAAACATCAACCCAAGTAAGTGTTGAAATTTCATTTCTTTCATTGTTTTTTTTATTATTAAGTTTACTCTGAATTTCTTTCAATGATACGGTGCATATAACTGTGGAAGGATCCGGAAAAAATTCCGGATCACATCGATCGTTATCGTACTTTCAATCTATATTGAACATAGTAGGTAGGATGTTTAATCATTTTTGATATGTTAAAAAAGCTACTTACTAGATGATATAATGTAAATTAGATGCATTTTGCACTTTTTAAATTGATGTATATTCTCAAAGGAACTGTCTAACATAATTTTGTTTTTAATAGCATAGCAGAAGAGTCCATTAGACATTCCTCAGATGAGAAGGAAGTGGAATTTACAGAACCTAAAAAGTCTGTTCATAGTACAATGAATTCTCCAGTTGAGGAGCATGAAAAATCAGATTTGGATACTATGGGATTTCGAGCAGGTATTTTAAAAGATTTTTAAATCGTTCATCTCTTCCAATTATGAAATTGTATATTGAAAGAATTTTTTTTTGTCAATTGTTCTTTTTTTCAATGCAAAACTGTTTTGACGATTGAATTTTCATGGATTATCATGATATTTTGATTTCAAATTATTCCATCGCATTTTCTAATCATTATATTTTTCTTTTAATTATCACATTTCACATTTTTACCACATTTTCTTTTAATTTGCATTTATGAGAATTGCTAAGCTAATAAATTTTTTTCTCACATTTCAGAAGTAGCAAAGATTCCATTAGGTAAAGCAAAACAACTGCAAGAACGATTAGGGAAGAAATTATTCGACAAGGCATTCTTTGTTGAAGATTCGTCATCTGATCTTAACAGAAAATCGTCTCACAAATCTTTTGTGGTATTTGTTTTAAATTTTATTAAAAAATCTCATCGATAATTGGTAGTTTAAAAATTTATCATAACTTTGTTTGTTATGGCGAATATATACTATGGAATGTGATGTTTGAGCACTAGTGAGAAATAGTATCAAAAGTTTAGCTATCTTCCTGAAAATAAAGTAATTTTGTTTTATTCATAAAAATATTTCAAGTAATTACAAGTTTTATGCTGATTAATTCACCGGTTTCTTACGCAGGATTAATGCAGTTATTTGATTTACAGCGTGAAAATCCAAAAAGGCCGCGTGAAGTGTCATCAAAAATACCGGTGTCGAAATTTAGGAATGTGTTCGAGAATGAAAAATTGGAAAAACCTGCGTAAGTGACATTTTGTTGTTTGTTGTAAATCCTTCTTTTTTTTTTCATTTAGTAAATATTGTACTTTATATAGGCACTATTTCATATATTCTCTTCTTTAATCATTTAAATATTGAATAGGTATATTCAGAATAATGTAATATTCATCATCATTGATATCCAGTATTTTATTTTTTTATTCGATTACTTTTCTTTTCCCCAGTTACTTTCCTTGTTTGTTATTTTATTTTTCTAATAATTAATACAGTTTTAACAATCGAATAAAATCTTTATTTATATTACTGGATAGTGTTTTTTTTTTTTTTTTTTTTCTAGAAAGATAGAACTTATAGAAAGAGTTCAGTAATGCGCATCAGATTATTTTAATTTACCATCTATAATTTTGTTATAGAATTGATCCTCGATTTGATAGCAGATATGGTGAATTTAATGATTACATATATCACAATAATTATAGTTTTCTAGATGAAATACGTCAACAAGAGAAAAAGGTATTTATCTCTTCATTTATTGTAATAAATGATATCTGCCAAACTGTTTTAGTATGATAGAGATTTGATAATAATAAATGGAAAGTTGATTAGAAGTTGTGGTTTTTTAATATTTCACTTAATACATTCAGATGTTTAAGATTCCGATATATATTTCTCATTGTATTCTTGTCTGATTTTGTATCTATAAATTTCTTTTTTTAGATCTTAATGAAAGAATTAAAAAATACGACAGAAGCGGACGTTGTTAACAGAAATCGGTTAAAAGAAGCACTTAGGAAGATGAAAAATCAGGAAAAGTAAGTTTGTCAAGGTTTTGACCATTTTATAAACTAATATAAATTAATTAACACTTTTGATATAAGAAGTTGTCAATAATTACCGTTGTCATTGATATAGCTAATCATCATTCATAATCCATATTATTTTCTCTTATAGAAATAAATTAAAATTTACTAGGGATACTGTTAATATGTTGGTTTTTTAAATAATTATTTGTATTTGTACATTAAGTAATTACAATTTCCATTGCAGAACACAAGCAGATGTTAATCGTCGTAAAGAAGTAATCCGTGAAATACGTCATGAGAATAATGAACGGATGCGTCAAGGTTTACCACCTGTCTTTAAGACAAGAGGTGAGATTTGTTTGTATATTCAAACATTAGTATTGTTGAATTATCTTTCATCAAAATATTACTTCTCTGCAGTATATTACTTCTTTATTTATACTAAAAGAATTAGCTTTTTAAATTTATAATTCGCTGATTCAAACATTGCACTTTTTAGTGATGTTTTTGATGAAATTCATATAATCATTTCAAATTTCGAAGTGATTTAGAGGAAAAAAAAAAAGCAAAAAACAAAGCTATTTGCAAACAGATGATATGCATTCTGAACTAATGTCTATTTTAATATTTGAAGCACAAATTCGAGAACTTATATGGCGAAAAAAGTATGATGAATTAAAAGGTGGAAAGAAATTAGAAAAATACCTTCGTCGTAAAACCAAGAAACAGGATAAACGATCTATGCTACCAATGAATCAATAATGATCATTTGCTACTGATTAGAATTGAATAATGATGCTTTTTTTTTTTAAAGACAGTCATGAGATTTACAGTTTTATTTTTGATATGGTGTGAAATATACAATCTTGTTGTCATTCAAGACGGAATTTTTCACTTATCTTCTGGTGTTTTAACATTCTAATTACGTATTTTAATGAGTACTTTCTGTAATTCAGAACTTACTTGATAGTTTTGTAATTTAAGATCCATAAAGGTGACATATATCTCACAAAAGATCTTTATTGATGGGTGCAGCAGTTGAATTTCATTACTGGTGACAAGTTATATTTGATTTTTTTTTAAAGAGCGCTCCTGACATGACAATGATCTCTCATTTCTCTCTATTTTCTAATAATAATAATGACTTATTGCAAAAGTTGAAAGTGATGGAAGGGTCGTTTTTTAAGTCATCTTTCTCTCTTTTCTCTAATTCTTTTCATTGTTGCAAAGTTTTTGTTTTCTTCATGAAAATGATTAATAAATAAACATATTACAGTGAATGCTACTTGATTCTCTTTCTCCCGGTAAAACTATAATTTCCTCATAAATATTCTGTAGCATAACAACAGGTTTCTTTTCTAGAATTTATTTGATACTTGATTTTATTACCTACTATTTCATACTTTGTTTTATTTGAAAATACATTATCTACCATCGGTTAGTAAATGTAATTAAAAAGTTAATTCTTTCACAGAGTAGTAAAATACGTACTAATTATTTATCAGTGTTCCTCTTATGTCTAATAAGATCTCTTATTTTCTTCTTGTCTGTTGTTTAAATTGTTGGTTTTATTTGTGAATAAATTATGTTTTAATGAAATATTGAAAATTCAATTCGCTTTAAACAAATTTAACTAATAAACAAGTATCATAGAAATGAACTCTTCCTATTGAATGATCTTAAAGTATGGAATCGGGATCAAGTTTTCAAAAAACATACAATCTGGAAGGAATACTACCGGAAATGCAGATTATTTTTGCTTATTTTTATTTTTCCTGACAAATAATATGTCATTTTTAAAGTTTCTCTTTGTTTCCTTTTTCTTAAATTCTTATTCTGGTTCCAGAAATTAAATTCTCAAAGTGGAAAAGTTTGTCGAACTGGTTTTTCTTGACTTAATGACTTTTAAAAAAATTATAATACATTTCTGCAATATGCAATTAAATGAGTAAAATGAATTTTTATCAGATATCTAATCATTGCACGAAAAATATAATGCAATTTAAAAAAAAAATTTTGTTGAAGGTTAAACTTTTTTTTTTTTGAAATATAATGAGACAACTTTTTTATAATTAATTTTTGGTATGATTAAACGAAACGTATAGTCCTTATATTTCATTCGAATGAACAACTTTTTTTTTTAAAAATTTTAGTTTTGCTAGAAAAAAAAGCGGTAAACTTGATTTATAATATTCATAAAGAATGTTTTATTCTTATTTTATTAAATAATTAAAAAATGAGCTTTTTCTATAATTCTTTTTTTATCTTATCTAATCATTTTCATAATTAACAATCATTAGCATATATAATTAATTAAATAAATGAATGAAAGTGAAATTTTAGACAATTTAAAATTGAATTTTTTTTTTCCTTTTTCTAGAAAAAAAAACTTCATATTTATATATTAGAACACAATTTAATAACATATTGTAATTTAATCGGTATTATAAATCGACTTGGATTTGTAAAACGTAACGTATAAATGCAGTTACGCTTACAAATAATTGAACCTTGTTCAGGTGTTCGTAAACTTGTTAATGTTATTTTAGGCCATACAATTTGTTCATCATCTTTTTCGGTTTTCATTAATATCGAGAATTCAATATCACTGCTTACCGTAAAATGCCATAGTAGTATTTGTGATTCAGTTGTGGAAATTCTTAAAAAAAAAAAAAAAAAATTTTTTCATTTTAATAAAATTTAAATAAAACAAAAATAAAAGAAAAAAAAACAAATAAAAATTAAATAGATAAAATTATCAATAATATATGACTAAAAAAAAAAGGTTTAAAAGAAATTTTATTTAATTATTTTATTTCTTATAATTTTTATTCACTTCAAATTAATTCTTTCTTTTTTTTTTTTTTTTATTTTTGTTTTAGCAAAAATTGCATTTTTTTTGCAATGCAAACTTACTTTTGAACTTCAAATGTTTGTTTTCGTTTGATTGTTTCCGAACATTTTGCTGGAACTTTTGGAAAACCATATTTTTGCCAAAGTGAATCACAATTATAATAGTGTTCCGGTTCTATTTTAATCGGTTTTTGACATACTAATTCCGGTTTTTCTGCATATCCACTATCATCACGCCATTCTCCGCCGTATATTTCTGGTACCAACTGCATGAAAAAAAATTCAGTTGGCGAATTTAGCATGAAAAATACTATTAATTTGTTGGAGCAATTGTATGTGAATATTATATGTGAATAATACTAAAGTATATTAGCATGATGCAACCGGATTTTTAAACAATCCGGAAATTTGTCTCAAACAATAACTTCTGCTTATCAATCGTTTTCATTGATAAATTTAATGCACATCGAAAAATTAAAATAAAATAAATTGCTTATGCATTGCTTATCTTTTTTATTTTTTCTGATTGAATATTTCAAATTTGATTAATTTATTTCAAAGTTAATTCATTGATAATAAATAAGGTTGTGTTTTATATGCCATGAAATTTTATGTAATTTTATAATAAATTTTTAAATTCAAAAACAACAATTAGCTTACATAAGGATTTAAATGTTTAATTAAATCAGTTGGTTGATAAAGGAATTGAAGTCGTGATTGTGTTGCTTTATCCATTAAAAGTTTAACAATTTGTCCCATTATGCTCAATAATGCTGGTGAATTTATCAGAAATAACTTTGCTTGCTGCAATCAATCAATAAATTCAACTGAATTGCTTTTTTCTTGTTAGTAAAAATTAAACTTCATGATAAAATATCACAAAAATTTATATGATCAAATATTTCATTAATTATTTTTATTATAAAATATACTCTAAACTAATTTTATGATAAAATATTAATTTATTTTTCTGCAAAAATAAAGGATTGAAAATAATTAAATAAAATAAACTATTTTTTAGCTAATTTTTTTCAAAAATATTAAAATTTAAGAAAAATTATTCCAAATTAGTATTGCATTAAGTTAGATTAAATACAACATTCAGCATCATTTTCTAACTGCAAATAATTGAAATTTAACAAAAATTTCTAATATCACAAAGTGTTGGCTATTTTTTAAATATATGTTTAAATGTATGCTTAATAAGCTTATCCTTTTGTTTCATTTATCAATTCGTGACGTGTATGCAAAGGTTAAACTTATGAAGAACTCTTGACACGTTGACAAGAGCGCTGCTGATTGATTGACTACTTACATGAATTTGTTAGATGTAAGTACAAAAATTTTTTGATGTAAGTACAAAAAATATTTGAGTAGATTGTACAAAAATTTTAATTTTTTATCTTATCGAAATATGACAAACAAAATTTGCCACTGTGAAAAACTATAGATCGATGAAACATAAATTCAAATTAGTTTTCTAATTTTTTTTTTTTTTTTTTGACCTAAAAAATAAGTGGAATAATCCAATAATTTATTCTACAAAAATGTTTTTCCAAATCTTTTTTTTTAAAAAAAAAAAAAGATGAAAACATTCTAATTGCTGAGAAAAAGAATAATTTTATTTCTTCTAACAATATTTAGCAAAAAAAAAAAAAAAAAAAAAAAAGAAAGAAATGAATGAATTAATTTAAACTCAAAAAATATAACTTAAATTTAATATTTAAATCGTTTTTCTTTTCAAATATTATTATTATTAGTAGTAGCAAATGAAAAATTTTTACCGCTTCAACGAAATAATCAGCCCATATTTTTACAATTAATCGTACAAATTGCGCCGAAACACTCAACGGATTCAATAAAGCTGCTGTATTTATCTCCGAAAGGTCAAGAATGCTAACAACAGCTGCTGGTTTACCTGTTGCTTTTTCCACCTCTAATTGAGCACGAGTAAATGCTTCTTGCATTATAAAATATGAATGAAGAACGTAACTGAATGGTACCACTCGAGTTATCTGCAATTTTCATATGTGTAATTTAAAAATGAGAATGATAGTAATTTAAAAATTAAAAATAATATCAATTTTAAAAAGTAGAACTGATGATGGAACAAAATTGAAAATGATAGCACTTCAAAAATGGTTAATATTCTTAATTTAAAGTTTAGCCATTGAAGAAAAGTATCCACTGAATGGATATAGTACTAAATTTAATATAGGAATAATGCTAAATCAAAAATGTAATTGATAGCAATCCAAAAATAATTTCAATAATTAGAAATTTAAAAAATTTTAATGGGTAATAAATAAAAAAAATGGAAATGATACAAACCTCATCAATATCATTTGTAACCATTCGTTGAAAAAATACACAAACATTGTTCATCTTTCTGTATAATGCAATTTTTGAGATGCAAAAACGCTGAAATTAGTTAAAAATAAACTTCTGAGAAGACCAAAAATTATAAAAATATTTTTTAAAAAAAGATAGTAACGATATGATGCGATGAAAGAAAATGGTGAAAAAGTGAAAAAGCGAATTATATGCAAGTTATCTCTTGAAAATTATAATATATGTTGATGTTTTCAATTTACATTAAAAAGTTTACTTGAAATTTTTGAACTAGATTTAAAAAAAATCGAATTTTATTAAAATATAGAGGAAAAAATGAACAAATAAATATTTCTTAATTGTAATTTATCTTAGCAAGGAACAAAACTTTTTTTTTTTTCCTTTTGCTTACTTCAAATGTTTTTTTGGTAATTTCTAATTTTGTTTGTAGTAAATGTGTTTCAATACGATCATATCCAAGTGCTCGTCGATGATCAAATAAATCTTTCATATTCCGTTTAATACGCTCCAAATCACCATTGTAAGCACGCCACCAACGTGCCAAATAAAACGTTGTATTAAATAAATCCGGAATATCGTCAATAATTTCCCTGTAAATAATATATATGTACCGGATGTAATATCGGATGTAATATATTTTTATCGCTTTATTGTATGCATAAAAAATGCATATCACAAAAGAATTACAGTTTTTTTAAACTAAGCATACATTTTCTTTTTCATTTTTCCTTTATGTACGAAGGAAAATTTTTATACGGTATTTTACTTTACCGTATGCAATTTTATACGGTATTTTTTACTGTATACATTACTATGGGAGATGGTTGATACAATATGCGTAAAGTTTACAGTATATATTTGTAGTATGCATTAAAGAATTTTTTCATAAAACTTTAAGTTTAGGCATACATTTCTAATTAATATTTCATTTTTTAACAAATATGTTTATATAGTATTTGTAACAAATATTTAACTTATTATTATCTATCATAATATTTGATAAGATTAGTTGAAAAGAAAAACAAACGCTGAGATAAGTCTGATTTAAATAAATGGAAATTACTTAAAAATGCTAACCGAATTTTTTCAGCACCAGCTATTTCATCCGTTGTTATTGGAGCTGGCGTAAAATATGTCGATGATTTCATATCATTCACAAATCGTTAGTTTATAAGTGCACTTATCGTTGTAATATTGTTGATTAATAGTAGCATAAAAATTAAAATTATCATTCAATTTTTTACTTTCTTTTTGTTTTTGCATACATCAGATAAATATAAATATTCATTGTAGAAAAAATTTATCGTTGGAAATTTGGGGTATAGTTTTATAAATTTTGTATGTCTCTTTTTTTTTTCCTTCATTATTTACTGCTTTAAATTAATAATAGTTAAATTATGAATATACAAATGATAGCTGAAAATATATATAAACAAAATTGCGAAGTGACTTCAGTACTTCAACAACAAATAAAAAATTGAACAAAATTATGGCAGTAACAATTATTCGTCAGTTATTATATCCAAAAATCATAATCATTGTAATTCGACAATAATAATAGCAAATTTTGTGTTTGTGATAATTTCATGCAAAAATTGCTTACAATCGTTTGCAATAAAATATTACGTAAAAGCTTGTTCTCTCAGCCAACTTTTATTCTCTCAGCCAACTTTTAACTGATAATTCTTATAAAATAAATAAAGAAAATTATTAGAAATATTTTTATTGAAATAGCAATATCAACTTAACTGATTTTAAAAAAAAAAAAACAAAGTATGATATTAAATCTTGCAAAATTCCATAAATTCTTATATTGGTATGATAACCATTTAAACTTAAAGTAAATCATCTGTTCCACTTATCATTCCTTTTGTAACTAACCCGTCTTATCTAGGGTAAGTATGTTATGGGTGAAAATTCTATCTACAGTTATGATTAGCTATCTCTCATATTTATTCTCGCCATATCCACAAAAGAAAAAAGAAATGGAAACAAAAGTAGGTAAATGAGAAAGGCAAAATAAACAAATAAATAGATGGGATGTATTAAATTCTTTTTGGGTCATAAATTCTCTCAGTTGGATGAATAGATGGGTTGACATAGTTTGATAAATTTGACAAACAATAAAATTGAAATTAAATAAGAAAAAAAAGTGCAAAATAAGTGATGTTTATGTTTAAATTAGAAATAATTATTTTTGTAAACTTGTTCATTCCTTGTCGTTTTTCTTTTTTTTTTTTTTTTTTTGACCCCTTTTTTTCTTTATTATATCAATCGTATTTTTGTTTAAAGATTTAAATAAAATTAGGTAAGATAAGAAATTTCACTTTCTTTCTTTTTCAACGAATATGGAATGACGGAAATAAATTAACGAAAGAAAAAAGAGGAAAAAAAAAACGATGAAAATGAAAGGGAACAAAGGAGAAAAAAGTGCGTCAAAAGAAATAGAGGGAAAATATTAAAATTTAGTGAGAAACTATTTTTATAATTCAAAAAAAAAAATAGAAAATAAAAATAAAATTTACTAAAATCTTTTTCAATTAAAAGGTGAAATTAAAATAAAGGCTGATATTAAAGCATAATTCATTTTTCCAAATCAAAATTATTGGTTAATTAATCATAAATGAACATTTTTAGTTGTGGATGAAATTAATTTAATCTTCAATTAAAATGAAAAATTTCTATATATAACATTAATTTTGTAATTCATTTTTTGAGCATAAAAAAATTTAAATGTAACTTTTCATAAACTATTGAGCTAAAAAAATTGAAAATTTTAAAAATTATTGAGGAATTTTTTTAATAATAATCATTATTTAACAATTACTAATGTATGAAAATTAATGTTTAGCATTAATTAAAAACATTAGGATAACATTCAAAAAGAAATAAAATTTATGCAAAATAAGACTGAAAAACGCTTACAAATTTTAAATCAAATTTCTGCATAAACAAAGTCTGACACGAATTTTAAAGATGCAAATAATTTGTATCACTGTAGAACTGGTATTTAAATTTTATTTTCTTGTCCAATATAATTTATCTTTTAGAAAAGTGCACATATCGATAAGGTACATTTTAAATAATGAATGATTAAATTAGATAAAAAAAAAAACAAGAACATATTTGTATATTTTCGTTTGAAAAAAAAAAAATTAAGTGAAACATATTTTTTGTGTTAAATAATAGCATGTGACTTACCTTATTTTTATTTTTTAATTCTTTTTTTTTTTTTTAATTTTAAATTTGTATCATTTGATAGTTTTATATGATGTAATTATCAATATTTAATCAATTAAATTCAATTAACCAATCAATACTGTCATCTACTTGTAGTAACGGCGAATGTTTTTTTTCTATGCGTTTCATTTAAAAAAAAAAAAAAAAAGAAATATTGAAAAATTTAATTTTTATAAAATCTAGTCAAATTCTCAATGTACCATAACGTGCCATGTTAAGTAATTAGGACATATTTTACGTCAGTTCAACTTCTTTTTAAATGTTATGAATTGATGAGTGGAACAAAAGGATAAGCTTATTAATAAATCGTATATTTAAATATACACATTGTGCAAACATTGGACACTTTTCAAAGTTATTGTTTTTTTTTTTTTTTTTTTTTTTTAAATTTCGATTAACTGAAGTGAAAATATAGTACTGATCCGGAATGCAACATAATTTATGAATTTCATTCAGTCATAATTTCATGTTCAAATTATAATGCGATCACTAAGCTAAAAAAAATTTACCTATAAAATAAAAGTTTACCCTATATTTTGATGTGAAAAACAAACTGATCAATGCATTACTAATTAATCGTATTTTATTGTAGGTGAATTAGTAATAAAATGAATAGTAATTAATTATTCGATCGACTGATTTATTGATTGACTGATTAAAATTTGCATTTTATATCGTAAAATATTGAAACTTTCACATATTTTATTGTTCTATGATAAAGTAAATTGTTACATAACACATTAAAATGATATTAGCGAAAGGAAACAGATTATACACGTTTGTGCACGTGAAGTTTCACGTAAGTTAAAGGTTATAGCAACCAGATCATATTATACAGACAAAATAATGTATATCAGAAAAAATAAGTTATATGTTGTCAAAGAAATAAAATTGATCACGTCATCTAAGTATGTGACATGAGGTTACAATGAATGAATCACATTATATGAACCATTTTATATTTTACAAAATATAATTTAATTATGTTTTTTTTTTTTGCTTATTTTTTTATATAGCTATTGAGCATAAAATAAATTTTTTTCATATTGCATATTGCTAAATTCTTTCATATTGCTAAAATTGATTAAAATGACAATCTATAATTCTCGTAATTTGATGTAAGCTGAATGGCACAAACATAAATTGTCGAATTTAAATTTCGTTTAATTATTTTTTTTTATTTGATAATTTAGCATGACTTTGATAAGATAACAAGCATTTTATAAATGCTAATTTATAGATGCGAAAGATTTTCATTCAGTAGTATAATTTAATATAATAATTAGAAACTTCCACAGAAAAAAAGTTAATGCTGATATACCAATATGACTTAAATAGTTATTGAATTGTTCCATTTATAAAAAGCTTAGTTAAATTTTATTTCGCTTCAATTAAAAAAATGATTGATCTTTAATGGCATTCTATGAAATCTGTTATACAACATTTATACTTGGTTTAATTCATATGAAAGTTATTATATATTTGTATATTATAAAATTTTTTAAGAGTCTGAATTAAGGACAAATAAGATAATCAAACTTCTCAAAATTTAAATATATCATTTCTTTAACACTTGATAATTAACCATATTGACTAATTATATTAATTAGATTTTTGTATAAATAATATTTGGTACTAATATTTGTAATACTGTCATATTCGTTTGTCATATCTGAATTATTATACCTGAACACACATATGATGGCTGATACCGATAATAGCTTGTTCAGCATCGAATAGGAAATTTTTTTTTTTTTTTGATAATTCAATAAATCGTTGTTAATGTTTAAAATTTAATAATGATTGGATTACTTATTACTTTTGAAAAATAATTCATTATCATTTACCAATAATGTTTTACTGAAATCTGATCTAAAATTTGAAATAGTTATTTAAAAAATTACCCCAAGAATATTTGCAATAAGAAATTTATCATTTTTGAATTACTAATATTACTTTTACATAATGAAGTTATTTCTTTCATTTAACTGCTACCTGAAATGTTTTTGATTAGATTCTTTAATTATCATCAGCAAATCCATAAATACAGCTAGAAGCAGTAAGCAAATGAAAAAATAGAAATCGTAAATTTCTATATAATTTTAAGAACTTTCAGTTTGTCATAGAATTGATTTTGTTTTTTGTAGTAAAAAATGAGACAGAATGTATGACAAAAATTAAATCTTATATTAAATATTCAGTAAAAATTAAATAAGCAAATATATCACTACTATTTATAAATTAATCAATGCAAGATAATTCCGAAAAAAAAAATGAATACATATTATGTAGCTTACTAATGTTATATAAAACTTCAAATGCTGTAACTTTTCGATATTCAATCACAAAACGATTTATGATTGATTGAAAGTAAAATAAAATTATGCTAGTTGGCTTTTTGGATGTTATATTTTCCTTTTTTACATTTTATCATATCATTTTACTGATAGAAAGAAATTGTTTTTTCTTTCTTTTTTTGCACATTTAATTATGATATCAATTATATGATCTACTTTAATTATATCCTTAATGCATTATTGGTAATATCGAGATACTAGAGAATTATAAATTTGTTTGTGGAAATTATTCAAAAAAAAAAAAAAAAAAAGGGAAATAATAAAATGCTCAAATTTCTACTTTTTTTATAAAATTTTATGCTTTTTTTACATAATCAGTCTGAAGCAACTGACTGCAAACTAATTTTAATATGAATTTTTAAATTGTAATTTAAATTTATGATTCAGTTTTCAAAGGCTTTCTAATATGTTTATTTTTGGTGGGTTAAGTACTTTTTTTTTTGGATGTATTATAGATCATTAATGATCATATTACTAGCTTTTCATTTCTCGTTTTTCTTGCTTTTTTCCATTTAATCAATCTTTTCTTCTTATCTAATCCATTTAATAGC